TGATCTATGAGATTCGCACAAAGCAGCTGTTCTGTGGAAATTTCATTTTCTTCCACCTACCTTACCACTGTTAACAAGTGTCAGATACTGAAAATGAGGTAATAAATTCCACTCAAAGTTTTACGTTAACATTGTGTTGGTTTATCTTCGGGGTCCATAAAATCTTTCCCCGTTTGAAATCATGGCTGAGAAACTATAATGTTGGCGGTCAGCGTTGGACAAGTTTTATGCACGTAAAAAACCCGCATAGATCAAAGTTTTAGTTTCAGGTCATAGTCAGGGTTATTTCTGGGTGGTATTCACCCCTTCCAGACTGAATACCGCTTGAAAATCATTCCGGAAGGATTAATTTACGGGCGTCAATTTCATTACCTGGTCCCTACGAACAAAATACCGGTTTCAAAATGGCTGCACATGTTCCTGTATAATATTAATTCGACAGTGTAAAAGCTAGCAATGATTGTAAAGGTAGTTAGATCTCGAGCTGCCAATAACCGTCTTATTAAAGTGATACAATGTAGTGCCATTTGATAACGCTCCGTGAAGCGGAAATTTACAGCTCTTACCATTGGGAATTGCATCAATTCCGGTTCCGATTCCATTCATTCAGTTCAAAAACTTCCTCGCACAAAAGAAGGCTTGATTCAAATCTGTGAATGAGTCTACATTTCGTTCCAGGAGCATGATTTCAATAATTGAAAGAGTAGAAATTACCAGGAAGCTAGCAGCCATATTGTAGTGACAGCGATATTTGGTCCGCGGTACATGTCGCAGAAAGCGCTCTTTGATTGGCTCAAGAGGGGGTATGACGGGGTGGGGAACCCGCAGAATGTAAACATCGCGGAAAATACCCCTTTTAAATTTTTCAAGCGATGAAGACATTCTTGGTAGTCTCAACACTTCTAGACTGCTTTTTACATCGAGTTACACGAGGGGCACCCAACGACAATTTTCGGAAAAATATCTGTTCGGAAGACGATTTGAGGTCTAGAATTTTCGGAACATTTGTTGTAAAATTTCTTGCTTGCCTGCCTCTTAGGATTTTCGAACATCTAAAAAATGGTAAAATTGCCCATTTTCAACGGATTTTTACCCTAAAAAGGTCACCTAGAATTTTCGGGAGGCTTTTTTCTGGCTGAAATTTTTAAACAGGTAAGTTTTGATCCCTAAAATTTTCGGATCACTAGACTTTCAGCTAGGAAATCCGAACAGATGGAAAATTTATAGGGGATAAAAATATGCCTATATCCACCGTTTAAATACTAAAACACGTTTAACAATGCTATGTTTAAGTGGTTTTGAACTATATTCTCGTTGGGTGCCCCTGTTACACAGAAATTTTTCACTTTCTACGAGTTTACCGTTACAATAAACGGTACCTTTTTCATGATCACCAACAACAATGTATTTTATTTAAGATCCATAAGCTTACAATATTTTATGCCCTGCAAGTAGCCATAGTGCTAATCTAGGCAGAACAAACATTATAAATAAAGGCGTTATTAAATGACATATTAAGAAAAAAGGAAAAGCAAAAAAGAAAAACCCCTCACACAAACTCAAGCATAGGGGTTTTGTTATTAGAAAAAATAGACTAAAATTACAATGGTTCATTTTCTAGGTTGTAGAGAAATAGAGAAACACTCCTTGGCAGATAATCGCGTTTTATAGTGATGTTTTGTGCTGAGTTTCGCAAACTTATTGAGGGGACTTTTGGAGCTGTCTTAGCGTGGACGTCATACAAGAAATAGCTTGGTTGTTGAAAGAAAAAAGACTGTAAAGGAAGACTGTGAGGAATTTTCCGATTTCCCTTTGTAACTCATTTTATGTCAGTTTCTTTGCGTAAATCACGCTCGAGATTCGACTTTTTAGTCTGAAATGCAATAATTCCGCTAATACTAGACATATGCAAATTTCCTCACACCCTTTTTTAGGTCTTTTATCTGTCAATCAGATACAATAAAAAGGAAGTGAATATTTAACAACGCGAAAGGGCTGGAGCTTCAGCAGTAAACTCGATACCTCTGAGTTCGAGAGCAAAAAACTTAAGCGCCTTTTGAAATTGGATGAAATAAAATCTTTCATAAGGTAATTTAGTCTTTTAGCTTTAATTTGATATATAACTTGCCTTTGTAGCCTGTGGGCACCTCGTTTTCCTTTACCGAGACCTTAAATAAGGACTAACAAGTGCATGATATAAATTCAGAAGAAGCCGTGGAATGCCTTCAAACCATGGTAATAATTAAATTTTTCAACTGTCCAAAACAAATTCCACGCAACCTTATTCCAATGATTCTACAAACAAAAGTTTGCGTAGCAGACATAACTGAAAAATGTCGCAGACATTACATTTTGGGAAACACATTTGTTATCATTCACTTTTCTTATCAGTGTTGCTGACTGTGGCTATGTCAATTTTTCCTGTAGTTACTTGTCTAAACTTGAAGCTGTGAAATGATCATTTACTTTATTTATGTTCTATTAGAATATTATATAATCTCCTGCTGACCTAGTGTGAAGCAATACCAGTCAGATTTTTTTTCTGCTATAATGAATCCTTAAAATAATTTCCACATTAATTTCGTCACATCTCAAGTAAATGTTGTGAGGAAAAAAACCCTTTCAGTAGTGAGGAGATTATATTTTTTTCCCAAAACTGATTTAGCTACTAAAATTATCATTTTTTGTCGTTCAGTCTGACTTAAAGACAGATAAAATGTAAATTTGCACTAAAATTTCACATAGTTCACGACATATTACATCACAAATTGTACTTAAAAAATAATACTCATTGTTGTTTTGGTGGTTGTCAAATTCGCCCTTTATCCCTGATCCATCCTTGATCGATGCACTTGACAGCTAGAGCACAACTCACAACAACAGCAGCGGCAGTCGCATCTAACCCTGTGGCAACTGAAGAAAAGAGAGAATTTTGCTTATTTGTTGACACAGATTTAAACTATGAAAGTTGCTAAGACCTGAATCTGAAGCTACACACTGAATTCCTATACTTTTCGAGCATATAACAACTAATCCAATTGATTATAAATTTCCTGAAATGTTGCGTACACACGGCTCCAAATGACCAATTAATGTCAAGGGTTGATTTGATAATTATTCACGGAGTTAAAATTTTCTAATGGCCGTCATTTCTTTACCGCAGGTCAAGAGCGAACGGCGGACTGTTGTGTTGGTAGCCCCATGAACCTAGGACCCCTGCGCGCGTAATGTACTGTCATGAACATGGTTGTATACTCACTCACCTATGTAACTTCCAACATCAAGAACAGCAATGACTATAGCAATCTGATCAACTTCATTTGAACCAGGCTAAAGTGGATGTGAGCTGTGAGAGGATCAACAAAAGTAATTATTAAGTTAACATAAGGTAACTTGACCACAAAGTCACCCTCTTGAGCGTGATACCTTACAAAGATCCTCACAAGATATTCTACGTTGTCAAGGAAAAACACATTCATGAAGGAAATGCCTAGTTCTAAGACTAACACAAATTGTGGTCAATAAATTGCTACAGAATTAGAGAGGTCCTAACATTTCTTGAGAGTACCGGGCCTCATCGTCATCTACAAGACCACCTCCGAAATGTTTTTTAAACTATAATTGGAGTGATTTATTAAATATTATTTATTTATCATTATCATTATCATTATTGAGATTTTCAACAACACAAAATTTCTGCTGACAATGTCAATAGGCAGTCAAGAGAAGAGGTAGTGAGAAGTAATGGAATGATCTTTTTGAGGAAAGTTGAACAAATGCTCTCAAGTTGTACCACGAGAGACAAATGGGAAGTTGCAACTTTGACGGGCTGTCGTTCAGTAGACCACTGGCCGGTTGGAGACGGCAAACTGTTGAGGTCGAGGCCGCAGGTTCCTTAAGTCCTTTCGCGCGTCGCAAAGTAATCAGGGAGGCTTGTCAGGCGGGCGGCAGCGCATTGTTTGTGCAGAGGGGAAGGACAGGTAGATCTGTTTTTGGCAATGGTCTGTTTTCAGTTTTGGGGGTTATATCTGATATCGACAATCTACACTGAAACTAAACAGGCCAGAAGAAAGCAACAAAAAAGAAACATTAAGAAAGATGGTTCAATAATGAGTGTTTTGCTTGGAGAAAGATTTTAACGGAACTCTCTAACAAGAAAGTTAACATAGCAATTTCCTCTTGATGAAACTATAAGGCATAACTATCACACAACCTCAAAAAAAAAAAAACTACAAAAAGCTAATCAAATCTAAGAAGACAAAGCTCCTTTAGGGGTGATTCCATGTTGCAGACATTACGTTCAGATACTAAAATTAATATAAATTATTAAACCCCAATTTAGATGTCAAAATGTTCATTACCGGTGTTCAAACGTATGTAGAAAGTATTTTTTAGTGTCCCCTTTGTACCTAATAAAAACATGCTTTGGTTAGCTCTTAAGACCTTGAAGGTATGAGTTGAAGAAGGTGTGTTTGGGCATCACAGTTTAAACAAACACTTTTTAAGGTAATGTTCTTTTACAGAGATTTTCCTGTGAATTTTTAACCTTAATTGTGCCTTCAAAACATAACAATAATAATATTAGATTTTTCAACTGTCAGAAAAAAAAATTCCATGCAACCTTGTTCCAGTGATTCTACAAGCAGACGTTTGCGTTATGGACATTACACAAAATTGTTGCAGACATTACATTTTTGGGAACACACTTTTTATCATTCACTTCCTAGCTTCCACAACAATATGTCTGGGACTAAACGTCTGCAGCAAAATTCACTGCTGCACTTTCGTTCCAACGATATTCTGTCTCTATTACATCTCTTCGAAAGTACAAACTTCGATTTAAGCAGTACAGATGTTGAAAATGCTACCAATCAATTCACAAACATTATGACGGAGGCAGCAAAACGTTCAGTCAAATTAAGTAGCCAAAAGAAATCTAAAAGAAAGCCAATTACTAAGAAGTGGTTTGATTATGATTGCAAAACTTTAAGATCTTCACTTAAAAAGTTATCTAAAAAAAAACCGCAATCCCTTGGATACCGAACTCAGAAAAGAATATCATGTTCAAAATAGAACCTTTAAAAAACTTATCAAACAAAAAAAAAACAACAACAATTTGTTGACTCTAAAATAAATGAGTTGATTAGTAATGAAAATGACCGCACATTTTGGGATACTCTAAAGTCAATGAACGAAAACGGCTTGTCTTATAATAATATAACGAAAACCCGACCAATAAACTTTTACGATCATTTTAAAACGATACACTCAGCACCTGATCCCAATACATTATCGGCATTTCAAATACACATGTTAAACGATAAAAAGCATTTGGAGGACAGCAACCATTTACAATCTGGATTCAGCTTGAAAATCAACCCCTGACACAAAAACCCTTCTACTTTCCTATCCAAAGCTGAGAAGAATTATTTGTCAAAACATCTGAAAAACCACCAGCTAAATTTGATAAGAACAAATAAAAACTAAAATTCTACTCCGTCTTTAAAAATGAAACAAATCACTCTGAATTCATCAATCATATCCGAATCCTGAACATAGGCGTAGTAGCTTCCAAATTTAGGATAGGAAATCACAATTTAAAAATAGAAACCGGAAGACTTATAATCCCCAAAACTCCTGAAGACCTTAGAATCTGTGATCATTGCCACCAAAATTCGGTTGAAAATGAACTGCACATATATTATTTCACTGTGATCAATACCATGATTTGAGAAAGACTCTTTTTTCTTAAAATCAACGACCGAAATACACTATTTACACATTACAATATCCATGATAAAGTCTGTTTTCTTTTTAACAATACTGATTCACATATCAGCAGGCTAGCTGCTAATTTGGTCTTTCAAGCATTTGAAAGACGAAAGAAACATAGTTAATTCTACCGTTCCATCATATCTGCATTCCCTTAAACTTAGCTGTTTATTACTGTTATTTTAATCGGTAACACCTGTACAAAATGGTAATACTGGCTAAACTTGTTGTTGTTGTTGTTGTATTCAAATGATAACAACTCCTCAACAGATATGAAAAATGTCCAATTAACTATACGTGAAGAACTGACTTCACACCAATATAATCTAATACGAAGTAACAAGAAACTAAAATTTTACTCAGTATTCAAAATTGACTGTCACAAAAGTGCATGATTGCTTGAGCATAATCAACATAAGTCCCCCCAGTACCGAAAACTCTAGAAAATTTTCGCATTTGCCCCTTCCATAGTCTTCGATCTAACTTTTACCGAGACATTAGGATTGGACATCCCCTTTTTAAGAATTTTGACAACAATGAAGAAACCCTCTTCGTATTTGACAATGTCGATCCTGATATCTGCAGACTTTCATCTCCTTACATGCAGTCATGTATGGAATGTAGACAAAAACTTGTTCTTTCATATCATAGCCTTTGTTTTGATTTCAGATTTGTAACGAATAATGTAGGTAATACCATGCACTCACGTGGGAATACTGAAATAAAGCTGTTGTTGTTGTCGTTGTTTCTGATGAGTTGAATTCACTTGTCAATGTCCGAAGAAGGAGAAGAAATTATCCACCACACCTTGGATTACTGACGAGATCTTAGCTAAAATCAACTACGCACCCACCAAGACAAACTCAAGACCCAAAGGTGCTTATTTTGACCCAGAATTTCTTCCCCCCACCCCGCCGCCAAATCAAGGAAAACGAGACACGAATACTGCAGCTAAAATGGCGGCGGCTATCATCACACGCGGGCCAATTCGATCAGCCACCCGCTAACTCAGTTATCATGGTAACTTACCCCGCCGTAGAGGACATGTTTCTCCTAAGCTTTTCTTTTGTCAAATTCGTATGGAGGCGACTGATGATATTTCCAATTCAAGCGAAGTTGGATTCCGCAGTTTTGTCTCTTACTGCGTCGACTCTGGTGGAGCCCAGGCCCTCTCTATTGAAGGGCGCGCAAAATAATTGTCCGTCTCAGTTCTAAATAGCGTAAAACGGCGTAATCCGAGATTTGTTCGGATCGTGTTTTCTTAAGAAATTTGTTCACTTTTTTCAGTGTTCTTGTTCTGTACAAAAGTACTCTTTAGAGCGTAGAAATCAGTGCATACTTTTTGTTTGTTATACTCCTCCCATATTAGTTGTTGGGACAAGGGCCTCGGAAGCAGGTGGAGGTGGGGGGGGTGGGGGGTTTGAGGAAAGGGACGTGATTCGCTGGCCAACCTCTACCACACTTGAACGAAGCTTAGCCACTCTAAGGCCTTTTTGGTAATTCAGAAGTTAAGTCAATTTTGGAGACCACAGAAAAGACATCCATTTGTTACAGAGCCTCTTCTGTTGTAGGGTACCTTTTTCCAAAATCAGACAGAATTAATTATTAATTTAACCCTAACAGATAAGCAATGATGTGTGTACTGCTTCAATATTCACTGCAGCAGATAGGTGGCCATTAGAGAAAGTGGATGAGTATTCATTGGTGCAGTTAGCTGCATGGTCGTTTGGGAAATTACCACGTACTGATTCACCCTAACAGATAAGCAATGATTTGTGTACTGCTTCAATATTCACGGCAGCAGATAGCTGGCTATTAGAGAAAGCTGTTGAGTACATTCATATTGGTGCAGTTACCTTGTCATTGGGAAATTACCACATATTATTCACTGTAGCTGGATAAGTAATGATTTGTGTACCGCTTGAATACTTACTGCAGCAGATAGCTGGCCAGTGGAGAAAGTCATTTGCGAAATTACCACATATTAATTTTCTGTCTGATTTTAGAAAAGGGCACCTTTCTCAGAGTCCCAACTATTGGCTAGAGTAGCTATCTAACGTTCCGTTATACAGTAGTGGTCATGCACAAGCATTGAAGTCATTGCACGCTGTTAGTTTATTGTTTTTCTGCTCCGGCCCATATAAGCTGTTACGACAAGGGCCTCGGATGCAGGGGTGAGGGGAATAGGGGGAGAAGGGGTGTGGCTCATTAGCCAATTTCTACCATACTTGAAAGAAGCTTGGCCACTCTAAGGCCTTTTTGGTAATTTAGAAGTTAAGTCAATATTGAAACCACAGAAAAGACACACATTTGTTACAGACCCTCTTCTGTTGTAGGGTACCTTTTTCCAAAATCAGACAGATATATATATATATATATATATATATATATATATATATAGTTACCATTGACCAAGTGCATTAAACCTGCCATTAATAGCAGAGTAGTTTTACGAATTGACAGCTACTATGAAAGCGAAATGCTCATCAACAACACCACATATAAATAAACAAACAGAGAGTAAAGTGATTTTTTTACTACCTGAGCCATTGTGCCTTCTCCTTTAGGAATAACAAACTGAATTCCTCCCTCGGGATGCTCCAGAGAAAACTCAATACTTACACGGAACTGACGACATTCTAAATAAAAAAAGATCCAAAGTCACAAAAGTTGATATTTTGATATTCCAAAATGAGTTTTAGCCTTGCATCAGTTTCTTGAACAAAAATGATAAAATAAAAAGATAATTTACAGGAAAACCTTAATAATTTATGAACACCAAAGGGACAGGTTGAGCTGACTGTCCACAGTACCGGAGAGTGCATTTTATCATAAAAGAAAGGATCATTTGGGGTTTACATAGCATCTTTTCGGTCAAGTCAACTGTCTAAGTCTATTAATTACAGAGGTGCCTGTATTTTGGGTGGTTAAATTTTTTTAAACCTGAATTTAATTTTGACCTGTAACATCCATAAAGAAATGTTTAACATTACAGTAGATCTTAACATACAACCAAACTAAACAGAACTGGACAACTGTACTAGAGCTGTTTGACCCTTCATGAGTCTATGGTGTTTGATCCTTATCTGCAAATGCCAGTCAAAAGATGACTACCAATTCATCAGTAAATATTTAAGGCATCACATCCTCCTCAGTTATTTTAAGACTGTGATTGATAAACCAGTGGATGCTGGATCCAGGTGTCTACCAGAAACTGGGTGGTAGTCATGTCAACCAGGCAGAGGTGTTTTTTATTTTAAATGTTTCAGGTCAAGTAGGTGGTGCTTGATGTTTTGGTCAACCGGGCAGTGGGTAATGGTTCAGGACAACCAGGCAGAAAATTATGTTTTAGGTCAACTAGGTAGCATTATATGTTTCAGGTCAACCGGGCAGCAGTTGTGCTTATGAGAGGTTTGATCAGTTTTCATCGAGACAAAGCCCCTCTAAAAATAGCACCTTTGTGAGGCCCTGCATTTGGGTCCACTGTCAGTGTTTATAAATGCTTTTTTGCCATCACTGTCACAATTTGGCCGAGGGAGGTTGCCTTTGTCTGATTTCAGGGCCTGTTGCTACTTTTTTCGCCATGTCGCTTCACGGATTCTTACTTTGTGATTTGCACATGCCAACACTTCCTTTGGAATCCTGACAGTTAATTCACCTCCACCTGCTTCAGGGTCAACAGCATTAACAGCACTCTGCATACAGCTCAAAAAATAATCCAGATTTCTCCTAAAATCAGAAAAGAAGGTGGCCAATCTACGATTCATTTGAGGGCCACAAGTTTATCAGTAATGGTAGTTACTGTCACTTGTCATCCAGGTCAAATAAAGTATTAAATATTTTATTACTTACTTCCCTATTCTTCATAAAAATTTTCAAATTAAAAACATCATAAAGAGAGCTGAATATTAAAAGTTGAAATGACGCAAACAGTGGATAAATCTTGGTCATATTTTATATTTGCACACCATGATAGATACTGGGTACTGTATGCATACATACTACTAAGGGCACATTTGCAAAAATACATTTACATTTTAGTTATACGTTATCAAAGCTGTGATCTAGTAGCCCCCCTGTGGCCTCAGGCACCTAACTTTTTCTCCTGGGCGACCAGAAAATCTTAGCTTTTTCCATAGAAATAACAGAGTGGGCACTTTGGATAGCACAGGGCTCCCTTCAGTATTTTTTAATACAGCACATCAATGGCTATATTACATCAGAAGGATAAGAAAGTAAAGCCACACAACCCAAATTGTTGACATTTTGCACTTATTCATATAAATAATTGTCACAAAAGAATTTCAATAAATTTGTCATCTACCTATTTTTAATTAGTGGGGGTGTGTTGGCATTAAGAAAGAGATATTATGTCATACTTTTTGTTGTCTGAACACACAACTCTTCCTGGATCATCAAGCTGAAACCCTGCATCGTACCAATCATGTTCTCCTGCTCTTCTTTCATCACGAATACAAACCCGCATAATTCATAAACAGAGTCAAGGAAGAAATCCTTATGTGTAAAAAATGTGACAACAAAAACTTAATGGCTGCTCATGTCTACAAGTACCATCTGTTGAAATATTCAAAATTACAGGGCTTAATAATGAATTAAAAAAGACATATAATGAAAAGGATATTGCATTGTTTGTAGTTCAGTTTTAGTCTTGTTAGGTTGTTTGTCAGCGGAAGAATTCGCAATTCCACATATCCCTAAAACAACAGCAAGATGATGATACATGTAACAACAGTCATAAACACCTTCTGAAGTCAGCACAAAGACAACTCTTGCCTTCGTTCAAGACATGGCGACCCACGTATAAAAAAGGGACCTTGTCTTGACAGTGACCTTTTAATCTTCATTACAAATATTCCGACTCATTAACTTTGCCAAATGTTGGCAAAGTCTGATTGAGTTAAATTCCTAAGAACTGTATCCATTTACAGAAAAAGAAAAAAAGTTTGTTGCGGCTTGTTAATGTCAATCTCCGGTGGAAATGGTTATAGAAGCTTGACTGAAATAAACTCCTGCAAGTACTTTGTCATTTTGTAGGGTGATGGATTTTTTTTTTGTCACTATCTTCATTTTCTTTTTTTTTCTCTTAGCTTTGTCAAACCTGTAATGGTGAACAGTCAACCTCTATTAAGTGGTCAGTTAGCTATTTCCCAAGGGTGACAGGTAAGTACAGTGTAATAATACAGGTATTATGTTTGACTGTATGATGCACATGTCATCATCTTTACCAGGGGCTGAACCCCAGGCTAACCAGGGGAATTGTAAAAAGGGTGGAGCAAAATTAAGAATTTTCCTCAGGGGTAAAGGACTTTTAGCCAGACAAAGTCTTGTGTGTCACTGAGTGTTTCTCAGAGAAAATTCCCCTGATATCTTTAAAATGTGATTCATTTTGATTGAGGGAATTCAAAACAAACATCCCACCCCTTCACAACATCATATTTCAAATGAAGGGTTGCGAAATGTGTTTTAAAAAATCCCCATGGTTGCTGTGGGTCCTGTGATTTAAACCATTCTGGATTTTTCCCTCTCCAGGGGTAGAGAATCCCATTCATCCCTTTGTATTCCCTGTCTTCATTCCCCTGTTGAGCTCTTCAAATTCCATGACTAATTCCATGACTTTTCGCATGACCTTTTCAATTTTTCCAAGATTTTAGGTTTAGTTGTCAGTTTCAAAAATTTTAAACACTTTCCTTGCTTTAGCATATTTTTTGACCTTAAACTGTTCAACAGACACAAACTCTGGTGTCCACCGAAATTTCCGCCGTTTGTGCTGTTTAATTACTCCTCTCTATCTTACATTGTACTTGATTGTCATCTGCAGTAACTAATCTATCAAACAAAACTTCAATTTGCCATGAATTTCAAGGAGGACAATTAAGTTCCATGACTTTCCAGGCCTGGAAAATAAAATTTTTTAAATTCCATGACTTTCCAGGTTTTCCATATCCTATACGGACCCTGCTCTGATTGGCACGGGATTCCTCCCCCTCCGGCAAGCGGAAGCCGACGACGTGTGCATAAAGATCAAGGCTGGGATAGTCAACATTGCATTTTATCAACAGCCTGTGTGCACATGAGCAATGAAAGTACATGTACAAGTGGGTGAGGACAAAACATGGACCAGGGGTCCATGGACCCCCACTTTGGACCGGGTCCATGGACCCCCTGTCATGGACCAGGTCCATGGACAGTTTTTTTTAATAATGAGAAATGAACAAAAATAGAAATAGTGCAAAAATAAGGTTAAAAAACACCAACAACAACAAACAATGCTTGATTGATCAGTAATGTTTAATTGTGCTTACATAGTGTAAAAAAAAAGGGCGGGTCGGTACCTCATGCCAAAATGCTGCTTGTTCCAGTGAATTGTTTTCTCTGATGGGTAGATTATGCTTCGGAGGAAAACCTTTTGACTGAGCAAATGTGAATTTTTGCCACTTATTTCATACTGAGAGGTCGTGACACACATATTGATTTTCTACCTCTTTTAAAATGTAAAGCTGTTCATTGCGGCTGATTAAAAGGGTTTTAGGTTGTTTAATTTCTCCAAAGTGCATCCTGGATCTGAATAATTCTAAGCCACTTTCTTTGTGTCCATGAATGTCACTTTTTCCTGCAATGTTTTGTCACCCTGGGCCTAGCTCCTTAACGTTTTTGGCAGGACGATTATAAATTCTCACGGATATTGACTTACAGATCCAGATCTCGAAAAAGAAGAAGAAGTGGCATGGATTGTAGCTTAAACTGAAGCTACATCAACTATGGAGAATTGCGATGTGACTCAGTCATGATTGCTCTAAAGGCAGTGAATTCTTAACTCCAGCTTGTTTTTCTAAGGGTGATGCGAGTCTTTGTACTGGAGCGCGTAATTCCTCTCTTGGTGATGCACATGTGCAAGCAGAGTGTACATCATGTAAGCAGAACTAAATATTTGTGATCAATCGTGAGCATTGGTCGACAGTGTCCCGTCAAATCTATTTTGGGAATATTTCTGTTTTTGATTGTCCATGGACCTGGTGCAAAACCTTCTTATAAAAATAAAAAAAACTGTCCATGGGCCTGGTCCATGACAGGGGGTCCATGGACCCGGTCCATGAAAGTGGTCCGTGGACCCGGTCCAAAGTGGGGGTCCATGGACTCCTGGTCCATGTTTTGTCCTCACCCTGTACAAGCATCTACACTTAACGCTACGCATAAACAATTAAATACAACTTACAAAAAGACATTTCCGCTTGAAGTCGATTGACGTGATGCAAAGTGTCTGATGAAGCGTAAAGTACGAAAAAAGCCACAAATAACAATCAGTAAACACTCAAAGCCATTTAGCGTATGATAAGCTTAAGTCCTGCAACACGAAGGTCGAAAGGTAAACTGTCTGATCACGGAAAATGAGTACTAGAAACCAAAAGGGTAGAATAAGCAGAAAAAGAACCGTAACAACTTTCTATCATTGGAATACTTATAATTTAAAGTTCCTGGGAGACTCGCTTCCTTTCCTCATCTTCTGAAGAACAACAATTCATCAACCACCACAATCCATCTTGGCCGCCATTTTGAAATGCCTTGTAACCAGTCTCCTAACAGAGCATATGAAGGAAAACTGGGAACAAGAACACCGCAAAATTAGAAAAGCAGAGGTCCGAAAAATACAACGCAGTTTTGCGAGTGGAGTCAATGATCGAGTCTCCAACACAACAGAAGCTGACGCGTAATGACAAAAACAGCAAGCGTTTCCGATCGAGTTATTGCGCGAAAGTTGGAGCAGCAGCAAAAAAGAATGGGAGAAGGGGGAGGGGGAAGGGGAGGGGAGGGGAGGGGGAAAAGTTACTTTGTGGGGAGAAGCCACGGCCTAAAATACGTCTGCGTTCGCAGGCTAAGGGTGTTTACGATTTACAAAAACTTCCCGAAAAATCCGGTTAGATGAAACACGACTATTTGGGTCGTTCCACTGGAAACTTTCCGGGAGCACTAAGGTAATTCTGTTTTTCCGGACGGAATGTTCCAAATGGAAATTCGTGTTCTATTTCTTTAAAGCCATCTTTGATACCAGTTTCAGGCCTTCGTGGCGGTTTTTTGGTAAATAGAACTGATATATATGTACAAAATGGTAAACGCGATTCTGAGACGAAATTTACCATTTCTGAGTTTTGCGTACCATTTACCCGAATCGTGAACCGACTGGTTTACCCATGTTAAACAACCGTACACAGTCCGTCAAACCCCCCGTGAGCGACCACCCAAAATGCGAAGACTTAGTGGTCGCTTACGGGAGGTGGTCGTTTACGAGAGGTTTCAACTGTAGCAGTTGCTGTAGTGATTTGGTAGCCTGCGTAGCAAGCGTTTCCTCGCGAGGTTCGTCTAGAAAACTGGGACAAGAGCAAAAAAAAAAAAAATGAATGACGGGGCAGGGGAAGGGAGGCTTTCGCTCTTACTTTCGCGCAATAACTCGATTGGAAACGCTTGCTACGCAGGCTAGTGATTTGGTCGCTTATGGGAGTTGGTCGCTTACGGTCGTACATGGAGGTTCCACTGTTTGAAATTAGGTTCAAAAGTTAAAAGAGCTGGTTTCATGTAATTTAAACAGTTGGTGCAATTTTCAGGTCTATGCCTCGTTTTTCATAGCGTTCCGACACGAGTAAATTAAGTGCCCGGGTATTTTGCAGTTACTTAATTTCAGAAATAACTGAAACTGTTATGCTCTTTCGATATTCAGAGATGTTATTTCGATAGCTCAATTAAGACCTTGCAAGGAGGATCAACTAAGCAAAGACGTTTTTGAGCCAAGCTCGTCAACCAGAAGTGAGCCATAGCGCATCCAGCGGCGTAGCTGCCTTAAAGCCCTTAAGCCAGGGCTTCACAAAAATTTCGCTTAAGTTGAGCTAACAGGACGTGGAATTGTACCTAACACAGGCACCAATGTCTTCCGCGGTAATACGCAAATAAAATTGGCACATAATTCACTACAGGAAAATCAGTCGCTAAACGTCATCTTGGTTTTTCAAGTCCCCTTTGTTTACTTTGATTACCTGCTAGAATCATTAAGGTTAAAAGCTTGTAATTTTGGAGGATCTCGGCTCTTGAAATCTACTGAACTGCTTTCTCCTTCTTTGGTTTTGTTTTTGTTTTTTTCATTTTTAAAAGCTGGGGACTAACTTCCTGGAATTGGCCACCACTTTGGAATGTTAATAGCCAAGTGGGTCCTACAAAAACGAGCTAATTCGCCCTGTTTAACTATGTTTCATTCTGCATTGATCGATGTTAAAACGCACCTTCAAATTAACCAAGCGATCAGAATAGTTCTTTAACTTAAATTGAAATGGATCTAAAAACTTACCTCGTTCTGCAGTTCTACGTTGCCACCGTAATTCAAATTTCGGAATCAGTAGATCATAGAGTCGTATTTCACGGTAAGTTTAGTACTGAGACGGCTGCCTCGCTTTCTTCTTCTTTGAAAACTTATGAAATTGACCTTGAGTGAAACAGTCGAAGTCCTTGCAAATGAGACAGTCGCTACTGTGCTCATTTTTCTTCTCGCCATGTCCGCGTCTACGTATACTGCGACTTCACAGACATCTGATTTTACAACTATGAGAAGGGTGAAAAGTACGTGCGATCTACGAAATATTGACAGAACGGCGGGCTCATCCCTAGCTCTATTGCACACATTAAGACATGCAGATAGATACTCACGTTTCTATTGACTTTGAGAGAAGTACATGAGTGTAATAAAGTTTTTTAGAAAGAATTCAAAAAGGCTTATCACGGTCACTGATATTCCTTCAGTCCCAGATGCTATTACAGTACTCTCTTTAACTCTCTTTGGATGCGAAGGGTGACTAATCTTAATGCTCTGGTCACCAAACTCCTGTATAACTACATTCTCGCAGTGCACCCGTTTAAAACAAAAGGTTTTCGCTGGGACTAAGTAAGGAACGGTATATTCCCTGGGCTGCCTGTGCCCGAAGACAATGGATTAGGTGTTCTGTTCGGGTGCTACCGGAAAAAAGTGAGTAAGGATCTCAGTGAAAATCCCTCAAGGTGAAGTATGCGCCACATGTCAAGTGTTTGCTATTGAAAAGCCTGAAAAAAAAAAAAAGAAAAACGATAAAACACCAGCACCTGAAGTTTTCTGTAACTGTTCGTTCATCCCTCGCGCGCATTTTGAGACAAGTTTAGTGATGGCCAGTTACTATGTTTACGAGATATGACGTCTTAATTAGCAGGTGGTGAAGCCATTTTTTAGTGAAAATGCATGTTTTTTCTACTTTTTTCAGGAATAAAAGTAAATTTTGTGAATAAAGGCGGATGCGAAGTAATTGTTTATGTGTTATTTTACCTGATAAGCGCAAAAATTCATTAATTCTCACTGTGGCGAAAAAAAGGATGGCTGTACTTGTTTATAGGTCAGCGTTAACTTGGCTTGCTACTTTGTCGTCGCCCTCTCTAGGAAAAAATGGCTGGCTACGCCCCCGGGCATCCAAATTTGTATTGCTAAGTGTCTTTAGTCTTAGTAAGACGATTTGATTTGACCGAAAATTTAAGCAAAATAACTGCCCAAGAAGAATGCGTCGACTTTGCTTAGGCATGTCGATAGGCCAAGTACTGCAAAAAAAGAAAAAAGAAAAAAACAACTCAAAAAAATTCTTTTAAGTGTAGTTCTCGCAAATTTGCATACTCAGCGCATTTCCATACGAACGTAACGCTTCTGTTTCGTTGGGTTCAGCTTGCTTCTCATTTAATAATGAATTAAAACATGGAGAGGGAACTTGAAAAGTATTATGGTAAGTTTCGAAATAGGCGTTGTAGGTTTTCGTCTTCTTCATGATCACGTGCATATGACTGCATAATTACAAGACAGTGTTAAATCTTTCCCCTAATAAATTTCGTCTTAGTCTGTTCACGTGCAACAGCATATGATTGCATAATTACATAAGTCATCAATGAGTCATTGTGTTAAATCGCTCTCCTTCATGCCAAGAAATTTTTGTCTTATTTACGTTTATTTGAATGCATAATTTATGACGAGACAAAAGGCAAATTCCCTTGAGACCTTCACTGATAAACTTAATCAGCTGCTGTTCTTAACGAGGTATAACACAATGGAGCTTTTCTTACATAATTAAATAAATTTTTATATAAAAAAATTGTATAGCGTCTAAATGAAGTGACCTAGCAGTTTATGCGTGAAAGGCTGTTGTTCACAGCATTTTCCCGAGTTCAACCAAGTTTCATACGTGCACTGAATCCTAGCGGCTTAACTAAGTAAATGGACCATTAAGAACATCGTTAAAATGTATCAAACATGTAACAGACGACGCATTCCTCCTGTCCAGACGAGAAAGGAAAGTTAAGCAAAGCCAAGAAGCTTAAGATGAACTTAAGCACGACTTTTCAAACCAATGAGATTGCTTCAGGCTGTGAGCTTTCTGTGTTCTTGGGAGGAACTCTAAATGAAAGCACCGGAGAGGCATATACAGTACTCGTGTACCTTATAATTCTGGACGTAATCTCTTCGCCCGTAACGAGCATCTTAAATGCACTGGTCATATTCACCGTGAAAACCAAACCACGCCTGAAAACCACGAGCAACGTTGCACTCGCTTGTTTAGCGGTAACCGATTGTGTGATGGGAGTGATTGGACAACCCTTTTTCGCCGTACAACTGGCAGTACTGCTACAGGGAGAAGGATCAAGCTCGTACTGCACGCTTTTAGTAACGTCGGCGAACGTTGTGAGAACGCTAGCAATAGCTTCAATTTTTAACTTAACACTTATGAACATAGACAGATACATTGCTATAAAGCACTCGCTGAAGTACAAGACCCTGGTCACCAGAGGTCGTTTACTCCGTGGGTCCGCATTCGCGTGGGCTGTTTCATTCCTTCTAACAGTACCTTTGAGTTTCACAGACAACGATATTTACTTGGTAGTCAGCACTATAACGGGCTGCTTATGCATGGCGATCATCACTTTCTGTCAAATCGTAATTCTCCAGGAGACTCGAACTCTGAAAAAGCGAATCGCAGCCCACCAAGTTTCACCAGAAGACAGGAAAAAGTTGTTAAAGGACAAAACGGCTTTTCAGCTAACAACGATTATACTTTTTGTCTTAGTATTGACCTATTTACCAATGCTTGTTGTTCGAATACTCATAACAAATTCTATCATATGCTCGTTGAATGCATCACACATTGCTGTAATGTCAGCAATTTTTGCATCCATTCTTAACTCGCTCATCAACCCAATCATTTACTGCTTTAAAATAAGAAAGTTTCGCGTAGCTTTCATTGAAGTACTCTTCAGAAAAACAACTATACAAGCTGAGAACACTGAAAAACGAATGTTTGGATCATTGAACAAAGTAGCACCGCTCAAAACAGAAGAACAACAACCACGACAACAGCAAACGACTGCGAACGGATCGGACACAGCTAGTGACGCAGCATCGATAGTGGTGAGATGAAATGACAAAAAGCGAATGACATGCCACTAGTAAATTAAATGAGAAGTTTTTCAATGTATACTAAACAATCTTTGTTTCAATGAATATATGTTGTTTAACAGGAATTTTAAGGTACGTAATTTCTGTCTACTTGTGAGGGTGGGAGTACAATTATGATTTCCCAGATGTCAGGGGCGCTTCTAGGAATTTTCCAGAGGTACGATCCAATCTACCCCACTTCCCAGATCGTTCCCACGAGGAAAAAAACTAGCCTGCGAAAACATCCGTTCTGGCTCCTCGCTCTTCGCCGCTGGGGCCGTTTCGCGCGGAGGAAACGCAAAACGTCCCCAGCGGCGAAAAGCGAGGAGAAACGGATGTTTTCGCAGGCTAGACAAGAACATGCAGTTTACGTTTTTATCAGTATGGTAAGATCGTCTCTAAGTAAGTGAAACATTTACACATCGCAGCTCACAACAAAAACTCGCGGTTACCCTTCGGGTATCCACGAGTAAAAAATGAAGCCAGGTAGCATTGTGATAAAAAACCCAAACAAGTTTCGAATAGTATGCAGGCGTATGGTTATTATTTCGTATACTAACTGCCCCCGCATGGTTCCGGCCCAGAGGCCGAAACCCGAAGAGGCACCCTAAATTCCCCCGTGTAGAGAAGTATCATTTTTTTCGTTGGTATTGTGCGAAATGAAACTAGGCGCGCAAGGTGGTCCCGGTTAATTTTTGAGCTTGCGCGCAAGGTGGTATTGGGAAAAACTTGAAACACGTCGTTGACCATCCTCTAAAACCACTTTCCCCTCTTAGCTACACTTCATGAAATTTCTAAGTCTCTTCAAATGTCTGCTCTTCTAATCTTTTGCTAAGTATAAGTCCCTTTAATTTTAGAAAAAAACATCGGGAGAAATGGCTATTGTTCTCAGGACATTTACTTACAGTAGGTGAAAGCTTTTAGGTCTGTCATATCGCTTATTGTTATTCTAAAATGCTGAACAGGAGTCTTTTTCATTGGTTACCATGAACGCGCGGCAGTACTCTTCATCGTGGACAAGGCGGGTGAAACTAAAAATAGCCCAATCTCTCTATTGTGTTCCCTTTTGTGAGGCCTGATCACAACTTTACGCATTTTAATTACTCCTTACAGATAACTGACTAAAAGACGAGTCGAAAATTTTAGTTTAATTTCGTTTCCTTGCACTAGAGATTTGACGGAGCTCTAACTGATCACTCTATGAGTAAGACGGCGGTAGAGAAAAAGTGGAGTCAAAAAAGAAGTCAGTTTGCCTTTAATAAATTACATGTGAACGAAGATAACGCAAAACTAGAGTGATCAGTACGAAGTTGAGAATCGGCCCTTTCGCATCGGAAGTTAGTCTCCTGAATACACCCGTCGGGCGCGCAATAAAGAGATTGAAGTCAAAAAAAGAGGGACGTTTAATATAGACAACGATAGCAAGAAATATTTATTGAAAAGTTGTGCCGCGCTCTATAACGAGAATTGTAGACTCTATGTAAATTTTCAGTCAAAAACAGAGTCGAAAATGGTCATATTCGCGCAGATGAAACCGCCAATAACCAATCTGAACCTAGATAAGCTTATAACATAACCGAACCTGTGTAACTATGTAGTTAAGCGTGAATCAGATATCTTGAAAACAATTTTGTTGGAGAAGCAAACGCAAGCCGCAAGTGCTCTGATGTCTTTAAATTTCGCGCGCGACTGGCCTCTCAATGTTGTCTGTTGTTCAAAGCGACCGCGTATTGTTTTTTCATGGCAACCATTGTTTCGACTAAGACAATGTCTTCAGTCCGAATGCGCGCGAACTTTAAACTTCATATTTTCAAACTTGAAAGTCTGCAACTTAATCGAGTCAAATTTTCGCGAAAAAGCTATCCACGTGTAGGTAAGGCCTTTGTCTTAAATAATCTGCTGTGTAATATGAAGATTTCTGATTATTTTTGAAGAAATTCGATGATTAACTTGGACAAGGGTCTTTTTCCATACTGAAAACACAGTAAAAAGCCTGATTTTCAATGTTAAAAGTCTGCACCCAATTCTCATTTATTTTACTTGAAATTTAGCTGAAATGATAGATTAATCCTTTAACGTAAAGAATTCGCTCTATAATGGTAAAGAATTCATCTTTTTAAGTACCGAAATGATGATTTTGGTCACTCGGCTGCGCCAAAATCGCCCGTTTTCTCTATCATTATACCGCTTCCTTGGCACATTCACGCCTGATTAGCCCACCTCAATGCCTCATTGATACGCGCAAATGTCCGGCCATTTCTCCCGATGGGAAATTTGATGCGGCATAAGCGGGTTCCGAACCTGCGGTTTGAGAAACCGAAATCCACCACCAATACCACTACACTACAGTGCGAGATTCGACGGCAAGTTATGCTTTCGTTTTACATATTTATAGAGACAAACCTAACAGTAAATGAAAGCTAACCATTTCTAGTCAGTGCTTAACCCTAGTCACTATAACGTTTTGCGAAGTTTTAAAATGTCATAACCTAAGAGCATGATAAAGAGATAACGTGTTGAACGTTAGAAGAACTATTGCTAGTTTTAAGTATAAAATGCTTTAAATGGACGTTTACGGTCATTTTCGCTGTTTTTTTTAGTCAAGCGATAACTTCCATACAACTTCTTTAGTGGAATGTTCAAGAACCTAGGAACCCTGTACTGTGACCTCAAGAATCATGGACAAACCGGCGAACGAGATTTGCCTGAAGGTGTACATGTGAAGGACCTGACTGCGAAAACACAAAAGTATTGACAAAAAGTGACAATACAGTTTATTTATAAGAATTTTCATTTCACGATTCTTAGTTTCTTTTCCTTTACAAGACAGTAGTCATTTTAAGTTAAGAGAACACATCAAAGTTACTATAAAAACAAGAATATTGTTTAACTTTCAAATACCTGATTATCGCAACACTCACTTAGACAGAGGTTGATCGACATGGCAAGAACGCTTTTAGTGCGTAACTGCTAAGTATTCTCAATTTTGGAAAGTCCGCACCCCCACAACACACTGTTGACCCCTCAAATTTTGCATTAACTACTGTTTTCAAATCCTCTTGGAATAGCTACATATTCCAGAGAGTATTTGAAAACAATAGCCTGAGAAAACAGCCGACATTTGGCGACGCTACCACTGGTTTCCCCGCCAAATGACGTTTGAGAAACGAGCGCATAAATTCCACACTGATGATGCGTCACTACTCACAAGATCTGGGTAGTGCTTCTGACTGGTCTTACCGCGTGGGAAATTTGATTCAACCAATAAGAAGCACTACCCAGATCTCAGTTGTGACGCGTCATCAGTATGGAATTTCTGCGCTCGTTTCTCAGACGTCATTTGGCGGGGAAACCAGCGGTAATGAAAACAATAACTTATGCAAATTTTGGGGGAGCGCATTACGGCGGATTTGAACATAGTCAATCGAGGCACATGAAAGTGTGAAGTCTGGCATAGTTTAATCAAAAGCCCGCATATAACGGGCGTTATTCAGTAGAGCGAGAAGAGAGATCATTAATAATACGTTTTCCTTATGACTACCTAGTTAATTCTTACCAAGATCTAACTGCGAAACGTCTTTGTCATTTCAAATCTCTGCCAGCGTTGAAGGGGCTATGTCACGGCGGTTACCGGTCGCTTCGATACAAAGTCGTTTCAACACAACTCGCTTCGATGCAAGTTAATTACTTCGAGGTGTAAATAGTTTCACGTACTTGGCTTAAGGAACGAAGAATATTCACCCAAAATGTTTGTCTTGTTCAATTGCAAGCTTTACTCTAAGTGATCGAGATTTTTGTGCAATTTCACTGCATGCTCGAGTTCGTATCGAATCGACTTTGTATCCGGAAACGACCGGTTTCCGTCACGGCTGTCCAGTTCATTTTGTTAATATTGCCAATTAGAGATCTTTATCCGCTATGGAACTTAACATTAGTGAAGAAATAACTTGTAAATAACACAGCTTCTTGTCCGGCAAATATGCCTCCTAAGTATCTTATCAAACGTTACAAACAACAAAAATAAACTTTGAAAACTGTTAGGCTAACAAGTTTTTTAAAATGCACAATTGCAATCCGTTTCAGTCTTCTTCAAGTTTGTCCATCTGTGCCTTCTTTTGCATTTTCCTTGTTATTTATACTTTCTTCTAATGTTCTCAGCGGGTTATTTTTCTATTTTTCTTAATTTAGTGGCAGTTCCTACTGTTAAAGTTTTGATAAATTGTGTGACAGCTCCTTTTTAAAATACGACTTTAATTACCTTAAGAATTGTACTTTCAATCAGATAGACCTATAACAACGTGCATTGCAAAATTAGGTGACCTTGTCACTTCTAAACTCGGAGAATTATAAGGAATAATATTGATATGTTCTCACTGACGCGACAACGAATTTCTTAAGGGTGCTGATCCAACGGACCATCTCAGGAGGGAAAAATATCAAGATCGTCCAAACACCCTCATGGAAACCTCTACTCGTCCCAAATGAGAGTTTTTTAGTAAGTACTTGTTATAATTTTTAAACCGCGCAGGCAGACGGATATCATGTTGTGAGCTGTGTTTCCCTATAGATCTTTAAATATTTTGTTGTGTCATTGTTAAAAGTATCACGGTTATGATCCAGTGTACAAATTAGCGTGCAAATTACTAAACCAATCCCGAAGTCCGTGGTAAAGAATACTACATAACTGCATTAACTGGGCTACCAGAAGTTCTTACCTTTCTCGAACTTCTGTCATTTGTTTTTTTCAAAAGCCGCGATTCATTTCAATATCAAACCTGGATATCACAACAGACGCCTTCGCAGAAGATCTCTTTCCTTTACCAACAGAATTGCTGTCCAATCACTGTCATTTAACCTTTTCTAACTGAAACATTTCACACGAAAGAAAAATGCTTTGTAAAGGGTCCACGTGATCGCGTAGGTTTTATTGACTTTATAACGTGATGAGTTTGTCAGCTGGACTCGGCGAGGTCGCAGATTCCAAACGTGGTACCAACTCGCTGGAACACTCTTCTGAGGACGGAACGTAACTCCAGCTTGCACTCCACCAACAACATGTTGCAAAGCAGCGGGTAATATCGTGAAATGTGCCTCTTGAACTGTCAAAACAACATAGAACAGTTGTTAGAACTGCAGTCAGGATTGCCTTGTCCCTGTACGGCATTTTACCAGGCCATCTCAGTCAAAACGCATTGGCCGCATGGAATAATGAGGCCTAAGGACTAGGCAACATCAAGGAGAGGTGCTGCCTACAAGCGTCCGTGTTTGTTCTAGCACGGCGCGTGTAGTGTCTTGGGAAGGATGTAATGCACCTTCCCATGACGCCCTGCACTCTCTGTTTTCCGTGCTTGCGGTGGAGCATAGGAACGAGGTAAAGGAAGCTGTCTGCTTAAACGGTAGGCATGAAATGTAGCGTTCAGTGTGGCTGAAACAAACCTTGATTGAATGCATGATAAGGTAAAAGTGTCAACTACTCATGCAGGAGCATAATAACAACAAAAGAATTTGCAAGGTTAAAACAAAAATACAGTTGAACCTCCTTTAAGCGTCCGACTTTAAAGCGACCAGTAATCAAAGTCCCGAAATAACTGTAGAAAAGAATGGGAACTTAAACCTCTATTGGAGGGCCTCGTCTACTAGGCGGCTTCGGCCACCTTTTGGTCCCCCCAAAGAGAGTTCTCCTATTGTTGTGGCCTCTATTGAGCGGCCACCAAACGCTTGATACACTGAGTTTGGCTTTATTTCAAGGAAAAAAATAATGAAGGAAAATACAGTCCGAGCTAGAAGTGATGTGTCTTCTAACGATTATGCTAATCCATGACGAACCGCTAATGGTAATTGAGCAGTCAACCGCCAAAATCGAATTAAGCGGACACAAGTATGATTTGACCAAAATTGCACGACACGAAGAGAGGGCGATTAATTTTGGCGGTTCAGTACTAATATTTTATTGATCGAGAAGCCGGTTTGTTAAAAAGCCCAAAAAGACTTTGAAACAGAAATGATGTTCAAAAATGGTGCGTTTTGACTGTGAATCGTGAGTTGGAACAGAAATTTTCCAAACCGTGCTTGACAATAATTGACGGATAGCCAGTGATTTTAAAGTAAAGCAGTCAAAGGAACCCGAGAGAGGGCGATTAATGGCGGTTCAACTGTAGAAGTAAGCCCAGACTTTGCGTTCTGTGTGACTGTAATCAGAAATTTTTCCAAACCGTGCTTGACTAAGAATGTCGTTTTAAAGTGAAAAGGAACGTACTGGCGGATACTGTGGAAACAATTCAGAACGCCTTATATGACACTGGAATTTGGCAATGCATGCAGGGAGACTCATGTCGTGCATTTTTACCTCTAGGCACCGGAGTGAATTACTGAACAAGGATGAAAATGGTGAAATAAAAAGAACATAATGAACAAACATAAAACATTGAAGTTTAAAAGTACAGCTTAAATAACAAGCAAAATTTATCATTAGACAATATTTTCCGAGATTGTATCTTCAAATAACAAAGAAAACAGTTATCTGAGTTTTAAGACAAACATACCCGTTCGCTATCAAGTTTTAGCAGTCTGTTCAAGAGCAGCAATAGAAGAGACGTCCAAGCATCTCGATGACTGGAGGATTCCAATGAAAGAAAATATCGCAACGCATCTGTGCATATTCTGAGGATTAAAAACACAAGAACAGCTGTTAAATAGAACTCTCTAAGAAGGTCCGCATGAATGGGAATTAAGTCTTCCTCATTACATACGAGTGGAGAGAGGTTTCTTCAAACACTTCTCCTACGTACTCAGATGCTTAGAGAATAGAGGGACCCAAATTCAGCTTGTTACCTCAGAGAGCGCTGTTCAATTTCGGGCCATGAATCTTTCCTTTCTTCGTCTGAATACATTCTAAACAAAATGCGCAGCATACAGGCCAAGCTGGACGTTTCCTGCTTTAATAAATTGGGTTTAGACTTCCCTTTAAAACCTGTAGAGAAAACAGTGAAAAGACAATTAATTCAGTACTACAGTAAACACCCGCCAATAAGAGCCTACATAACTCAAAGTCTGGCAAAATAGGTTCCTTTAGCTTCTGCCGAGCAAGGGAAAAACAGGGAAACTGCAGAGAGCTATTTTGAGAAAACCAAGGCTTCAGAACTAAACTCATATGTATAAATATGTTTGCACAGCTTCCTTAAGGAGCCGGCGACAGCTCCTGCTAAAGGAATGCTAACAATATCTTTTGAAAATGCCAAGGCCGCCCGTAAAAACAAAGCTAAACAAAATAAATCTTCATGATTACTCACCAGCTTTCATAAGGAATGTCCTCTGTTCATTGTTGGAGTTAAAGGACTTCGCGAATTGATGAGACTCTTCCAAGCAGTCGACAAACAGAAGCAACTGGGGCGAGCTAAGGAATGGGAACATTCCTGCTTCCGCAGCAGTCTCGCTCACTGAACTGTCTAACCGTGCGCGGGACACTTCGCCAGACTGCAATCAAGGCGCTCATTAGTATACATGTAGGCAAGTGGCAGCTACAATACTCGTCAAAAATCTTGAAACACTTGTGTCTATTTCCCCTTCCCCAATGTTGATTTGGGTATCACAGTGGTCTGAGTGCTTCAAAATACGCGTGGCTCAACATTGGGGAGGGAGAAGGCACATTTCAGGGGGGAAAACAGTGTGAAGTAGAAATCTCATGATTATTCCAGAAAATTCGAGAGAAACGGTGTCTGTTTCAACGATTTGTGACGAGTATTGTAGCTTGGACTACTGTTACTTGGGGCTTAATAGAAGGGAGGTTAAGCATCACGTTTAAGTCAAACGGCAAACGCGATTTGTACCACATGACCAAGTTTTCCCTTTGCTTGTCGCCTACTATTCATCAGATTTCTACACATGAATTAGTCGTTTCACGCAATTTGTTATCCATAAGAATTTTGTGAGCTGTTTTTATCGGCTCAGTTTTTTTTTTTTGAGAAATTGTCAACTTAAATCTCTCTAGAATGTTCCTTTTCTCAGGGCAGCAAAGCTAGCTCGGAAAAATTCATGAGGGCTTAACTTGCCACTTGTAAATATCACATAGAGTAATCGCCTGAATACAGCCGCCCCCTGGTCCGTATCCCCGAACTTGCGTAATTTGTGACGATTGACAGACATAAGAAAGAATTAGTCAGAAATAAATATTCAGAGACGCGCAGGGGTTCGTGGGATAGTTTCAGACTATTTGTGGTTTTTGCGCGGGATTTGTGGCATTCTACGTCATCTCGGTTGTTGTGTTCGCTTCGTTTTGGTTTGCAAAGTTTCTTTTGCGATAGTTTATACTCTTAGGTGTTCAGATCTGTATGTTTTTGTTACAACCTTATTTCAGTGTATTCTTTAGAAATATTAGTCTCTTTTTGGAGTAGTCTGTGTAACAAAGTAGTTACTGTTTTTTTTTACCACTTTTCACTAAGGCCAGTTTTTTCAGCGGTTTTTCGTATCTGGCGTGGCACACGGTATAGACTGGAACATTTAATAGTATTTCGCTGGAAGCCTCCCACGCAGACATTCTTAGGGCTTCGTAACGCGTTCCTTCCCCAGGAACGTTCAAGGGGAAGGGACGCAAGGCGAAGCCCTAAGAACGTCTGCATGGGAGGTTACCGAAGGTATTGCTTTGCTCTGCTAAAGGTAAAATTTATTCCCGCTAAAAGCACATTTCTGGTGAGAGAATTGACAACTAAAACGAGGCAAAATAAGACAGCAGAGGTCAAGACTGAAAAATATGTGCGAGAACGTGACCCGCCTTACCCTTGAAAAGGAACGGGAGGGGTGGACAAACTGGAAATACCGGGTTAGTTTCCATGATATGACAAACAGGAACCATAACAAACGTCACCAAATAAGGATTGCGCTCTCCTGTATTGAACGCAGTTAATGGTATGCTCTTTCACAATAAAGCGGAGACGTGTGACGTCACATTTCTATCGTAGCAAAATTTCCGGATCTCAATATTCTTTCTTGACAGAGATGGCCATTTGCATTGTCGAACGACGGAAGAAAAGTATGGGCTACCGTTTTCTTCTAGAGTGCAATCGTGCACAGGAAAGTCACAATGTCAATTCTTTCGTTCTCTTTTCTGTCATGGTTTGTTCAGAGTCCAGACCATGGCTACATGACGTAAAGACTTGTCCTACAGACCCTCTACGGCAAGCCACTACCAGTTACCTAGTGCAAATTATTCGAATAACAGTGGAAAGAATCTACAGTGTCCTTCTCACCTTAGCAGAAGCGAGGTTTTCGGCATCTTCTCTCCGACTTGTAGCAGGAAAGAACACTACATTGTCAATGGTTTGGATAAGCTCCAGTTGCACAACACAGCGAATCAGGAGAGACGTAAATAACTCTTCCGCAGTGTTATCTGAAAATGGCGATAAGTGACAGTGATATTACAGTGGACAAATGTCATCGTGGATTCAGTGACAGCCACTGCAATAGCCTGCGTAGCTGGGCTGGCGGTTTTGTTTCTCAAGCGCGCAAATGAGCAGCGAAGAAGTGAGGAGCATGAAGAGGAGACAGCTTCGCTGATTTGCACCGTTCATTTGCCCTCTCGCCAAACAAACCGTCAGCTACGCAGGCTACCACTGCAAGCAAACAAGTCGAATCTGTCCTTCCTATTTGCACCAACCATTATGCACTTCATAACCCTTTTGTACATTAGAAAGAATAAGATAAACAAATAAAACAAAATAAATAGATAAATAAATGGTATTTTTAATCTGGGGCTCGTTTTTTTTCAAGTTTCCATTTGATGCAAAAAATGTCATGTTGTAAATAAATAAATAAATAAATAAATAAATCTGAAGGAGGATCCTAACATCCTTGTTATACCTGACTAATGGAGTTGATAAAATCGAGGGGTACCAAAGCAAAAGAATTACACTTTCACAAAAGAGAACGTTTTCTCCTTTCGGCTGGCATTTTGATAGAAAAACGGCTTTCATAATTCAAACAGTGTCACCATTCCGCTTTTAAATCCCCATGAAACGTCACGCCAAAAATAAGGCAAGCAGTCAAAATAAACAAACAACAAGATGGCATAATAAGGGGGATACAACCTTTGTGCCAGGTAATAGGCGAGATCGGGCTACGAGCACAAATTACAGATTATATTACATGTACATAGAAATTACAAATTTCGATTCAGAAAGCTTGAAATTTTGTATTTCATCCTTGTTACTCACAGTGATGAGGCGGGCTTTCTAAGGGCTCTGTTCTAACTGACGACAGTGTCGTGATCTGATTGGAGCGCTCTTTTTCTTGAACCTGCAGTGCATCTTCAGCGGTGTCAGCTTGCTTTTGTTCAACATTGAATGTCTCTGTTCCCCAAACATCCCCATCTGTAGGAATAAATTGGTTCTTCTTTAAATAACGCATCAATTATAGCTGGCATCTCTTCGAGCACGGACCATCATTTTTTCACCATTTTTTTTAACATGTCGCTATCTTGCGCAAACCTTTTTTTTTCGGATATACCTTCCTGCAGAGACTTTTTTGGGGTATCCAGCAAATGTTGTCAGAGGTTATTAACATACAGCTCAATTCTTTTTTCCGTAAAGCATTCATACATCTTATATTTCAGGCATCAGTTGCTCAGAGGATACCCTGGAAGCAGAGGCTACATTTTCGCGGTATAAGGTGGCGTGCGAAACGCCAGCTGATACCGCGACAACGTAGCCTCTGCTCGAATGGTACTCAGAGGATGGATGGCGCTACTCATAGAATAAATCACTGTCCAGTGGGTCTACAGTCATTGTTAGACGACCCACATGACGGTTCTCTCGGAGATTACTTCCTCCAATGTCTATTGTGGGTTTATTGGTCCTGTAATAAAAGCCTCGACCTGTTGCTTGTCCCTGAAAACGGATTACTTTGTTAGGCGTCCGTTGCTTTGCAAAATTTTCAAGGTGAGGACAGATTGGGTTATTACTTATTACTTAGTAAGGGTTATTCCTTATTGGGATAGGTCACCACATGAGACAAAAAAAAACAAACAAACAAACAAACATATCTGAACAAACCTTCCTGTAGACGAGGAACTATATCGTGTTCTGGTCTTACTTCCAAGTCCACCGACCTCTGTTAAAAATAAAAATTTCCAACCGATATCAGATTGAAGCGCCTAAATGAGCGTGTATACAAAGACGAAAGTGTGTCAGTGACAACACATTCGAGACATAATTTAGAACAAAAATAACCTGAGATCAGGCTCTATTTTCGTTTCGCTTTGAAAATTACTTTCCGGCGGGCAAGACGAAACGAAAAGAGGCGGTAGCCGTTAGAGAGAATGTATGAGAACCGCTCAAATTGGGCCTGATCTCAGTTTAGAACAAAAAACTCCAAAAAATTTCCGAGTTCGAGATGAGATTCGAGCTCACGACCCTCTGAGTTTTAGATCGGACGCTCTATCCACTGAGCTGGATGATCATATTGCATGAGATAGATGCAAACTTGCCGTGTCAAAAGAATGTTGGCGGTCCGGAGTTCGTACAGGGCTGTCGGGAGTATGCGTGGGTGTAGACTCGGGGGTTGGTGTTCCTGTGGTTTGTGTCTCTGGTCTCCAAGTAAGCAGCTCATTTGGTACAGTAGAGGTGAATATGTCCCGGATGCAACGACACGCCCTCTGCCACATTTCTGGAGAAAATTGAGAACCATTCGAGACTACGAGGTTCTCAAGACAGTTAGTGCCAGACCTTGCAAGCTGCTCATTATCTGGGAAGATACAAAAAACGTATGTTCCGCGTGAGGGACTATTTACATGATACGAGACGAACGCGTACGATAACAACGAATGTACTTTTTAATCCAACAATGAGTGCGAGTCAAGATTTCTTAAATGAATAAATTTATACACGTGATGGCCTGGAACTACGGTGGAAAATCGCAGACCAATAACACTACATTAAAGACTTTCATTCCGGAACGAGTTTCGTTCCAGAATGAAATTCGTACTGAATTCACATGTTAAAGCGTTCTCGCTAGTGCCAGATCAGATACGCATGCGCCACTTGCCCCAGACTAGACGGTTTGCGATTTCAATTCAGAACGAAGTTCTCTTTCATTTTACATGATACCAGAATGAAGTCTCATACCAGAACGAGAATTTCATTGGGATTGAAAACCGGCATGAACACAATGATTCCGGAATAACCTGTACGCGAACAAAATGTCGTTTCGGTATCATGCAAACAAATACAGAGAAATATGTGGAGATGGAATGAACTCGTTCCAGAATTATCAGGGTTCGTACCGATTTCTGGATCCAAAATTCAAGACTTTTTCCAAAACAATATATTTTTTTCCCGACTCAAGGTTATCAAATAGGTGATCAATAGAGACCTTACAAAAACGAAGGAACAAAGCTTTTACCACGACGCGCTGCAAACGTACAGGCGAGATTGAATAAGATTTGACCAACACGAAAAAAACTTCACTTGTAAAACACTTGCTCTAGCTTTCAAAAAAGAGAGAAAAGGAAAGACTTTTTACCATTTTTCCACACTTTATCTCTATTTTCCAGACTTTTTCCAGGTCTGGAAAATTGCTGGGCAATATCAAGACTTTATTAAGAATGCAAGACTCTGTACGAACCCTGCATTATGTTAATAGCCCCTAAAATGAAATATTCATAGTATTCAATCATGTATTTATGTCTTCACATTCATGTATTTAACGTAGCTATAAGGCCAATCGAATACTCAAATTAAATGCAGCCCTTAAATAACGGTGGAATTGGAATCAAAGAAAAATGTGATACAACTTTGTTAAAGTACAGAAAGTTAACTATCGGTTTTTGATATACCAACGTGATCAATGTATTAGTGTCACTGCCTACATGTAAAGTTAAGTAAATGTGTGATAGAAGTATTATAGTGTAACTTAAAGATCAGTAAACTTGAGAATTTCTCTGTAGATGTTTACAGAGAGTCTCGCTCTTAGGGTGTCTCTACTAAGATCTTATTTTCTTTACGCCACTGACGCACAGACCAAGAGACAGACAAGATCGCACACCCACAACACGTTTCAAATTGAATTTGAATAGGCTATTTGGACGATGGCGTCATTTTACTACTACGACCAGAGTCCTTTGGGGTTTTGATTTCTCGTGCAAATAAGAACTTTTCTTATTTAAACCTCACTGGGATTTCCAAATTTAAATATGAAAGGAAAAACGAAAAGTATTCTGGCCGTTAGTAGTAAAATGACGCTATTGTGCAAATGGCCTATTACTTGAAATGACGAACTCTCAATGCACGTAAAGACAATTTTCCATTTTGCATCGACTCTAAATCGCCGATTAAATACCTTTTGACACATTCTAAACACCAATAGCCAAATTCTTTTCGTTCTTCGCCACCAAACGTCTTTCCCGCACTTTGTGACGGCCGTTCGCATTTTTTTTTTTTTTGCAGCGCTTGGCGCAGGCTGCAGATTTTTTCCCGCGCTTGGCATCAGAGTGACGTAGTCCACCTCTTCAAATCAAGGACTGCGAATGTTTTCTCGCCCAGCACAGTTCACAGCACTTTATAAGATTTTCCACTTTAAATTAAACTGGAATACGTACCTTGTTGAACACACCACAGTAAATGTAAAAACATGTCCTCTAACAGAACATCAGACAACACTTCAAAGTATTGCGTGAAAACGTCGATTACCGCGTACAAAGCATGGTTACATGTGGTCGTCATCCACTCAGACTTCTATAGCAAAGAAAAAAAACAGCAAAAATCCGGGGTGAACAGACTATAACCACTCATCACGCGGACATGAAAGACTTAGACGACATATTCGCATTGTTAAGTCAGCATTAGATCCCATCGGACTAAAACCCTTGGACACCTTAGGAAGTTTACACAACGTTGTATTCTTTATTGCTTCTACACTGCACTTAGATGAAATTTCTAAGTTTCTTGACATTTCTACTCAGGAAATGTTTACGAAAGTGTAAGTCTCTTCAATCTTTAAAGAAAAAAAATTTACAAGAGCGAGAGTAAGAATCGAACCCAGAGTGTAGTGTTTGCAGTCCATAATCTTTATACCACTATGCCATTGAGGATTTGCTGGCCAGCATTAGTTTGATTTGAAGCTATATAGCAACAACCCTAACCCTAAATAGAAGCTAGCCGTTTGGAGTCAGTACTTAACCCTTATCACTATTTTCTGTGCTTAATCCTAATCAGTATTGTTGCTTTAACCCTATAGTCACTATAGTCACGCCATAAGGAATGCTACCAACCCAAGGGGGTTTAAGCCGATGGGATCTAATGCTAACCCGCTTGATCCGTAGGCGACACGACCTTGGAGACATTGCATCCCCAACCCCCTCCCCACTATTTATTTTTACATCTTCTACCAGAGGCGGGAGCGCCATTTTAAGTGGTCATCCAAGCCACTCGAAGGTCTAGCCGTTTTTAAGGCAAAGGGAGTACCTTCGTATCTCAGTTAAATATTTTAAAACCCTGAGTATTGGTCCTGCCCTGGAAATAGAACACGCGACGTCCCGCATTGCAGTGAAGCGCTCGACCGATTGAGCTAGTCCTGCGGTTAAGAAACTGGATATAGCAAAAAGTATTTTAATCACTTACTTCTGACCAATCGACCTGTTGATCTGGTAGCTTCATGTTATCAAAAATCCTAAACACCACTCTGAATACATCTCTCCACCAATGCTGTTGAAATGTGTGCCCGTAACTTTTCATGATCTCAAACATCACTGTTAAACCTCTGCAAAGAACACAGGTTAACACAGGAAACTTAACAAACCAAAATTAAAATTAGTTTCTTCAAATCAGCTTGTAAGGTAAACTGGACAACAACGGATCTCTTTTCTACCAGCAACAAGAGGTTCTTTGACTATCAAATACCGAAAGACTCGTTCAAAATGAAAAGTAATGCAAACATTCCCGGATAACAGTACAAGCTTTAGCAACAAAGAAGGCCACGGCAACAAGAAAGAAAAAAAGCAACAATGTTGCGCTAAAACTCGTTGTTGCGAATCGTCTCGTGTAGCATCACCTTAAAACACGAAGTAAACAAGTGACGACGAAGTTTCCTTTCTCTTTCTAACTTGAGTGCGGTCCCCAACAACAACAACAATTTTATCGTACTAATAGTAAAAAAAAAATCAGAATAAGACTATAACAAGCTAATAATTATTTATGGGACTGGCTGTCTGGAATAACCACTAGGCTAAAACGACCAGACAGCCATTTTCGTTACAATGAAATAAAATTATCTGAAGTCGGCACATGATAAGCCGATTACATAAAGTAAGTGTCGCAATCACACATGGCAAAAAAAAACACAGAAACACAAACAAACATACATAAAGCATATAAATTATAATAAGCAGTAAAGAAAAGCATAAAAGATTACAAAAATATAGCTTTGAAGCACACAAGAAATCAACTCCGGGTAAATTCAGCTACATTTGATACTTTCATCGAATTGAAATAAACGCGACAAAGTTTGAAAAAAACGCGAATTCGACTTAAAAGTGACAACTATTTTTGGCGCAGCAAAGCGTTCCAATGTTGAAAAAATGCTGCAACCATTCGAAACAATATCGGAACAATGTTGAAACGCTGTGTTGCGCTTAAAATCGTCGTTGCGAGTTGTCCCGTGTAACATCACTTTAAGAGACTTTTGGCAGGAGAGACGTCATGTGACCTAAAAGTAGCCGACGTAAGCGCGCGCTACCAGTTATGTAACAATACCAAAGGGTTTCGATAACTTGAGCGAAAGGTTATCATTTACAAAGGAAAATTAGTCCCGTCCTGTCTTGTCCCGTAAACAAACCTGGTTCTGACGTCAAGTTTACATCTGTTTATGATACAGGACAGTTCAAAGAGGACTGGAAACCAGCCTTTGACCCAGACCTTATCGGATTCTGGGATGCCGCCGTCCTCGCTACTGTGTTCCTTGAACATCTGTAAATGAACATTGTCGTGAAATTACTTTAAGAACACTATATTTCCCAGATAAAAAATGTAGCTACATTAAAACAAATTCATTTACAGACTGAAAAGATCAGAGCATGACGGAAAAGGCAAGCAATATGATGCGTCCCAGAACGCGGACGAATTTGTTCCAGCCTGAAAGCAAAACAAGGACTCCGTGGTACGTAGACACTAGAAAACTAAACGGGAACTACAGCCCCTTTAAAGGTAGTTCAAAATGGCAAAAAAAGAAATCATTTACTGACTAAACTACGGCCACGTAACAAACAAAGAGCATTAACTGCCATCGTCTTTTTGCCATTTCTTGTTTTCCATCAGTTGTAAGCGGTTATAGTTAACTACATTTTCATAGAGCGTTTTCACTCACGTGGCCGGCATTTATGCAAATTTATAGGAACAAAAAAGGGGGTTAACATAGCAAAAAGTAGTAAGACAGAATTCATTAGGAAACTGGGTAATTTCAATTTTCATTGGACAAAAACCTTGTACAAGAATAATTTCATTCTCGTTTAAGGGCTATGCTCACACTCGGCACTTGGTGCACTTGCTCCGTGCCCAAGTAGGAAACTCACTGTGAACTAATGTGAACACACACTTTTTTCGAGCCCTGGCGACAATGCAAGCACTGACGTGGACACCAGGTCCCTGTTCGCACTAGTTTTCTCTTTTGTCCGAGGTAATCCACTGGTTTGCATAACCATTGCTCCCTGTTACGCTTATGTTTCAAAATAGTGTCTGACAGGGCGAAATGGAACAAATACGTACATAATTACAAATCGCGTCTCCAAGGTAAGAGCACAATACTATTTCGCGCTAGTACCCTGGACTGTAGCCGTCGAACGCAAGACGTATTTCCGGTCGTCGTCGTCTTTCTAATACCATATTTCCTCAACTAATAGCAGCCCCTCGATTAATCGCCTAACTCGGATAATCGCCCCCCTCCCCCCCCTTAGCCGGAAATATATAAAATAATCGCCTCTCTCGAATAATCGTCCCCCCCTCCCCACCCTTCTCGCCATCTTCTCTTTCTTTTTTCCCCTCCTTGTAAAGCTAAAGTGGAGTCTATCTGATGCGGCAAACTTCGGCAAAACGATTCAAGCTCTGGAGCCGAGGATCTTGACACTGAAAAGTAATCAAGGAACCAAATTTGGAGCGCTAAAAAGCCCGTGTTCAGTTTATTTGATGTGATCATTTTTCGATTTAATGGAAAAATAAAACAAAATACAGTGGAACCCCGTTAATGCGACTACCGTTGGGCCATAAAATCAGTCGTTATAACGAGGTGGTCGCATTAACGGGTCCTCAAAATAATAAAATGACTCAATGGTTTTTACGTTTGGTTTGAAAGAATATGGCCGTAATAACGAGGTGGTCTTATAAACGGGGTGGTCGTAAGGCGGGGTGCCACTGTATTTGGGGCATGACTTTCAGTGAGCAATGTTTGAAATAATCGCTTTCCTCGAAAAATCGCCCTCTTTCTGTGCGAAAAAAAATAATAATCGCCTCCGACTATTATTCAAGGAAATACGGTACGTCCGTGTTCGCAACCTACAGGCAGAGATGCTCGATCCCTAATTTAAACATAGCCTGAACTTACCTCTGGGTTATCGTATACATATTTTGCACAGTTCCTGATGAGTCTTATGGCTTCCATACTGGTGTCAGGAAATGACGCGTTACACGCAAACTCGGACAAACATTTGACAGCATCTTGGAATGAATCAATAGTGGCGTGAAAGTACTTCTCAAATATAGTGGCTGAAACAAGAACAGAGACAGAATAGTTACAACAAACTTCAGATAAATCTGTCAGAATAGTTTTCGCACGACTTCTGTATTTAACCTGTGTTAAGTCTTTAAAGTGGCAAGGTCAACAAAAAGATATTCTTACAGGTATTCATGCTTTCCTATTTAGTACTTACAGGGAGAATTTGTTATACAGTTTAAGAAGGCTTGTCTTTGTCCATTATTTCCTTAAATCTCAAGACCTGGATTATTTTGTTTCCATTGTTTTGAACAGGTAATTCTTTTCAATAAATGGGGTCTCTACGTTTTGCGTGTATCAATGAAATCAGGCCTCCCACCAGCTGTTCTCATTCAGGGAATGAATAAATTTTCTGGAACTGCACATTTTAAAATATGCTTGGTTGTTGCCTTTAGTTAGTTGTATAGTGTTTTTCTTGGGGGGGGGGCTTCCGTAAAAACACCTAGACTCAGTAGACTCGGCAAATACGTTGGGAGAACAAATTCACACTTCAAAAGGAAAATTTGGAAGAATTGAAATATAAATAACGTAAAGTTATGAACGTACCAGTAGTTTGAAAAGCCAATTCCACTATTCCTTCATCCTCATCTGATGCAGCCAAGTGAAATACTGAGAAAACATTCTTCCAACCGGACTTGATATTGTGAGCCTGCGAGTGTACCATTTGTGCTACACAGCGCACTACCATGTCACGTATGGTAGCAGACCTGTGAATTTTCAAAATAACAAAGGTAATTTCATTTTTCGAAGACACAAGGGTACATATTGCAGGAGCCAACAACTTGTTTACAGGTCGAGCACATCTCGGCCTTTTGTTCCTTCAGACGATTTTCGGATATGTGTCGTACGTAAAATTTCGCTTCTAGGGCTCCTCCCTTCATTTTCCTGCTTTACTTGTCCCATTTTTCCCCTTTTTGGGGGCTTGGCATTTACTAGCCTTCATTTCATTGAAAAAAGTTTTTTTGGGAAAGCTTTTAGCGTCGTAGAATTAGAAGGAAGAAAGTGCAGGTGGAAAGTGGACACGGAAATTTTCCCGACGCAATTTCACTTTGGAAACAGATATTTGCTTCCCCTTGGGCAAGCGTCTTATGTAACAGGGGTAAAATGGCTAGAGCATCCGCAGCTATTGTTACCGCTCCTGCTTGAGCACGTGCCAATGATACGTTGTGTAATTTTAGGTTCTCATTATTTTAGACAATTGTAACTCTGATCATTGAAATCCAATTTGAAATTGTAACGTCTTCACATTGTATCGTATACACGCAAAGGAAAATGTAACAATGAATTAAACTGATAATGACACGAGTCATGCCGAAACATGTCTTCAAAAGTTGGATCGTTTGTCTTCACTTTATTTTGATTTTACCATTGTCACTAAGTTATAGAAGCATCATACACAAACAAAACTTTAAATGACATGATGAGCGAAGACTGATTGTAACTAAAATTTTATTGGTCAGTTTTAGAAAAAGATTTATCAAAGATAAAATTTATTGTCCATTAGCGAAAAATACTCTGGCATGGCTTTCTGTTTTGTTTTTAAAACGTAGGGCAAGCAATTTCACTCTAGAAAACTGTTTCCCTTAAATTTCATCTCATCAACGTGAGTACGCATTACTTATAAAAAGACAGCAGGGTAAATTGCCTTCAGGCACAACACATCACCAAGATAATGAAGTATTTCACAACAGGCCGGAAATAATTTCAGCCTGTTTTAAACGTCGAACTTCATTCACACGTGTCGAATCTAATGCAAATTAACGAGAACACTACATTTCCCTCAATAGCATCAAATTTGGCACCTGTAAAGTGCAACATCTAATACCACGGCTTCTTGTCAAAAACTTCAATAACTGTTCAAAGCACAGAATATTCCACAATTACAGCACGTTTAACACGCACTCAGTTTATCACATGTAGTTTCTAGCAGATCGGCTAATCTTAAGTGTAAAACGGACCAGACGACGCGTTCCTCCTGTCCAGACGAGAAACAAAAGTTTAACACAGCCAAGGAACTGAAAATGAACCTAAGCGCGACTTTTCAAACCAAGGAGATTACCTCAGACTGTGATCTTTGCATTTTCTTGGGAGGCAGTTTAAATGAAAGTACCAGAAAGGCATATACGGTACTCTTGTATCTTATAATCATAAACGTTCTCTCTCTCCCCTTAACAAGCGTTTTAAATGGACTGGTCATATTCGCCGTCAAAAATAAACCACGCCTGAAAACCACGAGCAACGTTGCACTCGCTTGTTTAGCGACAACCGATTGTGTGATGGGAGTGATTGGACAACCCTTTTTCGCCGTACAACTGGCAGTACTGTTACAGGGAGAGGGATCAAGCTCGTACTGCACGCTATTAGCAACGTCGGTAAACGTTGTACGGGTGTTGGGCGTAGCTTCATTTCTTCATATAACCGTCATGAACATAGAAAGATACATTGCTATAAAGCACTCGCTGAAGTACAAGACCCTGGTCACCAGAGGTCGTTTACTCCGTGGGTCCGCATTCGCGTGGGTTGTTTCATTCTTGCCAACAGTACCTTTGAGTTTCACAAACAACGATATTTACCTGGTGGTTAGCAATACGACGGGCTGCTTATGCATGGCGATTATTACTTTCTGTCAAATTGTGATTCTGCAGGAGACTCGAAGTCTTAGAAAGCGAATCGCAGTCCTTCATGTTTCACCGGAAGAAAGGCAAAAGTTTTTAAAGGACAAAAGAGCTTTTCAGCTAACAACGATTGTACTTTTTGTCTTAGTATTGACATATTCACCAATGTTTGTTGTACGAATACTCATAACCAATTCTATCATATACTCAAAAAATGTGTCATATATTTCTTTAATGTCAGCTATTTTCGCATGCATTCTAAACTCGCTTATCAACCCAATAATCTACTGCATTAGAATAAGAGAGTTTCGCGTAGCCTTTATTAAAATACTCTGCAGAAGAAGAATAAGTGTACAAGATGATAACACTCAAATTCGAACCTTTGGAACACTAAGCAATGCAGCACCGCTCGAAACGCAAAGCACAAAAACAGAAACAACAGCATGACTGTGAACTGATCAAGAGACAGGAATAACAGTAATAGCGGCTATGGAAGCAAATGAAACAACATCAAACAACATATGGCGACTCAGATGCTACTTGTAAATAAGATGAACAAACCACACCATCAGCACTACTTGATAAAAAATACTATAAATTTGCCAAATGAATCTTTTAGTTAATAACGATTTCAGTTCACCTTTTAACTGAAACGTTTGCAACCATCTCTGTTGAAAAAATTATAACTTCGTCCACCACCCTCGAATATTTACTTCTCTGATAATGAATTGTCAACTGATGGTCTACTAAATTACTTTCACTTGAAAACAATCTATTCAGTTGGCGGAGGTTTCAATTTCGTTTTTTTTTTTTCGAGTTTTAATATAATATAATCTATTATAATAACGTTTGCGTCGATTTTTGGATAAGACGCAACTCCCTGCCAAAGCGATTATGTCATGGAAAAATTAATTTCCCAGCCACTTTTTCTATCTGGATAAAGCTAACGAACCCAGATAAATAAGATAATTGAAGTAGATAAACTTCGATCACCCAGAAACCAATTTGGGCATCTATAGAGTACAAATTTCAAAACTCTGAGCAACAATTTAAAACAAAATCAAACCGCTCGAACTTTATCCGGCGAACTTCATCAGCGACATAAAATGTCAGATTACGACGTAACAGAAAGGCTACGTATTCCCAGGAGAGAATTGTATATGGCCGGGAGGTCCACACCCTCGTCTCTTTTCTTTGCTTGGTGGCGACGGCGGACTCCTTGACGCGGCGCTTGATTGTGTAATTTTCCTCTAGAAAACTTTAACATTGTGTGGATGGATGTTATGACTCGTTGCCCGGCAACGCTCGAAAACGGCAGAAGTTTCTGTTACGTAACGTGACATTTTACATCGCTGATGAAGTTCGAGCGATTCGAACGAAATATTCAGTTTTGTTTTTAATTGTTGCTCTGAGTTTTAAAATTTGTATACTAAATTGATTTGTTAAAGCAGATAAAAAACCTCTTTGATCAATTTAGGCATCGTCCATACATATCCGGATTTTTTAAATCTAGACATTTTGTTTCGAATTTTAACTTTAGTTTAATCTGGTTTAATCCACGCGTATCCGATGAATACGGTCAAAGAATCCGCAACATCTTTTTAAAAAGCTTTCCAGAACGGAAAGTTTTCAAAGCACTAGTTTGCCTGAGTTGTGTGAACACCTGGTGGGCAGATAAAAACGGAACTTTTAGAAAACGATGATGCTACAGTATCACTGACATCGCATAGCATGAAAATGTTTCACTGCCATCTTGCTTTTGCACACATGCAGCGTAAGTTAGTTTTTTTCCTTTGCGGTAAAATATTCAAAATTGTTACTTCAGAATGCAACTTAACCGGTAACTGAGGATTTCTTTCACCTCTTTTACTGTTTTTAATCTTTCTATTAACAATAAAAAATATTCAAACGGACAAAAGCGAAAGATTTACGCGTATGCTTCAACATTCTTTAATTAGCAATGAACTGCCTCACTGCCTAACTTGGCCAATATTTTCTAAATTGATTTAAACTCCTTACTTTGATGATTGTTCACCTTGACACAGCTCTAAATCTAAATTTTCCAGACAATGACAATCGGCTCCTGACAATGATTATTTGCGGACGAGACAACAAAATTTGCATATTCATTAAATTCTTGGTCGAAAAAAGATGTATTTTTGGATTTTTGAGTAAAAAGAAACTTTATACGAAACCTAAGACAAACGGAATTTAATTTGTTTTTCTTCCAACAGTGTATCGCTGACAAAGTGAATCTCACTTTCTGTCTTTTTTTGTGGTAGCTTTTATCTGTAATTTATGATGCAAGTCGGCTTTTTACCGTATTTTAAATTGCTGTTCGCAACAAAGTGTTTCCGCTGAAAGAGCTATTCTCGCGAACCCTTAAGATCATCACTTGAGTCCCGCTAAACAAAAAATTAGTTTTTTCTTTCTTTTGGAACTGTCAGCTTATTATCAAACATGTCACGGCGCGACGAAACAGAATATTCTCACACGGAACATATTTTTCGAGTGTTCTTGCTTAGACCATACCCACATCGGCTTCCCATCACCCAAGCTACCCATTTTTGTTTTAGGAAAACGTAAAAAGAAGGTAAACTAGGAGCGCAACTGTCTTGCGGCATGTTATGATAACTAACACATTTTGTATTAAGAAGGTTTACGGCATTGGAAATAGATGGAAGCTACGCATTTTGTAATCGGGGCTACATTATGAAATAATCGTAGGCATGCGCATTGCAGAGAAACAATGTTATTTAATTCACGGCAAGTAGACCTTAATGCACTTTTAAAGCTTATGAGTATTACATGATTTCAAATTTGAAAAGACACCAGGCAAAAAGAGCACAACACATGACCAAACTAAATGAAGTATTTGACAAAAGGCCGGTAAGTATTTTAATACTTAAAAACAGGCCTTTTTTAAAAGTCGAACTTCATTCACATATGCCGAATCTAATGCAAAGGAGCAAGAACAATTTCCTTCATTAGCATTAAATCTGGCACGTGTAAACTTCGACGTTTCAAACGGCGGCCTCTTGTCAAGCACTTCAATAAATGATGTTCAAAGCAGAGTTAAATCAAGTTTCCAACGAAATGTATTATCTAGCGGATCGAGTAATCTTGAGTTTAACACAGACCGGACGACGCGTTCCTCCTGTCCAAACAAGACTAAAAGAACTTTAAACCAGACAAGGAACTAAAGATGAACCGAAGCGCGACTTTCCACACCGACGAGAAAGCCTCAGACTGCGATCTTTCCATTTTCTTGGGAGGGAGTTTAAACGAAAGTACTAGAAAGGCATATACGGTACTCTTGTGCCTAATAATCTTAAACTTTCTCTCTCTCCCCTTAACAAGCGTTTTAAATGGACTGGTCATAATCACCGTGAAAACTAAACCACGCCTAAAAACCACGAGCAACGTTGCACTCGCGTGTTTAGCGACAACCGATTGTGTGATGGGAGTGATTGGACAGCCCTTTTTCGCCGTACAACTGGCAGTACTGTTACAGGGAGAGAGTTCAAGCTCGTACTGCACGCTATTAGCAGCGTCGGTAAACGTTATCAGGGTGTTGGGCGCAGCTACATTTCTTCACCTAACAGTTATTAACATAGAAAGATATATTGCTATCAAGCACTCGCTGAAGTACAAGATCCTAGTCACTAGAGGTCGTTTATTCCGTGGGTCCGCTTTCGTGTGGGTTGTTTCATTTCTCCTAACAGTACCTCTGAGTTTCGTAGACAACGAAATTTACTTGGTTGTCAACAATATGACGGGCTGCGTATGGGTGGCTATCGTTACTTTCTGTCAAATCGTAATTCTCCAGGAGACTCGAACTCTGAAAAAGCGAATCGCAGCCCATCAAATTTCACTGGAAGACAGGAAAAAGTTTTTAAAGGACAAGAGAGCTTTTCAGCTCACAACAATTATACTTTTTGCCTTGGTGTTGACATTTTTACCCACGATTGTTGTTCGAATACTCATAACAAATTCTATCATACACTCGTTAACTGTGTCATATATTTCTTTAATGTCAGCAATTTTTTTGGGCATTCTTAACTCGCTCATCAACCCAATTATTTACTGCATTAGAATAAGAGAGTTTCGCGTAGCTTTTATTGAAATACTTAAAAGATACACAACTGCACAAGTCGTAGAACACTGAACAATGCAACACCGCCGCTCGAAACGCGAAGCAAACGAAAAGAAACAACTGTACGAAAGTGAACAGATAAAGACTGAGACAGAAATAATAATGTTATCGGCTATGGAGGCGAAGACAAAATCAGTTAACGTAAGGCAGCTGACATAGCCATATGAATCTTCGTTAATTAATAACGATTATAATTTCGAGTTAAATAAATTCGTCCATCGCCCTCGAGTATACATTTCTCTGATAATGAATTGTCAACAGATGGTCTACTAAATTGCTTTCTTATGAACAAAATCTATTCAGTTGACGGAGGTTTTAACCTTCCAATTTATTCATTCACCAGTGGAATCTTGAGTGTACGCTTGCCCTGGCTTGACCGTAAGTACGTAAACTTCGATCAGCAAGATAATTCAAGTAACCAATTTAGTTATCTAGTATACAAATTTCAAAACTCAGCGCAAGAATTTAAACAAAATCGAATATTTCGTTCGAATCGCTCGAACTTCATCCGGGGAACTTCATTAGCCATATAAAATGTCAGATTACGTCACAGAAAGGTTACGTATTCCCAGGAGAGGATTGTATATGGTAGCCTGAGTATCAGGCCTTCCTAAGGGGCTAGGGAAGAGGAGATTTTAGATGGGGGGAGGGGGGAGGGGGAGAAGAGAAAGGCTATGTATATGGCCAGGAGGTCCACACCCTCGTCCCTTTCCTTTGCTTAATGGCGATGGCCGCCTCCTTGACGCGGCGCTTGATGGTGTAATTTTCCTCAGATAGAACGTTAACATTGTGTGAGTTGATGTTATGACCCGTTGCCCGGCAACGCTCGAAAACGGCAGAAGTTTCTGTTACGTAACGTGACATTTTACATCGCTGATGAAGTTCGAGCGATTCGAACGAAATATTCAGTTTTGTTTTTAATTGTTGCTCTGAGTTTTAAAATTTGTATACTAAATTGATTTGTTAAAGCAGATAAAAAACCTTTGATCAATTTAGGCATCGTCCATACATATCCGGATTTTTTAAATCTAGACATTTTGTTACGAATTTTAACTTTAGTTTAATCTGGTTTAATCCACGCGTATCCGATGAATACGGTCAAAGAATCCGCAACATCTTTTTAAAAAGCTTTCCAGAACGGAAAGTTTTCAAAGCACTAGTTTGCCTGAGTTGTGTGAACACCTGGTGGGCAGATAAAAACGGAACTTTTAGAAAACGATGATGCTACAGTATCACTGACATTGCATAGCATGAAAATGTTTCACTGCCATCTTGCTTTTGCACACATGCAGCGTAAGTTAGTTTTTTTCCTTTGCGGTAAAATATTCAAAATTGTTACTTCAGAATGCAACTTAACCGGTAACTGAGGATTTCTTTCACCTCTTTTACTGTTTTTAATCTTTCTATTAACAATAAAAAATATTCAAACGGACAAAAGCGAAAGATTTACGCGTATGCTTCAACATTCTTTAATTAGCAATGAACTGCCTCACTGCCTAACTTGGCCAATATTTTCTAAATTGATTTAAACTCCTTACTTTGATGATTGTTCACCTTGACACAGCTCTAAATCTAAATTTTCCAGACAATGACAATCGGCTCCTGACAATGATTATTTGCGGATGAGACAACAAAATTTGCATATTCATTAAATTCTTGATCGAAAAAAGATGTATTTTTGGATTTTTGAGTAAAAAGAAACTTTATACGAAACCTAAGACAAATGAAATTTAATTTGTTTTTCTTCCAATAGTGCATCGCTGACAAATCTCACTTTCTGTCTTTTTTTGTGGTAGCTTTTATCTGTAATTTATGATGCAAGTCGGCTTTTTACCGTATTTTAAATTGCTGTTCGCAACAAAGTGTTTCCGCTGAAAGAGCTATTCTCGCGGACCCTTAAGATCATCACTTGAGTCTCGCTAAACACAAAATTAGTTTTTTCTTTCTTTCGGAATTGTCAGCTTATTATCAAACACGTCACGGCGCGACGAAACAGAACATTCTCACACGGAACATATTTTTCGAGTTTCTTGCTTAGACCATGCCCACATTTCGCTTCACATCACCCAAGCTACCCATTTTTGTTTTAGGAAAATGTAAAAAGAAGGTAAGCTAGGAGCGCAACTGTCTTGCAGCATTTTATGATAACTAACACATTTTGTATTAAGAAGGTTTACGGCATTGGAAATAGATGGAAGCTACGCATTTTGTAATCAGGGCTACATTATGAAATAATCGTAGGCATGCGCATTGCAGAGAAACAATGTTATTTAATTCACGGCAAGTAGACCTTAATGCACTTTTAAAGCTTATGAGTATTACATGATTTCAAATTTGAAAAGACACCAGGCAAAAAGAGCACAACACATGACCAAACTAAATGAAGTATTTGACAAAAGGCCGGTAAGTATTTTAATACTTAAAAACAGGCCTTTTTTAAAAGTCGAACTTCATTCACATATGCCGAATCTAATGCAAAGGAGCAAGAACAATTTCCTTCATTAGCATTAAATCTGGCACGTGTAAACTTCGACGTTTCAAACGGCGGCCTCTTGTCAAGCACTTCAATAAATGATGTTCAAAGCAGAGTTAAATCAAGTTTCCAACGAAATGTATTATCTAGCGGATCGAGTAATCTTGAGTTTAACACAGACCGGACGACGCGTTCCTCCTGTCCAAACAAGACTAAAAGAACTTTAAACCAGACAAGGAACTAAAGATGAACCGAAGCGCGACTTTCCACACCGACGAGAAAGCCTCAGACTGCGATCTTTCCATTTTCTTGGGAGGGAGTTTAAACGAAAGTACTAGAAAGGCATATACGGTACTCTTGTGCCTAATAATCTTAAACTTTCTCTCTCTCCCCTTAACAAGCGTTTTAAATGGACTGGTCATAATCACCGTGAAAACTAAACCACGCCTAAAAACCACGAGCAACGTTGCACTCGCGTGTTTAGCGACAACCGATTGTGTGATGGGAGTGATTGGACAGCCCTTTTTCGCCGTACAACTGGCAGTACTGTTACAGGGAGAGAGTTCAAGCTCGTACTGCACGCTATTAGCAGCGTCGGTAAACGTTATCAGGGTGTTGGGCGCAGCTACATTTCTTCACCTAACAGTTATTAACATAGAAAGATATATTGCTATCAAGCACTCGCTGAGGTACAAGATCCTAGTCACTAGAGGTCGTTTACTCCGTGGGTCCGCTTTCGTGTGGGTTGTTTCATTTCTCCTAACAGTACCTCTGAGTTTCGTAGACAACGAAATTTACTTGGTTGTCAACAATATGACGGGCTGCTTATGGGTGGCTATCGTTACTTTCTGTCAAATCGTAATTCTCCAGGAGACTCGAACTCTGAAAAAGCGAATCGCAGCCCATCAAATTTCACTGGAAGACAGGAAAAAGTTTTTAAAGGACAAGAGAGCTTTTCAGCTCACAACAATTATACTTTTTGCCTTGGTGTTGACATTTTTACCCACGATTGTTGTTCGAATACTCATAACAAATTCTATCATACACTCGTTAACTGTGTCATATATTTCTTTAATGTCAGCAATTTTTTTGGGCATTCTTAACTCGCTCATCAACCCAATTATCTACTGCATTAGAATAAGAGAGTTTCGCGTAGCTTTTATTGAAATACTTAAAAGATACACAACTGCACAAGTCGTAGAACACTGAACAATGCAACACCGCCGCTCGAAACGCGAAGCAAACGAAAAGAAACAACTGTACGAAAGTGAACAGATAAAGACTGAGACAGAAATAATAATGTTATCGGCTATGGAGGCGAAGACAAAATCAGTTAACGTAAGGCAGCTGACATAGCCATATGAATCTTCGTTAATTAATAACGATTATAATTTCGAGTTAAATAAATTCGTCCATCGCCCTCGAGTATACATTTCTCTGATAATGAATTGTCAACAGATGGTCTACTAAATTGCTTTCTTATGAACAAAATCTATTCAGTTGACGGAGGTTTTAACCTTCCAATTTATTCATTCACCAGTGGAATCTTGAGTGTACGCTTGCCCTGGCTTGACCGTAAGTACGTAAACTTCGATCAGCAAGATAATTCAAGTAACCAATTTAGTTATCTAGTATACAAATTTCAAAACTCAGCGCAAGAATTTAAACAAAATCGAATATTTCGTTCGAATCGCTCGAACTTCATCCGGGGAACTTCATTAGCCATATAAAATGTCAGATTACGTCACAGAAAGGTTACGTATTCCCAGGAGAGGATTGTATATGGTAGCCTGAGTATCAGGCCTTCCTAAGGGGCTAGGGAAGAGGAGATTTTAGATGGGGGAGGGGGGAGGGGGAGAAGAGAAAGGCTATGTATATGGCCAGGAGGTCCACACCCTCGTCCCTTTCCTTTGCTTAATGGCGATGGCCGCCTCCTTGACGCGGCGCTTGATGGTGTAATTTTCCTCAGATAGAACGTTAACATTGGGTGAGTTGATGTTATGACCCGTTGCCCGGCAACGCTCGAAAACGGCAGAAGTTTCTGTTACGTAACGTGACATTTTACATCGCTGATGAAGTTCGAGCGATTCGAACGAAATATTCAGTTTTGTTTTTAATTGTTGCTCTGAGTTTTAAAATTTGTATACTAAATTGATTTGTTAAAGCAGATAAAAAACCTTTGATCAATTTAGGCATCGTTCATACATATCCGGATTTTTTAAATCTAGACATTTTGTTACGAATTTTAACTTTAGTTTAATCTGGTTTAATCCACGCGTATCCGATGAATACGGTCAAAGAATCCGCAACATCTTTTTAAAAAGCTTTCCAGAACGGAAAGTTTTCAAAGCACTAGTTTGCCTGAGTTGTGTGAACACCTGGTGGGCAGATAAAAACGGAACTTTTAGAAAACGATGATGCTACAGTATCACTGACATTGCATAGCATGAAAATGTTTCACTGCCATCTTGCTTTTGCACACATGCAGCGTAAGTTAGTTTTTTTCCTTTGCGGTAAAATATTCAAAATTATTACTTCAGAATGCAACTTAACCGGTAACTGAGGATTTCTTTCACCTCTTCTACTGTTTTTAATCTTTCTATTAACAATAAAAAATATTCAAACGGACAAAAGCGAAAGATTTACGCGTATGCTTCAACATTCTTTAATTAGCAATGAACTGCCTCACTGCCTAACTTGGCCAATATTTTCTAAATTGATTTAAACTCCTTACTTTGATGATTGTTCACCTTGACACAGCTCTAAATCTAAATTTTCCAGACAATGACAATCGGCTCCTGACAATGATTATTTGCGGATGAGACAACAAAATTTGCATATTCATTAAATTCTTGATCGAAAAAAGATGTATTTTTGGATTTTTGAGTAAAAAGAAACTTTATACGAAACCTAAGACAAATGAAATTTAATTTGTTTTTCTTCCAATAGTGCATCGCTGACAAATCTCACTTTCTGTCTTTTTTTGTGGTAGCTTTTATCTGTAATTTATGATGCAAGTCGGCTTTTTACCGTATTTTAAATTGCTGTTCGCAACAAAGTGTTTCCGCTGAAAGAGCTATTCTCGCGGACCCTTAAGATCATCACTTGAGTCTCGCTAAACACAAAATTAGTTTTTTCTTTCTTTCGGAATTGTCAGCTTATTATCAAACACGTCACGGCGCGACGAAACAGAACATTCTCACACGGAACATATTTTTCGAGTTTCTTGCTTAGACCATGCCCACATTTCGCTTCACATCACCCAAGCTACCCATTTTTGTTTTAGGAAAATGTAAAAAGAAGGTAAGCTAGGAGCGCAACTGTCTTGCAGCATTTTATGATAACTAACACATTTTGTATTAAGAAGGTTTACGGCATTGGAAATAGATGGAAGCTACGCATTTTGTAATCAGGGCTACATTATGAAATAATCGTAGGCATGCGCATTGCAGAGAAACAATGTTATTTAATTCAGGCAAGTAGACCTTAATGCAGTTTTAAAGCTTATGAGTATTACATGATTTCAAATTTGAAAAGACACCAGGCAAAAAGAGCACAACACATGACCAAACTAAATGAAGTATTTAACAAAAGGCCGGTAAGTATTTTTTAAAATACTTAAAACAGGCCTTTTTAAACGTCGAACTTCATTCACATATGCCGAATCTAATGCAAAGGAGCAAGAACAATTTCCTTCATTAGCATTAAATCTGGCACGTGTAAAGTTCGACGTTTCAAACGGCGGCCTCTTGTCAAGCACTTCAATAAATGATGTTCAAAGCAGAGAATATTCCTCAGTTAAATCAAGTTTCCAACGAAATGTATTATCTAGCGGATCGACTAATCTTGAGTTTAACACGGACCGGACGACGCGTTCCTCCTGTCCAAACGAGACTAAACGAACTTTAAACCAGACAAGGAACTAAAGAGGAACCGAAGCGCGACTTTCCACACCGAGGAGATTACCCCAGACTGTGATCTTTCCATTTTCTTGGGAGGGAGTTTAAACGAAAGTACCAGAAAGGCATATACGGTACTCTTGTGCCTAATAATCTTAAACATTTCTCTCTCCCCTTAACAAGCGTTTTAAATGGACTGGTCATAATCACCGTGAAAACTAAACCACGCCTAAAAACCACGAGCAACGTTGCACTCGCGTGTTTAGCGACAACCGATTGTGTGATGGGAGTAATTGGACAGCCTTTTTTCGCCGTACAACTGGCAGTACTGTTACAGGGGAGAGATCAAGCTCGTACTGCACGCTATTAGCAGCGTCGGTAAACGTTATCAGGGTGTTGGGCGCAGCTACATTTCTTCACCTAACAGTTATTAACATAGAAAGATATATTGCTATCAAGCACTCGCTGAAGTACAAGATCCTAGTCACTAGAGGTCGTTTATTCCGTGGGTCCGCTTTCGTGTGGGTTGTTTCATTCCTCCTAACAGTACCTCTGAGTTTCATAGACAACGATATTTACTTGGTTGTCAACAATATGACGGGCTGCTTATGGGTGGCTATCATTACTTTCTGTCAAATTGTAATTCTCCAGGAGACTCGAGGTCTTAGAAAGCGAATCGCAGCCCACCAAATCTCACTGGAACACAGACAAAAGTTCTTAAAGGACAAAAGAGCTTTTCAGCTCACAACGATGATACTTGTTGCCTTAGTGTTGACATCTTTACCCACGCTTGTTGTTCGAATACTCATAACAAATTCTATCATATACTCGTTAACTGCGTCATATATTTCTTTAATGTCAGCAATTTTTGTTGCCATTCTTAACTCGCTCATCAACCCAATTATCTACTGCATTAGAATAAGAGAGTTTCGCGTAGCTCTTATTGAAATACTTAAAAGATACACATCTGCACAAGTCGTGGAACATTGAACAATGCAACACCACAACTCGAAACGCGAAGCAAACGAAAAGAAACAACAGTACGAATTTGAACAGATAAAGAGACAGAAATAATAATGTTATCGGCTATGGAGGCACAGTCAAAATCAATTAACGTAAGGCTATCTGGCATAGCCGTATGAATCTTCGTTAATTAATAACGACTATAATTCACCTTCATGAACCATTTGATTGTTAAACTAAAAGTTAAATAATTTCGTCCATCGCCCTTGAGTATACATTTCTCTGATAATGAATTGTCAACAGATGGTCTACTAAATTGCTTTCTTATGAACAAAATCTATTCAGTTGACGGAGGTTTCAACCTTCCAATTTATTCATTCACCAGTGGAATCTTGAGTGTACGCTTGCCCTGGCTTGACCGTAAGTACGTAAACTTCGATCAGCAAGATAATTCAAGTAACCAATTTAGTTATCTAGTATACAAATTTCAAAACTCAGCGCAAGAATTTAAACAAAATCGAATATTTCGTTCGAATCGCTCGAACTTCATCCGGGGAACTTCATTAGCCATATAAAATGTCAGATTACGTCACAGAAAGGTTACGTATTCCCAGGAGAGGATTGTATATGGTAGCCTGAGTATCAGGCCTTCCTAAGGGGCTAGGGAAGAGGAGATTTTAGATGGGGGAGGGGGGGGGGGGAGAAGAGAAAGGCTATGTATATGGCCAGGAGGTCCACACCCTCGTCCCTTTCCTTTGCTTAATGGCGATGGCCGCCTCCTTGACGCGGCGCTTGATGGTGTAATTTTCCTCAGATAGAACGTTAACATTGGGTGAGTTGATGTTATGACCCGTTGCTTGGCAACGCTCGAAAACGGCAGAAGTTTCTGTTACGTAACGTGACATTTTACATCGCTGATGAAGTTCGAGCGATTCGAACGAAATATTCAGTTTTGTTTTTAATTGTTGCTCTGAGTTTTAAAATTTGTATACTAAATTGATTTGTTAAAGCAGATAAAAACCTTTGATCAATTTAGGCATCGTTCATACATATCCGGATTTTTTAAATCTAGACATTTTGTTACGAATTTTAACTTTAGTTTAATCTGGTTTAATCCACGCGTATCCGATGAATACGGTCAAAGAATCCGCAACATCTTTTTAAAAGCTTTCCAGAACGGAAAGTTTTCAAAGCACTAGTTTGCCTGAGTTGTGTGAACACCTGGTGGGCAGATAAAAACGGAACTTTTAGAAAACGATGATGCTACAGTATCACTGACATTGCATAGCATGAAAATGTTTCACTGCCATCTTGCTTTTGCACACATGCAGCGTAAGTTAGTTTTTTTTTCCTTTGCGGTAAAATATTCAAAATTATTACTTCAGAATGCAACTTAACCGGTAACTGAGGATTTCTTTCACCTCTTTTACTGTTTTTAATCTTTCTATTAACAATAAAAAATATTCAAACGGACAAAAGCGAAAGATTTACGCGTATGCTTCAACATTCTTTAATTAGCAATGAACTGCCTCACTGCCTAACTTGGCCAATATTTTCTAAATTGATTTAAACTCCTTACTTTGATGATTGTTCACCTTGACACAGCTCTAAATCTAAATTTTCCAGACAATGACAATCGGCTCCTGACAATGATTATTTGCGGATGAGACAACAAAATTTGCATATTCATTAAATTCTTGATCGAAAAAAGATGTATTTTTGGATTTTTGAGTAAAAAGAAACTTTATACGAAACCTAAGACAAATGAAATTTAATTTGTTTTTCTTCCAATAGTGCATCGCTGACAAATCTCACTTTCTGTCTTTTTTTGTGGTAGCTTTTATCTGTAATTTATGATGCAAGTCGGCTTTTTACCGTATTTTAAATTGCTGTTCGCAACAAAGTGTTTCCGCTGAAAGAGCTATTCTCGCGGACCCTTAAGATCATCACTTGAGTCTCGCTAAACACAAAATTAGTTTTTTCTTTCTTTCGGAATTGTCAGCTTATTATCAAACACGTCACGGCGCGACGAAACAGAACATTCTCACACGGAACATATTTTTCGAGTTTCTTGCTTAGACCATGCCCACATTTCGCTTCACATCACCCAAGCTACCCATTTTTGTTTTAGGAAAATGTAAAAAGAAGGTAAGCTAGGAGCGCAACTGTCTTGCAGCATTTTATGATAACTAACACATTTTGTATTAAGAAGGTTTACGGCATTGGAAATAGATGGAAGCTACGCATTTTGTAATCAGGGCTACATTATGAAATAATCGTAGGCATGCGCATTGCAGAGAAACAATGTTATTTAATTCAGGCAAGTAGACCTTAATGCAGTTTTAAAGCTTATGAGTATTACATGATTTCAAATTTGAAAAGACACCAGGCAAAAAAGAGCACAACACATGACCAAACTAAATGAAGTATTTAACAAAAGGCCGGTAAGTATTTTTAAAATACTTAAAACAGGCCTTTTTAAACGTCGAACTTCATTCACATATGCCGAATCTAATGCAAAGGAGCAAGAACAATTTCCTTCATTAGCATTAAATCTGGCACGTGTAAAGTTCGACGTTTCAAACGGCGGCCTCTTGTCAAGCACTTCAATAAATGATGTTCAAAGCAGAGAATATTCCTCAGTTAAATCAAGTTTCCAACGAAATGTATTATCTAGCGGATCGACTAATCTTGAGTTTAACACGGACCGGACGACGCGTTCCTCCTGTCCAAACGAGACTAAACGAACTTTAAACCAGACAAGGAACTAAAGAGGAACCGAAGCGCGACTTTCCACACCGAGGAGATTACCCCAGACTGTGATCTTTCCATTTTCTTGGGAGGGAGTTTAAACGAAAGTACCAGAAAGGCATATACGGTACTCTTGTGCCTAATAATCTTAAACATTCTCTCTCTCCCCTTAACAAGCGTTTTAAATGGACTGGTCATAATCACCGTGAAAACTAAACCACGCCTAAAAACCACGAGCAACGTTGCACTCGCGTGTTTAGCGACAACCGATTGTGTGATGGGAGTAATTGGACAGCCTTTTTTCGCCGTACAACTGGCAGTACTGTTACAGGGAGAGAGATCAAGCTCGTACTGCACGCTATTAGCAGCGTCGGTATACGTTATCAGGGTGTTGGGCGCAGCTACATTTCTTCACCTAACAGTTATTAACATAGAAAGATATATTGCTATCAAGCACTCGCTGAAGTACAAGATCCTAGTCACTAGAGGTCGTTTATTCCGTGGGTCCGCTTTCGTGTGGGTTGTTTCATTCCTCCTAACAGTACCTCTGAGTTTCATAGACAACGATATTTACTTGGTTGTCAACAATATGACGGGCTGCTTATGGGTGGCTATCATTACTTTCTGTCAAATTGTAATTCTCCAGGAGACTCGAGGTCTTAGAAAGCGAATCGCAGCCCACCAAATCTCACTGGAACACAGACAAAAGTTCTTAAAGGACAAAAGAGCTTTTCAGCTCACAACGATGATACTTGTTGCCTTAGTGTTGACATCTTTACCCACGCTTGTTGTTCGAATACTCATAACAAATTCTATCATATACTCGTTAACTGCGTCATATATTTCTTTAATGTCAGCAATTTTTTGTTGCCATTCTTAACTCGCTCATCAACCCAATTATCTACTGCATTAGAATAAGAGAGTTTCGCGTAGCTCTTATTGAAATACTTAAAAGATACACATCTGCACAAGTCGTGGAACATTGAACAATGCAACACCACAACTCGAAACGCGAAGCAAACGAAAAGAAACAACAGTACGAATTTGAACAGATAAAGAGACAGAAATAATAATGTTATCGGCTATGGAGGCAAGGTCAAAATCAATTAACGTAAGGCTACTGACATAGCCGTATGAATCTTCGTTAATTAATAACGATTATAATTCACCTTCATTAACCATTTGATTGCTAACCTAAAAGTTAAATAATTCCGTCCATCGCCCTTGAGTATACATTTCTCTGATAATGAATTGTCAACAGATGGTCTACTAAATTGCTTTCTTATGAACAAAATCTATTCAGTTGACGGAGGTTTTAACCTTCCAATTTATTCATTCACCAGTGGAATCTTGAGTGTACGCTTGCCCTGGCTTGACCGTAAGTACGTAAACTTCGATCAGCAAGATAATTCAAGTAACCAATTTAGTTATCTAGTATACAAATTTCAAAACTCAGCGCAAGAATTTAAACAAAATCGAATATTTCGTTCGAATCGCTCAAACTTCATCCGGGGAACTTCATTAGCCATATAAAATGTCAGATTACGTCACAGAAAGGTTACGTATTCCCAGGAGAGGATTGTATATGGTAGCCTGAGTATCAGGCCTTCCTAAGGGGCTAGGGAAGACGAGATTTTAGATGGGGGAGGGGGGAGGGGGAGAGGAGAAACGCTATGTATATGGCCGGGAGGTCCACACCCTCGTCCCTTTCCTTGGCTTAATGGCGATGGCCGCCTCCTTGACGCGGCGCTTGACGGTGTAATTTTCCTCAGATAGAACGTTAACATTGTGTGAGTTGATGTTATGACCCGTTGCTTGGCAACGCTCGAAAACGGCAGAAGTTTCTGTTACGTAACGTGACATTTTACATCGCTGATGAAGTTCGAGCGATTCGAACGAAATATTCAGTTTTGTTTTTAATTGTTGCTCTGAGTTTTAAAATTTGTATACTAAATTGATTTGTTAAAGCAGATAAAAAACCTTTGATCAATTTAGGCATCGTTCATACATATCCGGATTTTTTAAATCTAGACATTTTGTTACGAATTTTAACTTTAGTTTAATCTGGTTTAATCCACGCGTATCCGATGAATACGGTCAAAGAATCCGCAACATCTTTTTAAAAAGCTTTCCAGAACGGAAAGTTTTCAAAGCACTAGTTTGCCTGAGTTGTGTGAACACCTGGTGGGCAGATAAAAACGGAACTTTTAGAAAACGATGATGCTACAGTATCACTGACATCGCATAGCATGAAAATGTTTCACTGCCATCTTGCTTTTGCACACATGCAGCGTAAGTTAGTTTTTTTCCTTTGCGGTAAAATATTCAAAATTGTTACTTCAGAATGCAAGTTAACCGGTAACTGAGGATTTCTTTCACCTCTTTTACTGTTTTTAATCTTTCTATTAACAATAAAAAATATTCAAACGGACAAAAGCGAAAGATTTACGCGTATGCTTCAACATTCTTTAATTAGCAATGAACTGCCTCACTGCCTAACTTGGCCAATATTTTCTAAATTGATTTAAACTCCTTACTTTGATGATTGTTCACCTTGACACAGCTCTAAATCTAAATTTTCCAGACAATGACAATCGGCTCCTGACAATGATTATTTGCGGATGAGACAACAAAATTTGCATATTCATTAAATTCTTGATCGAAAAAAGATGTATTTTTGGATTTTTGAGTAAAAAGAAACTTTATACGAAACCTAAGACAAATGAAATTTAATTTGTTTTTCTTCCAATAGTGCATCGCTGACAAATCTCACTTTCTGTCTTTTTTTGTGGTAGCTTTTATCTGTAATTTATGATGCAAGTCGGCTTTTTACCGAATTTTAAATTGCTGTTCGCAACAAAGTGTTTCCGCTGAAAGAGCTATTCTCTCGGACCCTTAAGATCATCACTTGAGTCTCGCTAAACACAAAATTAGTTTTTTCTTTCTTTCGGAATTGTCAGCTTATTATCAAACACGTCACGGCGCGACGAAACAGAACATTCTCACACGGAACATATTTTTCGAGTTTCTTGCTTAGACCATGCCCACATTTCGCTTCACATCACCCAAGCTACCCATTTTTGTTTTAGGAAAATGTAAAAAGAAGGTAAGCTAGGAGCGCAACTGTCTTGCAGCATTTTATGATAACTAACACATTTTGTATTAAGAAGGTTTACGGCATTGGAAATAGATGGAAGCTACGCATTTTGTAATCAGGGCTACATTATGAAATAATCGTAGGCATGCGCATTGCAGAGAAACAATGTTATTTAATTCAGGCAAGTAGACCTTAATGCAGTTTTAAAGCTTATGAGTATTACATGATTTCAAATTTGAAAAGACACCAGGCAAAAAGAGCACAACACATGACCAAACTAAATGAAGTATTTAACAAAAGGCCGGTAAGTATTTTTAAAATACTTAAAACAGGCCTTTTTTTAAACGTCGAACTTCATTCACATATGCCGAATCTAATGCAAAGGAGCAAGAACAATTTCCTTCATTAGCATTAAATCTGGCACGTGTAAAGTTCGACGTTTCAAACGGCGGCCTCTTGTCAAGCACTTCAATAAATGATGTTCAAAGCAGAGAATATTCCTCAGTTAAATCAAGTTTCCAACGAAATGTATTATCTAGCGGATCGACTAATCTTGAGTTTAACACGGACCGGACGACGCGTTCCTCCTGTCCAAACGAGACTAAACGAACTTTAAACCAGACAAGGAACTAAAGAGGAACCGAAGCGCGACTTTCCACACCGAGGAGATTACCCCAGACTGTGATCTTTCCATTTTCTTGGGAGGGAGTTTAAACGAAAGTACCAGAAAGGCATATACGGTACTCTTGTGCCTAATAATCTTAAACATTCTCTCTCTCCCCTTAACAAGCGTTTTAAATGGACTGGTCATAATCACCGTGAAAACTAAACCACGCCTAAAAACCACGAGCAACGTTGCACTCGCGTGTTTAGCGACAACCGATTGTGTGATGGGAGTAATTGGACAGCCTTTTTTCGCCGTACAACTGGCAGTACTGTTACAGGGGAGAGATCAAGCTCGTACTGCACGCTATTAGCAGCGTCGGTATACGTTATCAGGGTGTTGGGCGCAGCTACATTTCTTCACCTAACAGTTATTAACATAGAAAGATATATTGCTATCAAGCACTCGCTGAAGTACAAGATCCTAGTCACTAGAGGTCGTTTATTCCGTGGGTCCGCTTTCGTGTGGGTTGTTTCATTCCTCCTAACAGTACCTCTGAGTTTCATAGACAACGATATTTACTTGGTTGTCAACAATATGACGGGCTGCTTATGGGTGGCTATCATTACTTTCTGTCAAATTGTAATTCTCCAGGAGACTCGAAGTCTTAGAAAGCGAATCGCAGCCCACCAAATCTCACTGGAACACAGACAAAAGTTCTTAAAGGACAAAAGAGCTTTTCAGCTCACAACGATGATACTTGTTGCCTTAGTGTTGACATCTTTACCCACGCTTGTTGTTCGAATACTCATAACAAATTCTATCATATACTCGTTAACTGCGTCATATATTTCTTTAATGTCAGCAATTTTTGTTGCCATTCTTAACTCGCTCATCAACCCAATTATCTACTGCATTAGAATAAGAGAGTTTCGCGTAGCTCTTATTGAAATACTTAAAAGATACACATCTGCACAAGTCGTGGAACATTGAACAATGCAACACCACAACTCGAAACGCGAAGCAAACGAAAAGAAACAACAGTACGAATTTGAACAGATAAAGAGACAGAAATAATAATGTTATCGGCTATGGAGGCACAGTCAAAATCAATTAACGTAAGGCTATCTGGCATAGCCGTATGAATCTTCGTTAATTAATAACGACTATAATTCACCTTCATGAACCATTTGATTGTTAACCTAAAAGTTAAATAATTTCGTCCATCGCCCTTGAGTATACATTTCTCTGATAATGAATTGTCAACAGATGGTCTACTAAATTGCTTTCTTATGAACAAAATCTATTCAGTTGACGGAGGTTTCAACCTTTTCACCCTCGTCCCTTTCCTTTGCTTAATGGCGATGGCCGCCTCCTTGACGCGGCGCTTGACGGTGTAATTTTCCTCAGATAGAACGTTAACATTGGGTGAGTTGATGTTATGACCCGTTGCTTGGCAACGCTCGGAAACGGCAGAAGTTTCTGTTACCTAACGTGACATTTTTCATCGCTGATGAAGTTTGAGCGATTCGAACAAAATATTCGATTTTGTTTTCAATAGTTGCTCTGAGTTTTGAAATTTTTATACTAAATTTATTTGCTAAAGCAGATAAAAACTCCTTTGATCAATTTAGGCATCGTCCATACATATCCGGATTTTTTTAATCCAGACATTTTCTTACGAATTGTAACTTTAGTTTAAAACTTCCATCCTCGCGTCTCCGATGAATACGGTCAAAGAATCCGCAACATATTTTTAAAACGCTTTCCAAAACGGAAGTTTTGAAAGCGCTGGTTTGCCTTAAGTTGTGTGAACACCTGGAAGGCGGATGAAAACGGAACTTTTTGAAAACGATGATGTTACAGTATCACTGACATCGCATCGCATAAGAATGTTTCACTGCCATCTTGCTTTTGCACACATGCCGTGTAAGTTAGTTTTTTTCCTTTGCGGTAAAATATTCAAGCTTGTTGCTTCTGAGTGTAACTTAATCGGTAACTGAGGATTTCTTTCACCTCTTTTTATTACTATTTTTTATCTTTCTATTAACAATAAAAAATATTCAAACAGACAAAAGCGAAAGATATACGCGTATGCTTCAAAATTCTTCAATCAGCAATAAACTGCCTCATTTTAGATAACTTGGCCAATTTTCTAAATTGATTTAACTGCTTACTCTGATGATTGCTCACCTTGCCACAGCTCAAAATTTTAATTTTCCAGGCAATGATTATTTGCGGACGAGACGAAATTTGCGAAATTATTAAATTCGTAATCGAAAAAAGATGTGTATTTAGATTCTTTCGACTAAAAAGGAAACTTTGTACGAAACCTAAGACAAACGGAATTTAATTTGTTTTTCTTCCAATAGTGCATCGCTGACAAATCTCACTTTCTGTCTTTTCTTTGTGGGAGCTTTTTCCTGTGATTTATGATGCAAGTCAGATTTTTACCGTATTTTAAATTGCTGTTCGTAACAAAGTGTTTCCGCTGAAAGAGCTATTTTCGCGGACCCTTAAGATCATCAACTAAGTCTCGCTAAACACAGAATTAGTTTTTTTCTTTCTTTGTTTGTCTTGTTTTTTCTTTCGGAACTGTCAGCTTATTATCAAACACGTCACGGCGGCGTGACGAAACAGAATATTCTCACACGGAACTTGTTTTTCGAGTCTCTTGAATTGCTTAAACCATGCCCACATTTCGTTTTCCATCACCCGAGCTACCCATTTTTGTTTTAGAAAAATGAAAAAGGAAGGTCAGCTAAGGGCGCAACTGTTTTGCGCCATTTTATGATAACTAATACATTTCGTATTAAAAAGGTTTGCGGCATTTATAATAGATGGAAGCTGCGCATTTTGTAATCAGGGCTGCATTATGAAATAATCGTAGGCATGCGCATCGCAGAGAAGCAATAATGTTTAAGAGTACAGGCTTAAGGTGGCTCGATTGCATTTTTTAGGGCCAATACCTCCTAAGTTTGAGTATTACCTACTCGTCATTAAAAAAAAATATTGAAAAACCAACCGGTCGAAACGTCGTTTTTTATCTCTGATTTTAACTGTGTTAGGTTTTAACTGAAAAACCCTTACTTATAAGAATCTTGACGTTCGGCCGATATTTAAAGAAGACGAAGCGCTTTTGAAATGCAATTTCATAACATAAGAGTTTCATCCCTATTTAACTACCAGTACGAATACGAGCGTGAAAGAAACTCGTAGTTGTCGTCACCTCATTTGAGATCTTTAGATTCCACGAAAAGTACTACTAGGATTACGAGATTATTTCAGTATCAAGTACTGCGTGCGTGTGAACCAGCGTCATTTTGGCCGGGAAAACGCGACAATCTTAGCGAGAATGTCATAGTGGCGGAAATAGTTTATGGTTACCGAATGCTAGAAGTTTTATCATTTTGGGATACTGGGAGCGGGCTTAACTACCTTCAATAAAATTAACAGTGCGGTGAAAAAATTACAAAGAAGCTTTCCGAGGTATCTTTTTTTAAGGATACATGAAGAAAACGTAAATTTAAATTTCGTCCTCGCACTCGCGCCTATGCTCGAATCTAAACCTCTCTATTACTAACGACTCCCTCTTGTTTTAATTTACACGTACTTCGACGCGTTAGTATTAAGACCCTTAAACGGAAAGGATCACTTACCTGTTTTTCTTGACTATGTATTCAAAGGGTCTGAGGAAATCCTTCTGAAAGCGAAAATTGGGCAACTCCCCTTTTTCCAAAAACTTCATAGCCAGTTGACGCAAGGAGTCCACGCAGAAAAACGCAACATCTTCGTTAGGATTACAGCCACACTAAAAGAAATGGATGATTTTAGGATTTTAAGAAATTCTAATGACAAATTCCCTTGCCATATGCATCCGTACGATGAAATGTGATACCGTAAATGAGCTAGGAGACGCCTTCTCTCAAATAAACGCCTCCTGCCTGACAAAAGCCCCCTCTACGATGTTAATTTGGTTTTAGACGCCCCTATCTAATACGCGTCCCCTGTCTAATAGATCAGATGCGTCCCATAAATAGCGAAATAGAGCAAAGTCATTCAATTTATACAGTTTCAAGCTCGATCAATAAGCCGAATTTGCGCATTGCATCTTGATCAATCTCCGGTTCAAATTAAGGACTTTGCCCGGAAGGGGATACTCAACAAATGTTTATACGGGGAGGCTCCGCTCCGAGGTCCAATCCCTTACCCTTTTATGTACCAGGTACCCCTTTCATATACCTTCTACTGACAAATGGTACCCCTTTCATATACCTTGTTTAGAACTTTGCATTCCTTTTAACTGCTGTAAATGCAATGTCTTTTAAATAGGGATCAATCACAAAATAGACCGTTTTCTCGACTTTATGAAGCTATAAAATTTATCCGTTAGCTCTCTTGGACTTCTTACTCGTTGTAAAACTGGCGCGCGAAATTCGCAGAGGCTTTCAAAAGCATGTTCCAAGTTCTTATGATTTCAGCAATCACAAGTACTTAAGACAATTCAATGTGCCAATCAAACCTCAAAACAAATACAACGTAACAAGTATAAAGCGCGGCTGAGAAAGTGATGTGAAATGATGTAGACAATCAATTTTGTACAAAGCAGCACTGCAAAATCAACGTCACCCGCAGTGAAATAACCTTGGGCATTTCAGATTCGGTTAAAGAACGCTGCCGTACCTTATTAAAGTGATCCCCGAGCACGGCCCATATCCTGGACCACTCAAGCCTGATACGGTTCATGTTATAGTAAGATATCTCAACGATTTTCTGTAAACTGAACATCCTGGGATGGGTTGGGTTGGCGAGTTCATCTGAGGAGATTGCACCCAGTGCTTGTACAAAGTCCACTAGACAGACAAAAGAAAACGGGAATTAGTCTATGAATGATTACAACACCGATGCAAATGTCGCTATTTTCACTTTACAATCCAGGGGAACCAGCTTTCGTTATATTTTAAGAAGTTCATTTCAACCGAGTGGCTCTTCGTACGGGACCCGTACACGGACTTGTATTTGCTATTCATACGGGATTCTGACTAAATTGCTTAGGATAAATCACTGAAAGTAGTGATTAGGGTTAAGCACTGACTCAAAAAGGTTAGCTTCCATTTAGGGTTAGGAGTGTTGCTATATAAATTGAAACCAAAGACCTTCGGTTTTATCAAAGTCGAATACTGTAACTTCACATTTAAAAGAATACAAAGTTCCGTCGATTGCAAGTATCACAGGGCCAATTCGCTATTTTCACCTAGACCATAATGCATCTTGTTTACCCCAAACAATTTGCATAACCATTGTCTTCGATTTTCCTTGGGACGACCGCAATAACCAGGAGAAATTGGAAATAATGGTTATGCAAATTTTGTTACGGGGGATAAACAAGGTGCCTTATGGTCTTAAAAAAAGTGGTAATCCAAGAAAGTGGCAGGAAAATAACAGCAACAACAACAATAATAATAATAGTTGTAAATGATATTATGATAATCAGTCATTATTTAAGCGAAAGCGGAAGCTGTTTTCAGGTGTTCGCTCATGAATGCGCTGTCAGAAAAAATTATGTCTCCCTTCGTACGCCCGCAGGATGTAAGCTACCTACTTACCTATGGCATCTCCGTCAAGTTTCGTGGATCCCGTGAAAATTCTAAGCGAAATGGAATAAAAAGAAGACAATTAATAGGTTGCTTCAAACTCCAAATACCCTGGGGAGATATAAAACAAACCAACTACGCGACTGACAAGCGACGCGAACGACTTAATAAGCCTTAAAAGCCATGCAAGAAAGAATCCTCTGCTCGCAGGGTAAACTCTAAACGAAAACATTTCAAGAAAAATTGCTTTAAAGCACCTACCTGTCCACTGCGACCACAACACTTTGAGAACTTGTCTCTCCAACAGTTTCTTGAATGTAAGCTATTTTCTTCGGATCTGACGAAATATGCAAACGACAAAACACAAATGGTCACTACAGCATGCGCACCTCGATGGCAGAAATTTGGGTAAATTATAGATTTCTTACCATTCACCAATTCATGGGCTTGAGAGGGAGCAAGGCCAGTGGTACCCATAGCCACTGGGGTATTAGCGCCTTGCCCCACCCCTCCTGTTGGTCCCATACTTTTTACACCCGTTCCAATCAGCTGAGCTAGTTCGAGCTGAGATATGCATCTCAGTATCTACAAAACAATGATGTATAACACACGTCAAGATCAAGTGACATAACACAAACATGGAGCACAAAAGAAATAGATCGGTAAGATATAAGCATAGCACGCTCTACCCCTGGTGTATAAGGCTTTATTTTTGGCGGAAATGACTGATTTGGTCTCATACAGATAGCTCGCGAAATCCCCGCAAGAACGACCATCTTCGTCTCCTTGGATAAATTACCCAACTCACGATAAATCTTTTTTACATATTGAAAGGCTTGGAGATTCCTTTACTTCCTCCAGATTTCCTTTACATAAACTTGGGCGTAGAGGTATTTGTTTGATTATCGCTTCCTATTCATTGCCACCATACAATCAAGGCCTCATTTTTGTTTATAGTTTAAGTACCTCATGCCAAGCCCGTCCAAGATAGTTCCCATCTGTCTGTGCGACAGTGATTAGGGTCTTGATGGTGTCAATGTTCTTGGTTTTAATTTCGTGCAGTCCTGCTGTTGCTGTCAGGAGTGTAAAGCGTGACAGGGCCTGGACAAAACTGTCACGTTCCAGCTGAAATGTACAAAGCAAACATGCAAAAACAGTTTTTCATGTAACGAAAAGTGATCTACCTGCCCTGTAAAGTATGCAATGGTATTTCCATCGATCTAGCGTTTTTGTGTGAATATACCCGAAAACGTGTGGACGAAGCCTGAGCAATGATTCAACTGAAACAAGGCGACAGCTCGTGTTGACTCATGGTCTCCTTGCCAGCAGAGACGAAATTTCATTCTGGTTGCCAACCACTACGTCTTATTCTTTTAATTTTTGACAGTGACACCAACTTTTCATCCAGTATGTAAACGAAGGTTTAATTGTAAGAAAGAAAAAAAAGGACACTTTGCATTACGCCGAACCATACAGGAAATGTAAACTGCAACCACTGCACCCAAAATCATGGATAAAACTCTTGAGATAAAATTTGCATTTCTGGGGCTTTTTCCAAATCACACATGCCCAACCCCTTCCCTCACTCCCACAAACAAGTGTATCCAGAAGTTTCCCCAACTTTCATCACTGTAAAGGGTAGGGAGAGAAGGAGAGATGCCACGGATATTTTCGACACTTTCGGCCGCCAGAAATCACACATAATTACGGATACTGCATCACAGTCCCAAGGACATTTGTCTAGAAAATGTCGATTGCAGTCTTGACATTACCTGCATTCCAAATATACATCCAATTCTGATTGCACAACGAATGCCGTCCAAACACAGCGAAGCCACTTGCTGGTCATCCGAATGCTGCAGATTTACACTAAATGCTGCGAGGAACGGACTCCAGGTCACCTGTAAAAACATAACCACAAAAGCAATGAAGAGTGCAATATTATATCTTGTAGCCTTCACTACCGTTGAGAACGATAAATTTAAGTAAGGCCAGAGGTAAGCATCGAACACCACATGTGGCAAACAAGACCTCGGTATAACGAATGACATTCTTATAAAGCAATTTATGGAACAACACCCTGATGTATTGTTATAACGAACGACTTTTTCCAGTCTCTTGACAGTTTGATATATCGAGATTGCACTGCAGAATAAATACTCACAAAAAGGGGTAAATACCTTGAACATGGGTCTAATATGTTCCACATGAGTAGCAGAAGTGAACGTGGTCTGTATCTGACTCACTCCCTCTATCAGGGTTTTGGCCGTCTGCGCCATTTGCTCCATTTCTTGATAATACAAAAGTCGTCTCTGTTTTTCATTCTGAAGATCTGGAACAAAGAATGAAATAAATTAATATCATTATTGACTGCCTCAAATCCATCGGCTTATTCTTTAAAACCAGCTGGCGTTGACCAAATTTGGTAGACGCCGGTTAGCGAATGTCCGGTAACATGACGTCAATAGTACAGGCTATTGCCAGAAAAATGGACGGCAATCGAGAATCCTTGGGGACGAGGTTGGGTTAGCTCAAGGGTTTAGGTAGGGCTGAAGAAAATAGCTTAAAAAATGGGGTAGAGAAAAAACAGCCGAACTTCTGCCTTAAAAACATAATGGGAACAGCAAAAATACAACTCAGGAGATGACAACTGCTATTTGAAGAATATCTGCTTCACTAAACATCCTTTATAGCTTAAATTTACCGAGGAATGGAAAAAGTGAAGACGGGAACTTAACATCGATCGAGGCAAGCATGTTTTAACGTATAAATTATTTTGAATGAATAATAAAACAATTAGCGGATTCGTCTTTCCCATGCAGATCTCGGAGCATCTTCAGCCTCATCCAATAACAGCAATATGTGGCTGAACATGCCCAGGCATTGTGAGAAGCTTGTTTACTTTTTAACCAAGGCATAGTTAAAACGAAAACAGGCAAACATCAAAGTTGAAAACAACGGTGGTGTAGTTTATGTTGGAAGCTCCCTGACCGTGCACAATCCTTTGTTTTTTGTTCACAGATTGTGACTGAATAAATTGATGCGATGTTTCTATTGGTCAGTAAGTTCGAAATGATAGGAATGCTATTGAACGTTGTGCACGGTCAGGTCCAAAAAAGCTAACAGAAAAAAAGTAGCAAAGGAGTCTAACGGGTTTCATAACCATTCCACTTTAATAACTTTGACCAAGGCAACTAAAACATTCAGATTTTGAAATGGCTTCCCAAAAAATGAACCCTAACATCAAGTTACTGAAAAATGGATGAGCAGGAATATGAAAAAAAATCAATGGGCACAGGGTAACCAAGAATTCCTAACAGTAAAGTCAGTTGAACAGTGGTAAGGCACCATATACGCGGCATTGACCAAGAGTGATGTCAAGATGACTGGATATTGGCTAAGTTCCTCGACTTCAATAAAAAACGCAAAAACGAACGATGCCAAAATCCAGTCATCTTGACCGAACAAGCTTGGTCAATAAAGAATTTATTGTATGGCCAAAACGAGAACTTTTTCTTGAGGGACCACCGCGAGAAATCCTTGCACGCTGGGGTAGCCAATCAGAACGAACGATTCGCTTCATCTTGCCCGCTAGCGGATTCAGTGTAAGCAAGGATACTGAAAGGCAACACGTATTTTAGCCCAACATCCGGTCACTTCAGGACAACCAAGGGTTCAAAATTCCGGATATATAGTCATAAACATGAAAACCATTTGCAATAACAGTTGTGAAGTAATAAAAAACACCAACGACGAAAGGTTTCAGCTTATATTTTTGTATGACGAAGCTTCTGCTACTTACAGATTGTGCTGTATCTATTGGCGTTTTTTGGAGCACTTCTCATTTTGATCTCATTCTGTGAAATCTCATCGTAAATAGACTCAAGATATTCTTGTGGTAAATCTTTGCTGTCGTTAATTCCTTTGCTCATTGTGATGTATTGTTCCTTTGTTATCTTTCTTTTTACCTGCAAAGAAACAAAACATTTTCACCGTGGTTTCCTGTCCCTCGACACTGTATTCAGTGAAATATATATTTTTGCATATGCACTCAATAACTAATTATCCTGACCAATGAAAGTACACGTACAAGAACAAAACAGAATACAGTCAAGCCTATACTAAGAGGTCACCCTTGAGGAATGGCCAATTGACCGTTTAATATAAAAGGCTGACGGTTTAATACAGAGGTTTGACAACCTGACTTTGTCAGCAAAAAGAAGATGGTGAGAAAGTAAAATATCCATAAAACAAAAATTGACCTCAAAGTATTTCTACCTCTTCTTCTGCCAAAAGAAAGGAAGTAAAAGACCATTGAACGGCTACTTTGCTCAGAGAAGTCGGTTACCCTTTTCACGTAAGAAGAAGCAATTATGACGTTTTAACATTGTCGTGAACAAAAAATATATCTTAGTTAACATCTCAATGAAAACGTAATTATGATGTTTTTTAATTCACAAAGAAACACTGGATTTATGTTACGCATTAGGTAGTTGGTAATGTCAATGCCGTATTTCAGTCAAGTCTCCACAGCTTTTTACATAGATTTACCCAGAATTTGTTCACTAGCAAATGTACGTTATTGAATTACCGTCAATTGTGTTTACTGCTTGAAGGAGTTGATTGTGTGGCTGATAAACCGAAACTTGAATAAAACATTTTAGGGCTTGGGAATTTGAAAATTTTGGGGGGGGGGGAACAATGGCCACTGGTTGATATTGTCAGTTACTCTAATCAAACCTGCTGGCTACTTCAGTTTTTATTGAAAACCCTGTGCATCTATTGCACTTGTAATATATATCTTAACAAAGTGACATTTTAATAGAAGTGAAGACTTATGTAACAGAGGTGAGCTCTACAGTAATTAAGAGACATGAGTGACCGCTTTACTCAGGTTCGCCTGATACAAGTGTATTTTCCATTGTCAAACATTTCAGCCTACATAGGCAAAAAGAAGTGTGGACCACAGATATACATAACAAAATTATCTTTATCGGTTGCCGGAACAAGCAAAGCCGCATCAAGGGAAAGGCTAGACCGAGGCCATTCCCCTCTGATGCAGCCCGCGGGTGGGAAAGGGCGGGTAAAAAACAAAGGAGAGTTCTCAGGTCAAAGATGAACTAAAAGTGATGTAGCAGATAACGAAACTAGCGCACATGATCAGGGCATAGTTCATGGATAACTAACGGATGCTACTATTTTATTGCCATTGGATGGTATCCAATACCTCACATTTTTTCAACACTAAGTAACAGTAGTTACCTGGTTATTATGTAGATCAGTTGTCAACAAGATAATGGAGTATGCTAAGACGTAGGCTGCATCAGCACTTGCAAACACTTCATTACTGAAACAGTGAAGTAAAATAAATATCACATTAGCATATTATGACACACTTACAAACCACATTTGTCTGCCTAACTCTTCAGGGGCCCGATTCTCGAAAGTCCCGATAACTTTTCGGGTCCGAAATCAACCATTCAAATCTAAATATAAAGAGTAAGAACGCGGATCCTGGTTAGCAAACTACTCCATTTTGTGTCATTAACTGATGGTTTTATCATGTTAGATGCAAAACTATTGAACCCTCGATCTTTAATGTAAACGGCAACAGCTTACCGGGCCCGTTAATTATCCGGACTTTCGAGAAACAGGCCCCAGGTCCCAAGAATGACCGACTACAGTTTTCTTCTAACAGTATCAGTACATCATCAAAAGAAAACGTTAAGAGATTTTATCAATGATCACTAAAGGGAAAATGCTTCAATCTTTTATTAAATTCTCTCAACTAATTCTTTAAGGAAATGAATGGCGATCAGTCGGGAGAATTTCTAACCCGTGATAAATCACTGCTGTTTGTGTTTTACACATTACTAAAAGATCAGGGCTGCGTTACCCTGGGTTACTCTAGGTTTGCACAAAAACTGAATATAAATTATGAAGCAATTTCTTTAAATTATTTTTGCCCACAATTTTCTTTTTGGATGCTCTGAAATATCTAATTAAAATTGACAGAATGAGGAAAATACCTTTGGATTAAATAAACAGGAAACTAGAGTGAAAGTTATCACTAGGTTAGTGATAATTGTCGTTCGGACAACTGGACAACTGGAAAGGAGCAATTTGTACGCACGCGTTATGGACGAAGCGTGAGGTCAAGCTAAAATTTTCAGCCATCTTGACCGAACAAGCTTGGTCAATAAAAAAATTTTTCTTGCGGGACCAATGCAGGAAATCCCGAGCGGGTAAGATGAGCCTATCTTGCCTGCTCGGGGTAGCCAATCAGAATGCGGGAATCGCTTCATCTTGCGCGCACTTGCGGATCCGGCCATACAATAAATTCAAGTATACACTTTTCCATTGTCAGAGAAGTTCAAGGTTGTAACCAATCAGATTAACTAGTGTTCCAAAGAGAAGTCTTCTATTTCCTAGGGCCCGGTTCTCGAAAGATGGCTAATTTTAACCCAGGATTAAGCCAAATTTGAAGTAATGTTTTCTTGTCTAAGAACATGAAACTCGAGCTTACAAAATACTGTCGAGCCTTTACTCCGAGATACAGTAATGATAACACAAAATGTTCCTCTAAACAATACATAGGAAGGTAAAATACAAAAATGGAACAAATGGAACCGTGCCCTGTTCTTAACGTTAAACTATAACAAGCATAGGTGTCAATGTTATTTAGTTATGTATCACATTACCTTGGATTAGTTTCTAGATATCTACTAGCAAACTTCTCCATGAGACGATCAATTTTCTGAGCTTCTCCAGGGAGCCGGAAGTTGTTGAGAAACAGCCGTAAGGCTGTCACAAAGTCCATGTCTGTGAAGTTGAACTTGTCAATGTAGCTATACATCACTTCTCTGCTGAAACTAAACCCAAAACAAAGACGCAATCGTCAGGAAAGAAGTTGTGATCATCTGCACCTGCTTTACACTCTAAAATTAAAAAGGATTCTTAATTTTTTCTAAAAACATTATCTTTGAAATATTTCCTGAAATACAGGTAATAAGACCATGGGTGTATACTACAAAGACCGAAAGAAAGAATTAGAAAGCATTCCATTAAAATAACTCTATGAAAGAGATGAAATTATTCTTTTTGAACGACAACCACAACATCATAGTAAAACGAAGAAAACGCTTACAGATCGTTGTCTCCGATCAGTTCTCCAATTTGTGTCTGAAATAAAAACATAAGTTCAAAATTCAATTATAGCAGTGAGACCCTTCAAAATGAATCACACAAACAACTAGAACCAATCAAAATACCTTGTCAAGCCTTTCATCTGTATGCAGAAGTTCTGCGACATCTTCAGGTTCAGGGCCTAAGAGGCTATTTTCTTGAAGGTATTTAACTCCTTTCTTTGGATTTTTGTTAAATCTACACACAAAACGATAGTTACCAGTAAGTATCTTTTCACACATCGACACTGTGTCAAATGGAGATGGGGAGTAATTTTGATGCTTCAAAATTGTTAAAAACGAGTCTGTATCAGACAAAGAAAAAAGAGAAAAGAAAACAGAGAAGGAAAGCAAGGAAACCAGTTTCAAACAAACACAAAAGATATCATTATCAGTTTCATGGAGTTCCATCAAAGGTGTAGCGAACTACAGTATCTGGGAGTAAGTACCCTACGCTTTGAAGTCTAAATTTCTGAATACAGCAATTGCATAGGTAAGCTTGTCATAACGAGCCGTAGTTAGCATATTACTTTTCAATTCCTTGTTCCATGAGTCCTTTCATCTCTTTTAGCGATTCAAATTGTTTAGGATTATCAGGTGCAACAGTTGAAGCTGACGAATTTAGTGATCCTTGGCTGCCACCAAATGATTTGAGATCTGATCCAAGGCTGAGTCGATCTCCAGGTAAACTTGTCTTCTCTCCTATTTCTTCTGCATCTGCTTCAGTAAGACTTGATTTTCTCCTCAAACCAGGTGTATCTATGCCAAGTAAGTAAAAAAGTATAACATGAAACGTGACCATAATATTGCAAAGGATTAATTTCACAGAGAGCAGAGCTTACTTAAAGCAAAAAAAAAAACACAAAATCGTGCAAGACTACACAAAAGGGCACAGCAAAGGTTGTATGCAATGTACTACCATTTGCGTTAATGAATGCACCCACAATGTTTACAATCCCCACTGTACTGTAGAGACGAGTTTAACCATTGAGACTACAAATTAAATCTTTGAGATAATATTTCATAATTTGCTATGAAATGCCGACTGGTTAGCTCAGTTGGGAGAGCGCCGGTCTACCGAGCAGGAAATCACAAGTTCAAACCCGGGCCAGACCAACACTCAGGGTCTTTATATAACTGAGAAGAAAGTGCTGCCTTTGTAATGAAGTCTGCAAATGGTTAGACTTTCTAGTCTTCTCGGATAAGAACGAAAAACCGTAGGTCCCGTCTCACAGCACTTTCACTGATTTGTTCATGTGGGACGTAAAAGAACCCACACCACTGTTCGAAAAGAGCAGGGGACTTAGACCCCGGCGGTGTGGCCAACCTCCACGGGTTGTGGGATTGGGTAGGGATGGCACCTTGCATGGGACCTATGAGTCCCATTCGTGCCCACTCCCTCTGGACAGGCCTGTGTCCAGAAAAGCTGGTAAAATTATAATATGGAACAAGTAAGTTATTACGACTTAGTCCAACACAACCTCTTTAACTGGATTTTATTTGGTTGTTGAATACCATAAAAGATTATATGACACACAGCCACGTTTTTATATGTTGGTGGAGAATGACTATAAGTAAATGTACCCTACAGGCTGAAGCCAGTTACATGTAAGTCCATCAAAGAAAAGAGAAGATTAACAAACATACCTGAGTTGTTAGCCACATGGGAACTAGGGTTGAGATAAAGTTCTCTGCTCCACTCCACCATACATTTTAGTATTGAAACCAAACATTCAAGACCTTTGAGCCGCATACTTTTCTCTTGCACCTAAAATAAAAACAACACACAATGAGTTATGGTGAATGAGCGCCTGCAAAGACTCCAAGACCCTTATTTATTATTTTATTTACTCTATTTTCTCTATTAAAGGTGCGGCTCCACATAAACACCAGGTTTGAAAGAGGAGGATGTAAATAGGTGTCACACGCATTCATTTGTGACATTAACATAAGATGTAAGAAGAGGATATACCTATGTCAAGAAGAAGGCTTAAACCCCTTTCTTTTTTAATTGAGACAGTATGGAAAGCTACAAAAACCACCTTGATCAACTTACTGGAGTGGCAGAGAGGACTATGGCTTGCCTCCCTTGAGCTATCTTCGCCAAGTCGCTAGTTAAACGCTCAAAGATGTTTGACAGGGACAGATCACAGTCATAGTTGAGGTAGATGTCCACCACACATTGGGCATCTAAAGTGAAAAGAGGATCATGTCACTCATCTGCATGTTATAGGTACTCTAATCTCTTAATTATGTAAGGTAACAGGTAAAGGCACACACAGGCCAAAGGCCCAAATGGCCAGAGCTTAACCCGGTTTCCGTAGCATGAAACAAGCTAGGGAGTATTGCTACTCCCCCCTGGACAGGATGCTAGTCCATCGCAGGGTTACCCCCCAGCAGTATGTCACCAGTACCCATTTATACACCTGGGTGAAGAGAGACAAAGTGGAGTAAAGTTCCTTGTCTAAGGTAAAAGGGTGACGGGCGAGGCTTGAACCCCGGCCCTCCAGGTCCAGAGTTCAAGGTGTTAACCACTCGGCCACACACGCTTCCAATCTTTATGATGTGTACTAGTTGAAATATTGATTTTAGAAGTATGCAGGAAGCACATGATTTTAGGCTACAAGCATGGACATCTTGGCATCTTGCAGGCATTTTGAGATTTTGCACTCTCCAGTCTCCTCATCCCCTGATATATCTTATTCTTGTGAGATCCTTGTAGAGGTAAAAGCACCAATGAAGAAATTAAGTGGGCAGAACAGGGGAATGGGGAGCAAAATCTGTGATATTTCAATTTGAAAAAGTGCCTGAACTTTTTTGTCCTTGATTGAAACATGCCAGAAGTGTTCCATTAGACATTGAACAGCCACTTTTCAGAAAGGCCATTAGAGGCTCAGTATGACTTGAAAACAAGCTGAGAGGAGAACTGGAGAAAGGCAAGAAAAGTCTTCACTTCCCCTGTTGGGAACTCAGACACTTTCTTTCCCAGTACTTATGCTAATTTAACCTTGGTCAGTAACATTTGCCAGGCGGCGCCGATATCCTTGTCCTTGGCCCCAAACGGACTCAACAACCTAAGAAAGTATGTTTCGAATTTCCTTTCATCTCGATTGGCAACACGACAATGGCATGTTTAACAGGCCAATCATGGTGTGTGGTCAACTTCTGGTACACAGCTGTGGCCCAGAACGAGGATTCCAGCACTGTTTCGCGATGGACTTAACCAGAGTTTAGTTTCATCTGGGGCACAGGCTATGCTAATGGCTACATCTTTAGAAATCAAGTATTGCACAAAATTTATGACACATCACCAAATTACACTGTATGTGCACACCTGAGCATATTCTTGTTAGTGCCTGCATAACCATCCACTTGTGCTGAAATGAACTGGTTGATGTCTCTAGGATGTTAAGAAAGATCTCCTTGAAAAACACCTGCAAAACGGAAAGAAACACATAAAATACACCATGGCTGAGGAGAGCTGACTGACTGATGGAGTGATATATTAATTATAATTTGCTGACTTGCATAATTTTCCATAAAGAATTAACTTCTGACTCCTAGAACTGACTGACAAACTGAAACAGTGATAAAACTAAAGAAAAACAAACAGGAATGCCTGGGCACGAACCTCTATCTGCATTTTGAGATGTGTTTTGAACGACGACAGCAGTGTTAGAAAGATTGCCAATGACAGTTCAAAAACAGCAGGAACAGAGGAAACACCATTCTTGGACAATGCTACACAAAGGTATTGTTTAATGGCTGTTACAAACATCTCATGTGTACAAAACACTGGTCCTGCATTCTGAAGACAGGACAGCAACAGTTCCAAGGACAGAATCTTGGATCGCAACTCATGAGACCTGCAACAGGAACAGTTACATACAATTCATTATAATAACAGTAAAATCACTACAGGCTACAACATCACATTTCTTACTTTGCAATCAGAGGAAAGAATTTTTAAAAACAAACAGTGTTCCTTATTTATGGAAGTAGCCTGCAAAATTGGAGAATTAGTTTTCCCCACTGGGCACATCCTCAGATATCAGATAGGAGAATAGCCTGAAGATGACCTGTTGGCCAGAGCAGGGTGGGATAGCAGGGTTTGAAAAAACGTGAATTCCAGTTTGTCCTTTGGGCAAGCAGCTCTCTTATTTTGCTTGCCCAAGGCTACTTCTTGCTCATCTTAGTAAATAATTTTGTTAGAGGATGACTTGCCCAGACCCTTGCCCATTGGGTAAGTGAGCTTTAAAAGTTACTTGCCCAGCAAGAAAATCTACTTGTTCTGGGTAGGAGTGTACAGACTGTATGTGATAGACTTTCTAAAAGTCCTTTATCTTTTTCCTGGTTGGTTATACCATTTTAAAGGACTTTTCCTGTTTGTCAAGACAATTCACCAATAGGAGAGTGAGTGATATTTGACATAATTCTCGACACAGCACATGTCAATCATTTTTCCCATGTGAATTTATAATACGATACAAATCCATTCAGGTGAAACAAGTCCTTGCTGCACGACCTCATTGAAGCTCGCTTCGCTCGATTTCAAGAACTTATGAGAGTGGTTGACTTGTAGCAAGTCTATGTATGAGGGTAGTTGACTTTCACGCTCTTACAGCTGTAGCTTATGCCTGACATTTCTTTGAGAGAATCATAATTCAATACTCTAAAAACTTCTGACTTTTGTGACATCCAGTATATGGAGAAACTTCATTTCTGGAATCATTATTTTCAGAGTAAACTAAATAAATAAAAATGCTACAGCTGTGATATGTCTCTCTACTGTATGATCACTGAACTTACTTAGGATCTAGGGGTGCATCAGAGAGGGGCTTCATTGAAAGCTTACACAGGGACCTGAACACAAGAAATGCATCTTTCTGAGTGACATGAGAGAACTTGGCAGCCCCTGATGCTTGGCTGTTGACAGATGTTGAAGATGAGCTTCCCTCTGCATCAGTACCAGATTCACTCTGAGTGTCATCATGCTCATCAGACATAGGGATTGCCATCTCTGTTGGTGTTGGTGACGGAAGGCCATTAACAGTGGGGGTTTCTGGAGATGTTTCAGGAACTTCACCATTTGAGATGATGCTCTGATCTGGTTAAAAAGAGAAACAGAGGGAAACAGTTAGAGATGCAGTGGAAATTCAAAATTTATGCTACATCTGTACATTTGTACCTTTTCCATTAAATGTAACTACTTTAAGCACCATTTCTGCCAACAAAAATAATAAATTATTAAATAAGTTTTGTTGCAAATATTTTACAAGCCTCACAGAACTGCCAACTCCTGACTTTTCCACAGTTTTATATGATCATATCACAATGAAAAACATAAAGTAAGAGTTATAACTGTACATGTATAATTATCACTAATTTTTTTCTGAAAAACAGATTGAATTAGGCAATTCAGCAATGCACTGCAACTTTTTGCCCCTAATAAAATTCTTTTTTTTCTTTGGATCTGACTATCCACAACATAATCGAAACTGGGTTCTACGAGCTAAATTGAAATAGAATAGTACATGTACCTGACGGGTTTTCTGAATCTTTGATCTTATCACCATCAACAGGTTTATTTTCAGTGGAAACCTCACTGCTGTCATCCTCTACTGCTGTTATGTTCTGCGAACTCTCCTCAGAAGTACCACCATCAACTTCACACACTGTTTCTTTTTCCACCCCACCTTGCTCAGTAGACTCTGCCATACTATCATCACCCCCCTCAGGACTATCGGTTTGATGAGTTTCTTCAACTAGTGTCTCTTTAGTACCATCCTCAAGCTGGTCATCAGCTGTCAGAGAAAAGACAGCATTGGTTTGTTACTGAATGCACGTCAAGCATTCTAAGAGAATTGCACTCTTTGTAACTTGTCTCCATTACCTAATTCCACAATGGGCTCTTCAAATTAATAAGAATCACAATTCAAAAGAAGGTTGCATTTTGATATGTTAGTTTGTCAAATAATCAAAACGTGAACCTATTTGGTAACCAGTTACATCCATACCAAACCAATCAACACATATATTTGTTCAGTTCAGATTACACATTTAGGTTTGCCCTTTGTAACACAAATCATACTTTGTGCACCCCCATCAAGCACACTTCAAATTGATAACTGAACAAAAAAAATGTAAAGCATGTAATACTGAGTTCCCATATTTTTCCATGACACCACTTTACCGAGATGCAAATAACACTACATGCATTAACAGCTTGTACGGAAAGTCGTGTCTGATAGCCTGAGGCCAGTGGATTTTGGAATCAGGCTAGTAAATTATTTTGTTACCTTAACCAAAAGGCCAGTGAGGTTATTTTTTTTTTTTTTTTTTTTTTGGGGGGGGGGGGGGGGGGTGCAATTTCAAATTACAGAAGTACTGTAAGACAAAGTCCTTACAAATTTATGTGAACCAAAAGCCATTTTCAAGCTGATCAGAAGAAGTGAAATCTGCAAAAACTAGTATAGCTGATAATAATGAATTAATAAAGCTTCTCAAACTCATTAATAATTCATAAAGAAAATTCAAAGGAAATTAATGTTTAATGAGTGTTTGGATATCTGATGAAAAACTGCTCATTTTTGCATCCTTAATTTCTCCTTCAAAAATGATTTTGTTTGAGAAGAAATATCAAACATTCGACACAGTGTTTCATCACCAGATGAAACACCTCGAAGTTCGTCAAAAATACTCCGCTGCGCGTCGTATTTTCAACTCTCTTCTCGGTGTTTCATCTGGTGATGAAACACTGCATCTCATGTTTGATATATTACATGAAATAGATTAACTAATGGTGAAATTGATTAATCAATAATAATTATTAATTTTTATTATCACGCTTGTCAAAAATGTTTAAACTGTCTAGTTAAAATGACTTCCACGCTAATATATACTAGCTTCAACTTTCCCAAAGGGAAGCTGTCAAACTGACTTTTTTGCCCTCTGATTGGTGACTTTAAGGATAACAACGCGTTCCAGAATTTCTTTGGTGGATTTTCACAAATTTACCTTGCAAGTCCACCCCTTCATCTACATCATTGTCAGTCCTTTTACTTTCTGCTGCAGTACTGCTGTCTGTATTGCTTGCATCTTTTGTTTCATGGTTCTGCTCTGATGACCCTGCATCAATTGGATCAGAGAGGGTGGAGGGAGTTGATGAACCGGTGTCCCTGTCAGGGGAGGACACAGACTGCGACTCCGTTGTTTCAGAGGGGGTGGGGGTTGAACTTGTTTGCACACTCTCTTGATCTTGCCTTGACTCCGTCAATTCTTCTTCCACAGCCTATAGATCAGGTAAGTACCATAAGTTTCTTTGATTCAAAGTGTTAAGACCAGATGTGAGTAACGATATTTAACAATAATTATTGAATTCAGCTTTCATATCATCTGAAGAATTATGGTCATCGAGGACGGTGTTGTATCAGCCGAGGCAGATAACACCCTCCAAGATCTCCATAATTCTTCAGATGATACGAAAGCCGAATTCAACAATATTGTTCTATTATTCACTCAAAATATTAATGAGAAAGTGATAATTATGGCTGGACAGTCCTGATCAATAGTGAGATTCTCTTTACAACTGGACTGATCTGACCAGTCAGTTCTGACAAATTGTAAACACCTTTAGTCTGCCTGCTTTTTCATGGAAATCATAATTCATAATTCAAGGATGATAGATGAAAATTGGGACATTTCATGGGATTTAAAACTTCATTCCACTGTGGTCAGCAGACATACTTACAGCTTGAGCTTCCATCCTTTGAAAAATCACACTTATCATCTGGCTAAGGGTAGCTTTAGCTGTTGTTTGGTTGATCAGATTACGACTGGCTAAGTAAATATTGTAACATGTCCGCACTGCCTGTAAGAGAGTTCCTTCATGAACTTCACATGAGTTTGAAGTAACAGCAGTCAGTAAAGCCTGAACACAAGAAACAGATGACAAGAAATTCAATGAAGAACATACACAGACAAAGGTCTACCATTTTGAAGGACTTATAACTCAATAACAAGACAGATTGATCTGCACTGGGTACTTTTATCTGCCAAAAACTTGGTGCGTTTCATGCAAATGTGTTGTTTAACACTCTCTCTTCACTTATAACACTACAGCAAAACATTTTTCAATGAAATTTGAAGTGTTACATGGTAAGTTTGTCCATTTTAACTCCTCCAAAGCATAATGGATAGTAGGAGATATTATGGATAATGGGCGATTCCAGAAAATATCCATACCATAACACAGCCACCTTTTTGGAATTCCAAGGGCAAAGGGTTCGAGGGTGGGGGGGTCCAATGAACTGGAAATCAAGGCATGGGGGGGATACTTACTGTATGATTGGAATTCCGAAGGCATGGGAGGCAGGGGGGCTGGTTAGATCTGGAATTCCCACAGGGAACAGACAAGAGGCTATACCATGAAAATGCCTATTTTATGGATTTTAAAAACAGTTCGCAAATAAAGCATGAACTGGCGACTCTGCTGACGACCGCGGCAGAAGGATACAACACAAGCATCCATCAATCAGTGATGTTGTCCTGTTCATTGGTAGAAGTAAACCAACAAAATGTGGGTTGTACAACAATCTCCAGGAGCCATAATGCTACAAAACATCCTTTTTTCTCTCGTGAAAACAGCCGCATAAATTGTTTTGTCCACTAAATGCAAAACAAGGTCTTTTGATCAAGGACACAATTTTAATTTTGGAAGCGGCTGCTGATCCCGAAGGCTCAAATTCAAGATGGACAACAAATTCTTGTTTTAATGTTCCATACCAGTTTGGGCCACTGTAAAGTTAATGTAGGTAGCATCTGTTGAACAGCGGTAAGGAGAAAAATTCCTGTTTTTTTATTTTCAATTTTCATTCACTAATTTCGAGAGCCAATTCTGTTGAAAATATTTGAAGTTCAGGATAGATATGCTGACCTAAACACGATAATCTCCGATTTTAAAAAATATTAGCCCCCGCTTATCTAAATAGCTGCCTCGATTTTCTTATCTCAATTTCTCTCGTGACTGACCTTTTTTATTATAAATATGGTACTTTTTCACTTCAACTATTCGTAATAAATCTTAAGCCGTCTACACATCACCTGCCTCGATTAGCCTTGCTATTTGCAGGTGGTGTGATATTTGTATATTTAATGTAAGAAATAAAGATGTTGTTGTTGTTGTTGTTGTTGTTGTTGTTGTTGTTGCCAATAAATTTTTTAGGGATAAGCATTAACTTAGAGAACCTTAATGATCTGAAGCTGTACTCCCTCATCAGTCTGTACTCCAACAAAACAGCTACAAATAGTCTCCACTATCCGGTCTAGAAGCTTTTTTGAGGGTTCAGTGCTATCTGGGATGTCACCAGCTAAGTGTCCATAAGCTATAAGTTTCTAAGAAAAAAATTCAAATGAAAATAACCGTCATGGTAAAGTAAAATGGTTTTTAATAGAGTATGTAACATTACAGCATCAGTAAAGATTCAAGACACTCTTATCTGCTGAATTTCTCATTGTGATGCTTCCATAGGGTAGCCACTCACTTCCAGAAAAAAAAATCCCTAAATTTTCCTTTAAATAATTTTTTGGTTGCTGAACTTCGAATTCAAATGTTTTTTCAGCTTCTTTTGTGCGCCATGGTTATTCTTTTCTTGTTTGTGAATATCTTTACATTTCTAATGGAATCTAGACATTTTTAATAGCATTTAGAGTACAGCAATTCTGTAAAAGTAAACCCCGCGCAACTAAGAACCTGTTAGGCTAAAATTTGCCAGTTAAACCCCCTCTATACAAGAATCTGTTGAGCCTAAAATTTGAAACAGGTTCCTATTTTTTTTTCTAAAATCTATGGAAAAATTATGTACACTTAAGCAAATAAGATACCGGTAAGTCAACATTCAGAATCCTCTTTGGAGACATGAGTGCCTTATCACGCTAACTGTAATGTAATGATATGTAGGTTTTATATGGGGAATAAGCTGAACCACTGAATACTCTTAGCTATATTGTATTTTTCTTTTCTTCAGAAAATAAGAACCTATTTAAGAACCGAAAAAGGCTTAACTTCTGCTAACTAGCATTTATATAAGAACCTGTTTAGGCTAACTTGGAAAAATCCAGGTTCTTAAATGTGGGGTTTTACAGTATTAAAGTAGTTTATTCAACTGAAAGCAAACCTTACTTTTTACTGGCTTTGCCAAGAAATACAATTTTACATGACTTTTTCTATTTGGGTTTGTTTTTTTTTTCATGACTTTGGAAAAAAAAATGCTTTTCTTGAATTTTAGTCCCTTTGAGTAAAAAGTAAATAATTCCAATGAAAAACAGTACTACTCTTAATTCATTTTGTGATATTTGTCATAAACACAATTTAACAGTACCTGCAGGCAGTCCAGTGCTGTCACAACTATTCGAGGACATTTTGACTGGCAAGCAAGTTCAAAGGGTAAAAAATATCTATCTGCTTCAATAAATGGCTGCTTTCCCTTGGGAGGAGGAAGGGCTGATGATGGACTCTCATCACTACACAATAAAACAAAGACAACAACACCTTACATGTATAAACACGCAAGAAAGTTACACTTTCTGCTTATAAAATCGTACTCCTTATTGTGGAGAAAAGATCCCCAAACCTCAGCAGTCCCTTGTTCAAGATGGATCCAAGTTGTTTATGAAAGAAGCTTAAAAAAATAACTATTTTGATACTTTCTGCTGTCAAAAAATATCACTATTCTACCCATGGAGGGACATTGGAAATTCAAATACAGATGAGGGTCATCAAGGCCAAAATTTTGAAATGAAAAAATTGTTTATGAAGGGAAAATTATATTGCTAGTGGGGTGAGTGGGTGTTTGTGGTGGGGGAGGGGTTGGGGTAGGGGGGTAGGTATCAAACCCTCTATGGGGGGAATACAGATTTTATGAACCACCACACCAAATACAAAAAAACACTAAAAACTGGATGATGTGACATCTTAACACATCCTGTAAAATACAAAAGAATATCTTGCCAATTAAAACATACATGTAGTGTTCTTTCAAGTAGGCCTAAGAGATCAAGATTTGCAGTGAACTATTAAATGCATCAAAAGTATACTTGGTACAGTTGTACATACATAAAAGCTCAATGAACTTATAAAATGCACCTAAACAAAATGTTTGCTCCAACATGCAGGGGTAAATTTTATAAATCAAATGGTAATATATAAAACTATACCTGCCATCTGCAATTACAGCTTTTTGAGATTTGTGAATTTCTTCTGAAAAAAAAAAACAAAACATAAAAATGCACATGTCCAGATACTACGTGTTTTAATGCTGTGGATCAATATTGTTAGATTTGAAAAGTTTTCAAACAAGTTCACTTAAACCATAATACTGTGAAAGGTTTGAACCCAATAGTCATTTCAAAAGTAGGTTGAGTTTGATCATCCGGGTGAGTGTAGTCCTGAATAGGACTGTTGTTGTTGACAGTGACTGACATTTCGACAAACCTTTGCAGTAGTCATCTTCAGACGGATCGAAATGCACCAATTACATTATGAGTCTTCATAGCCCATGACATCATGGCTTAACTGACAGACAATCAATAGCATCGTGACATAATTGACTAATCAGGTCAATAACCAGAGTATAATACCATCAACTGACATGATACAACTCACTTTGACTCTGAAGATGACTACCGCACAGGTTGTCGAAACGTCAGCCACTGTCAACAACAACAATCCTATTCAGGAAAATGTTCACCCAGACGATCAAACTCAACCTACTTTTAAACCATAATTTTAATCAAAATTGACTAACTGATCAGGTTTGACAATTTTAAAACCAACGAAAGACTTGAGCCACCTCAATAGTGCTGTGTTTCCTCAACAATATCAAAAGTCAATAAAATTACAGCTCAAAAATGTGTTGATACGGCTAGTATGTTGTCTCTATGAACGACAGACTTACAGTATAACATGTATGTTGCTAATTTGATATATTTACAAAAACCATTATCACTACAACAGTACCCATTATTCTTTTACGATACAGACAAATCCAAGATAATAATTACAAATATTACAAAAAGCAACGCATGCCTACTGTGGGTGCAAAAAGATATTTCTTTAGCTGAAATGTAGCAAAACTATGCAGTCACAATAATGTTATTATACGTAGATATCGATAAAACCAAGTTTGCTCAGTGTGATGTTGCATTAAAATGTGGTGGTAAAATGTAATATGTTCCTGTTTCTGATTCAATATCCTGCCAACTTATTGTTTTCAGATCAACAGTGGATTTGTAATGCATATGTAAACAAAACGTTCTAAGAATAGCAACATGAGAAAATCTCAAATGTCTTAAGATTTGCTTAAAGCTGTTTTTCAAAGAAAAATTCACAACTAAAAAAATTCATAGTAAACATGATATTCACAACCTTCACCCCCAAAAATATTGTCCTTGATTCTTTATGATTAAAATAGTTATCAAAATAATACTGTTACTTTTGGCTTGATACATTCAAAGCTACAAATTTGCAGATGTCTTTGTGTAAAACTTTCTAACACATTGTGCAGTGATATTATATAAAATGTCATGACAGCATTAACACCAGTTCAGTAACAGAAAGTTATTACAATATTGATCACTGACAGATACTTTCAAATAGGATTTTAGAACTAGTTCATGATCATGATCAATTAATCATTTTGCAGGAAGTTACTCTTTGTTACTGTCAAGAGGCAAAAACTCGGCGAGCTACTTTGCTAAAAGAACTGTTGCGTTGCCTGGATCGAAGCGAAGCAAAGCGTGACCAGATTAGAATTTCAAATAATCAAATGCCATCCTGATCTTAACCAAGTTCTTGATCAATACAACTTTATTATGAATCGCCTCTGAAAAGCGCAAGAAAGGACACCAACTTTGATCGCCGATAACATAAGAAAACACTCAAAATAGGCAATTGTCGGCCATAATGTGCCATCTGCACTCACACCTGTTTTGAAGAGTGAATTTCTTAGCTTTGAAAATCAAGCTACAGAGTACAAGCTGAATTTAAGCAAACAACCAGGGTACAATTGACTCTGACAATCAATCCAAGCTGAGATCTAGAGATAATAACTGGCAGCTGTGTAAAATATTTGAAATAGACTGTTTTCTCATTTCCCGTGTCTCACCTAGAGCTACTTCGCAAGCCTTCTTCAGTTGCTGGTGATATGACTTCTTCGTTTCCTTGTCGTTCAGTATCTTCTCTAGGGCCCGTGTAAGAAACATATTTTGTGTTTTTGTGTTCTCATACATGGCGATTGAGTAGAGTTACTCTTGGCGGCGATCGCCGGTGTCTTTCCGTTTCTTAGAATGATAAAAAAACCATTATTTTTCGGAAACAAACATTAAGGTTGCAAATCAACTCATCTCGGCCGCCATCTTGTTCTCCGGATGTAGTCACGTGAGAGGTAGTCGCTGACGTAGCAGACCCAGTCTCCAAAAACACATCACCCAGAATGACGCACAAATCGACGCGGACCGCAAAATAATAACTATTTTTGTAATATGTTGAAATGTTTTTAAAAGGTTCAGATTTCTGTTTAAGTGACGAGAGAAACATCCTTACTCTTGAGAAAATTTGTATTTGAAGGAATTGAGTTGGCTTTACTCCGCACATTGTTCAATCAACTTGATGTCACCTAAGCACTATCAATTGATGTGACAAAAAATTTTCCGAAAACTTTTGACATTAAGAGACCAAAAATTCCTCTTTCCCCCTACCCGCGTTAGCGTTCGCCACGTTTCAGCCGTATTTGATTACAGTTTTAGCTAGTGAATGGCTCAGTCAATTCCAAGCGTGCCCATCCAGCCCCCAGAAATCTCAACCGCTCTGTTCCACTCGTTTACAGACACAGACCCCAGTTTCTTTTTTTGCTAATTAACCCATATCTACTTGTACCCAAGGTTTCTTTGAAAAAAAAAACAATTCAGAAGACAAAATAGAGAGGTATGGGACAACACACAGGTAGCCTGTGAGAGCATCCGGTTTTCACCCGCCGGAGGGAGAGAAGCGACGACCAGAAATAGGTGCGGTTCGCAGGCTAACGTACAGGGCCCAGTTGTTCGAACACCGGTTAGCGCTAACCCTGGGGGTTAAATATTAACCAGGATTTCTTTTTCTTGTAATCGAAAGCACTTTCTCGGATAATTTTCTCTATTCTTTTTAGAGGATCAGGAGCCCATCAATCATCAAATTGTAGGTAAAGAGAATTAAACTAGGTTTGCTCTTTAAGCTCTCATATTTGAGTTCAAATTTCGCACTAACCCTGGGTTATCTTAACCCAGCTTCAAAGAACCCGGCCCAGGCCGCTGCCCTTTTTAATTGCACTCTCCATTTCTCACCTTTCTCACCTTTCCCAGTCTCCCTCGCAGCCGTTTTTGTCTCGTCACGCAACGAAGGGAGGAGCGTTGCATGACGAGAGAAAACGGCTACGAGAGAGTCTTTAGCTACGTGCAAAGGACCCAACAACTCCCAACACCCAACAACTCCCAACATTGCCAACAATGTTGGGAGTTGTTGCGTCCCTTTGCACGTAGCTAAAAGTTTGACCGGTTTCAAACTTTGCACAACGACTCCAAACAACATGCACCAGGGTGTGCAAACCGACGCAATATATGTAACAACCAACAATGCTGGGAGTTGTTGGCCAACAATAGAGAGATTAGCATTCAAGTTTACGGCAGACTGCAAGTATGAGATTCAAGTTGAGAAACTGTTTCAAAATAGCAAATGAACAGATAAAAACAGCTTAAAACAATTCTTATGTATAGAACTGGCGTGAATTTACCGATTTCCGTGTAATTATAATGAACAGCAAACGACAAAGGGAAAACTTGGTCACATGGTACAAACTAACGTTTGCCGTTTACCGTGAACGCGACTCTAAATCTCTCTAATGTTGCGTCCGTTTGCAGGGGGCTTAACTTTTAGTCCTGGGTTCACTAAAGCAAACCCGAAAACGAGGTTGTACTCCTCGATCACAGTATTTTTAAGCAACAATAACAAAACTAGGACGAGTAAGTGCAAAACATCTAAACGTTATACTTTATTCATTTTACGGCTTAAATCTAATAAGTATATGTAGTGTTATTGCGTAATTTGCCATAACCCGGTGAAGACCTTGTTAAGACCCAAAACACAAGGCCGGTCGCACTCGCAGTTTTTAATTCCTCTAGTGTAGCCATACCCTGCGCGCAGATCGAGGCCCTTCGATCTTCCTGGATAAGTCGGAAAGAGGAAGGGACTTATCTAGGAAGATCGAAGGGCCTATAGTGGCAGGGTAATGCGGTCACAGTCAATTTGTAGTAGAGGCGCAGTTACTTTTTTCCATTTTTTTTTAGTATCCCCAAAGCATATGGTTTTTCTTCAGTTGTCTATGTTTTTTAAGCTTGCCGGATGCAATGACTTCTTCAAGTTTGTCGTAAATATCCTGCAGTTTTCCAGCGAAATGTCTCTCTTTTTTAGATGTAGATGTTGATTTGTTATTAATTGTTTTCTTCAGTTCTTTTGTTGTTGTTGTTGTTGTTGAAGGTTTTGCCGGGGTCTCAATTGTTTGTTTACCTTGCACAGTCAACAACTTAACAGATTCCTGCGAATTTAATAATGGAGCTGCCTCCATAGCATTAAGGTTTCTTGTTCTATCAGACTGTCCAGCAGGAAGCCATTGCCGTGAGTTAAGATAATTCTGCTCTACAACGTTTTCGTCAGCATACTCACGGTTCAGGCCTTCATTGGCTGGTTCAAAAAATCCATTTTTTGCTTCATATTCCACTGGATAGGTGTTATAATTATTATTATAGTCATAAGAGGGATAATAGTACTCTTGCTCATTACCCGATAATGTTTTGTCCCATACAACATTTTGTAATGGTTCTGGGGTGTTATAATCTACTAAGTTTTGTCTCGCCATTATCTCTTCATCTCCTTGTGCGTCGTAATGTGCTAGGTTCTGCTCTCCTTCTCTATAGACATCATATGCAGTATTAAGTTCATTTGCCTCTGTATTTGACCGTAAACTACTTTTCATGGCCGCTCTGTCAGGATATTTATTTGCGGTATATTGAAAATCTTTTTTTGTTTGAGGTTTAACTTGCGAACTACTCATCTCAACTGTTTTATCAACGGGTTCTTCTACTTTTTGTGTATGCAGAGATTGTTTTTGTAAAAAAGCGGTAGAATTGGTGGGTGTACCCAAACCTTTATCCTTGTTTGTCCCTGTGGAAGAATAAATTGACGGTTTGTTTCCTCGCGAAATAGGAAGAGTACCCGTCTTTAAGGTCTTGATCTCATGTCTCTGCATTTTTGCTTGATGAGCTGAATGATTTTCTTTGAATTTCCTTTTACCACTACGTGTCCTATTTCTGTTACCAGGTGACGAAGTTAACGAGGGGTTGTTCTTTCTTCTAAGAAAACTGGAACCATTGACATTACTATGGTAACCAGGTTTATGCTTTGCATGGACTTTCCTTCCCATTGTGCTTGGTTCAAGCGGGTTTACACGGTCTATTTTTTCTTTGACAGGAAACTGAAATGTAGTATGCTTGAATAAAGCAACTACAGGATTTTTGGTTACTCCACAAATGTTGTTTCTCCAAGCGAGTTTGATGTAGCCGTCAATACCCCAGGAAGAAGACCATGAATTCTTAACTAGCCAATAGGGAACTCCATTCTCATTTCCATAACCAACGACTAGAACTGTGTGCCGAGTGGAGCTGTTGTCTGTAGTAGGGATAATAAAAGACAAATGGATATAATAATTACCAAAGATTTAGGGACTGCACTCTAAAATTTACAAAACTGGTTATTTCCTTGATTAAGTTGAGTTTAGTTACGAATTCTATTAGTCATGACTGTGCTTTAAAAGACTCAACAACAATCGCATTGTTGCTCAGCCTTTCTATGACCCCGTGGAAAACTGTTTGCAACATTCACTCAGTGAACAGAAATCGACCATGTAAGTTTGCGATATTACAAATGATCTTAAGTAGCTCGAGACTGGACGGGACTTTTCTTTTCGTAACTAGAAATACAAGGCTCCGGCCCATGCACAGTTGTTTAAAAGTTGGATAACGTTATCCACTGCATAAATCTATCTAGTGTATAGCGCAATTGCTTTCTCTAATAACACTTATCTGCTGGATAATGATTTATCCGGTGGCGGGATACCGCTATCCAACGTTTTATCAAAGGTGCCTGATGTATAAATCTTATCTGAATACACACGCGCTTAGTTCAGACACTGAACACACGCACTACGTATGATACAAAATCACCATAGTAATCTAAACAGACTGACCACACTCTGGGTTGTCATAGATTCCCCAGCTGTAGAATTTCAGCGACAAGGGCTTCTGATTTATTGACACGCACGCTGGACCATGTTTGGCTATCGCTCTCTTTAGAGCGCTGTTGTTGTACTTTGGAACAAACGCAAAGGCGTCTATTTTGACTCGCTCTTTAATCCCCAGTGTTTCACATGTCCCCTCCTGCGTTGAGAAAAGTAGTAAAATCAGTTACAAGGGCTCAATTCTGATATTGATTATTTCGTCGTTGGGCATCAGATTCTTTAAGACCAAGAGAGCGGGGGAGTGCGTTAAGGAGGAGTTGGACATATTTACCCCATTGGTGTTAGTACGAGTTCCTCTAAAATGCTGGAGACAAAGGACAAAAAAACTCCGTGCTTTAGAAAGGAAACAATCATACCCAAAGGTGTAGTGTGAATATTTTATGATAGCAGAAATTTACGCTAATAATAGCATGGTCCTGAAGTTGATGCCACTTTGTTGTGTAAACTTTTTTTTCCTTGCATTTGCTCATTTGTTCTTCGTATTTTTAGAAATCGCTTTGAACGTGTCGAGTATAGTGTATACAAGATGCTCTGCCTACCTTAAACCGGTACCAAACAAAAAATTGTAAATTGCTTTTTTACCCACGAAGCACTGAAGAGTTCATATGAACTCGTTTAAAAGTGTCCGTGCGTTCCAGATCGAATTGGAATTTGGAGGTGTTGGTTTTTGAGGGGAGGAGAAAACAGGAGTACCCGGACAAAAACCTCTCGGAGAAAAGGAGAGAACCAACAACAAACTCAACCCACATATGGCGTCGACGCCGGGATTTGAACCCGGGCCACATTGGTAGGAGGCGAGTGCTCTCACCACTGCGCCACCCTTGCTCCCAACAAAATAGTTATATGTTGTAACGTCACAGGATTAAAACTGAAGTTATGCGTCAACTCCTTCCAAACTTTCCCCCGGCTAATTTGTCTCCAACAACACTACTACAGTGTTAAAAGCAAACTTTGTCAAGGACGTTTATTAGCGACGTACGTTAACCGCAAGTGGACGCCTTGATTTCTTGGGCAGTGGTTTTGCTTAATGTTTTGGAAATATTGTCTCTATAAGAGTAAAGACACTTAACACCTCTGCATAAGCTCCCTATAATTGACCCTGATGGGAAAGTTGTTTATAAGTAACGTTTGAGGTTTTGGGTTAAGCATTTGAGAGAAAGTTTTTTCCCCTCTAAAATTGGGCCTAACTGTTACCTGCTATACTACTACAGTCCTTTTTATTGTCTGTGATTTGATGTAGTCGAAAAAATCATGTACATCTTAGCAGAAAATATTTCTATTTTGCAGTGTAATTTCCAGTCATGTCTTACCTGAGCCAAATATGGCCCATAATTCTTTGCCTTGGCCACCCCGTTCATGTAAATCCAACTAAGTGCTTTATTGTACCATCCTCCTCTACAACCATGGTTACCAGATCCCCATGAGCAGTCAATAACCTGCTGTGCAGAAAGTTCAACTAACTGACCTGTCTGAAGAGAGAACAGCAATAACTCAGTTATCATATAAAGGCGTGCTTCAGACTGCGAAGTTCTGATGTGGCAAATCTTGTTCATAGAAGCAAAACCAATCTATTCTTTTTTTGTTGCTCAGCATTTAGACTCTGGAAATGTCAAGTTCGCCGTCTGAAAGGAACCTTGAGGCATTTAGAACAGATTTGACAGATTTCTTTTTGAACTTCGTTAGTTTACTAAACTAAAGGCAAAAGTGCATTAATCGCTTGGGCAAATGAACTGTATCTTGTTACCAATTAAGACCAGAGAAGTTTCCAGGACATTTCTTCCCTCCCCTTTGGCTCAGAGGCGCCTTCATCTAATGATGCGTAAAACCGAACCTAGAACAGCCAGTCGCAGAACTAGAAACAGGCGAAAATATACCTGGCCCTGGTTTTTCAGACGTTGGACAGCTTTATCTCCTAAATAAGTCTCTATCCAGCAGGTAATTATTAGGAAAACCAACTGCGTTATCCACTGGATAGAGATTATCAGCGTTATCTATACCCTCTGAAAATAACTGGGGACTAGCGCCAAGGGCTTTAAAACTAGAGGAGCCGATGCTGCTGCTAGTGCAGTTGTGTGAAATACTATCCACAACTGAAATTTGTCGCATTGGTAATGTTTAACAAGAGCAATGCCTTTTTAATTAGTTTTCCACTGGCCTTTTCTCGGTCATTTTTGGCAATAGAAATGAAACGTACCTTCATAAAGTACGCCCCTTCAACAGCTCCAACAGCGCCTAAGGCGTAACACGATCCACATATACCCTGACCTCGGACTGGCGTCACTGCACCTATAACAACGCGTTACTCTAATCAACTTAGTGATTTGGTTGGGCTTTATTATAAGTTCACATACTAAATTAAGGTTATAAACCCGGAAAACATGAGAAATATCTGAAAATGTCACTGTTAACTCACCTGTGACGAAGATGAATATGTCTATAAATTCTTAAAAAAACTAACCGTCATTTAGAGCGGGTGATACTGAACAGTTTAAATGATTGATAAACTTGTGGCCCTTTAAATTTATTCAATTATTGAAGTACATGGTCCAGACCGAACTAGAATTTTGGACATGCTGGTGTTTGAGGAGATGGCGAAAACGGAGTGCTCAGAAAAAAACCGTTCGGAGCAAAGAAGAGATTCAATAACAAACTCATCCCAGTGTCGACGCCAAAACTCAAACCCAGGCGACATTGATGGGATGGAGTGCTCTCAACACTGCGCCATCTCTGTTCACGCAATGTACATCTTATACGTATGCGCATTAGATAAATTTATTCCTGGTCTTAAACCAGGTTTGTCATTAAAACTGCTCATAGCATAAGCAAAGGCAAAGCCTCGCCTCTTCAGGTATTTAATCGGTCCGCGTATTAGTAAAGGGGTTTGAGTTAGAAAGTCTCCCTCGGGAACTACAGACTCGCACTCTACCTACTCAATAGGCGGGTGAATGACAACCCATGCTTCTACGGCGCTCAACTACCTAGACAGCGTGCGACGGGCGCACGAGTAAATAGGAACGGAGACGCTGTCCGCGAGGGAGAAAGACGCGCACGAGAAAAGAGACAGCTTTCTCCTCTCGCTTGTTCTTCTCTCTCGCGCGCCATGTTTCGTATGCACGCACCTGCCAAGCAGGCCCTGACCAACCACCATGTTGGCTTACCGCCTTGTGATTTGCTTCTGGCCAAGACAATTTTGTGACTATTCATTCTTACCATATTCTCTCCAATCCAACTCATCAGGTACTTCCACAGTTTTAAGAACGGCGCTCATGTTACTGTATGACTCATGGTGTTCCTCAAGATGAACACCTCCTTTGTGATCTGTATTGTTATCGTCAGAAAGTCCTAGTATCAGGAAGGAAAGAAGAGCACACGACTTAGATCTTCAACGGGAGCTTATACCCAAGATTTGTCAGAACTGGACAGCCACTCAAGAGAGAAAGTTGTAGGTGAGTTACAAATTTGTCAGAGTTTGTTAACTTCAAGATGTTTGTTCTAACCTGCATGACCGTCATATTCCTCATCTGTAAGATCTACTAAATGATTCGGAGCCAGTTTGTACGCCAGGTTCTGCCGGTTTATTGACCTGATGTATCTACAAATGAAAATCAGGGTAACTTTATTCGACCACAAAATTATCTACCGTACAAAAAACTCTTTCGGAACATCTCTTCTTCTAAAGGCGAGGTCATCGTTGATGTGTTCATACATTGCACTGACTGTACGTTGTGTAATGGAAAAAGATTATGAGAAATTTGCCATCTGAATCATCATTTCAAGAGTGTCGGTACAAAGAAAACACATCTGAGACCCTGATAGGAATCTAATCGAGATAGATTATGTTGTTACCTCATGTTATGGCGAAATATGTGCTTTCTTTTGACATGTTCATGTTGGGAGTCGTGGATTTTGTTGTGATGATCTTTATATACTTGATACATCTCCTGCACTATGTCTTCGCCGTATGACATAAACTCGCCCATGGGATTTGATACAAAGTGAGAGTCGAGGCTGTGAGACCAGTTATAGCACCACTGATCTGGGAAAAAAATCAATGTGGGGTTTTTAACCATGTACGGTTTGTTACTATGTCTCCTTCCAAGTAATGTTTGCCTTTTCAATTCACTTGTTAGAGAGTGTTAATAATAGCATTTGCATAGAGATGAACAGGAGAAAGCGAGATAAACTTGCAGCACACTTGTTGGTTCTTTTTCGCCTTCGCTGCAAGACCACTGTGTTTCACGTTTTGGACGACGCAAACAATCTGGCAAAGTGCTCTCGCCCGGAACGGACGTTTCTGCTAGCGCTCCTCGTTCTCGCTATCGTGTGTCTGACGTAAGGCTAGTTTATTAGGCCCCTAGTCACTTTTAGTTGTATTTATTTCCTGAAAACATGACCCGCCTGGATTAGCATAGCTACCCGTGGGCATGTTAAAATTGTATTTCAATCTTAAAAACAAATAAAATGTATGTATGTTTTGTTTTCTTTTCGTGAACTTGGATAAGGACCTAGAGAATTGAACTCCGGCAAAATTCACTCATTGAACGAAATGTGAATGATTGCAATGAAGTTTGCAAAAGCGCAAATTCACTTCATTAACAGCTTGGCAAATTTTAATTGTCACCTCGCACCTTTTGGTAACTCGAATTTCTCCAGGTCTGGTTCCCAGTCCTCAAACGAGATGTATTCGACGACATAGTTGTCATAGTAAGACGCCATCAGACTATCATAACCTTTCATCTCATATCGCACCGGACGCACTGTGTCAAGCTTGCTGACCAGCAAAGTGTGAGAATTCAGTAAACCAAACACCATGTAACGGTATTCCCATCTAGTTGCAGGTGTGCCCATGTAAACTTCCTCACCCGCATACTAAAGGAGAATGGAAAAAAAATTACGAAGAAATCATTCCTCAAGTCCCAATTGTTAGAAGAAAGGTTAGTACAAATTATTAGTTAGTTGACAATGCAACTCCTACGCTACGTTCAGCAGTTTATTGTTAGGCAAAGTGTAAAAGTGAGCAAGAAAGAATAATGATGTGAGAACGGTGAGGTAGGAAAGATGAAAAAGCAAACACGTGCGTGGCAAAATCCGAGCATCTGAAGGCTTTTATAAACACGTGAGAGCAGAGTTGTAACGATATAGGGCCCCCAGTTGGTTGGACCATTTCGAATTATTTGTGACGGCAGCACCTGACCCTCGGTGACACTAAACCAAGTGCCTGAATTAACTGTGTTCATATCGCACCACCATTTAGTGTAGGTGAAATTTTGCTATGTCTTTCTTAAAACTGTTTTTAACTGAAAATATGCAGGTTCATGAAAGCATCCAGAAGTAAGTATGATTCATGATGGTGACGATGATGATCTTTCAAAAGATCGTCGTTATCATCATCAACATCATTGTTATTATTAATGTTATTGCAGTAGTATAGTAGTCGTCGTCGTCGTCGTGGCCCACAAATGTAGTATGCTTTATTTATAGACACCTTATACCTGAGCGTAATTACTTATAATTAAATGAAAAAATCCGTGATTGGAGGGAAGCACCTTGCCTTGTCCCTAGGCTTCATTATTCGGCGCGGGATATACGTTTCCGGTCACGTGTTCCGAGCGAGTTTTTTTTATTTCCGCTCGAATTCGTCACTGAAATGCATTGGCCGAGAAGGCCTGGGAAGACACCGTACAGGGACTAGGTAAGATAGCACCAAGAACTGGAAGATAGACTAGGAGCGCTTTACTTAAGTCTTTGTCTCATCTAAATTATTGATATTTTTCCTTACCTTGAAGTACGTCATGTTCGGCACAATTGGCTGCGGGATGATGGGCCAGCCTTTATGTCCCTCAAGTTTCCAGCAGCCGATGTAGTTTCCATCTTTCTCTGTGTGCATTGGTACCACCTTTAATGTCACACCGTACTTACCAAGGTCTGCTCTTTGAAATGTTTTATCTGTACCTAAAAACGATATTCAGAGTCTCTGTTAGTGGAAGATTATTGTGGCCGGCGACATATTTTGCCACCTGTTACTAAGGCAGACTAGTGAAATACCTTCAGCTTTATAAAGTAGTTAGTCTTTCATTTTGCCAGTTGCCCGCGAAGATCGACTAAGCTGGTTAATTCATTTCTTTTTGAGCCAGTGTGTAAAACAAAGCCCCGTTTTTGAGGGGAGACCGACAAGGGTGTAAAGCACTTGGGGTTAGAAAGTAAACAAAAGGCGAATTTGGGAGAAGAACTTTCAAAGACACATTTATCACATCAGTTTTCTCTCGTCTCCCTCATCGATTAGCGCTTGGGGAGGTAGCTAAGGAATGTTTAGGTAGGTATGTGCCGCTGCGACCCTGAGTCCCACAGCCTAAAACCAGACCTACAGTAGCTCAAATAGTTCAGATGAATTATGCTTTCTATACTAGACTGAACTCTCAAACCCCCTCATATCCTATAGTCGCTGTTTTCCAAAAATTACTGACGTCGATCCACGCTTTCTTTGCTGTTGAGTTTAGGGTAAATTTAGATTTACCGATTTTATTTTTGCAGGCTAATTCTCGGTTTCCCTCTGAGTCTGGACTAAAATCTTCAACCAAATGATCAGTTTCATGGAAAATGATACCCTATTCTAGACTCAAACTCCGCCGCAAGCTCTGATTTCTATACCCTAGACCAGGGGCTAAACTGCTTGAAAACCATACCATTCACAGCAACATCTCCCTATATATCCCATATAGCATTCCCCCGGGCGATAAGCAGGCTTTGCCGTTGTAAATTTCCCATACAGAGACCGGTCTCATGTCATTGATCATATAATGATCGTAATAATTGGTTTCGTTATGCTCCGGAAGCCAGTCCAGCTGCAATATCAGCAGAGTTTTCAAACCAAGCTGAAATTTAATTATCCCAAAATAACAAGAATGTACCGTAATAATAGTCGATGCGACTTCGGTTATAATCACTAGTGAACCAAATCTCGAACGGTTCCACGATGTTACTGTGTGGTAGAAAGAGTCTCCCGGTGGCGTGATAGTTTTTAGGAAAATTGACTGTGATAGGTGCGGTCTTGTTATTCCTCTCCAACGATCGCTTTGAGATCCTCAAGTCAAGATTGCCATAATAAAAGAGTTTGTAAATCCCCGTCGCGGTCAAACACAATGCCACCAGCACTACCAAACTTGATAAGACAGTATTTTTCAAGACCATAACGCTCGCAATTTAAAGTGTCTGTTTCGTGGGAAGATGATATTGAGTGTTCGTACATTTGTCCTGGTAACCAATTTTTCCACACTTTGAGCAAGGCACAATTGGTCTTAATTGGGTTGGCAAGCCATGAGAAATGATTCTATTTTAAGAAGATTACGGAAACTCATGCATTGCGCCGACGGGACACTGAAAACTGGCAAAAATATGGTCGTTTTAGGACAAGCGCACGCCCTCTATGGCATCATTTGATTTCCAATCTCTTTCCCAAGACAAACGATGATCTCTTCCTCAGTTTGTCATCATTCCTGTACGCATTTTGACATTTAGCTTGTTGAGTTATTGTTTTCAAACAATTGCGTCCAACAGACGCAACCGGTATCTTACAGGTAGTTTGATGCTCGCGCTTCACTGTTACAACCAGTCTGAAGTGAAATCTTCGATTTACAACTTGGCAGCCTTAAAAGCAAGCTTTTCCAAGCTGAACTCTTTCGTTTACATGAACTGATTTTACCGTTTGTCTGGAACACCTCTTAAAAGTAGAAAGTTTTGAAAACGATTCCATTTATGACTTTAAGTTAGCCAACACTGACTAAATATCATTAAGTAAAACCTTTATTCGGCTGTTGATTAAGTGGACACACATGGGAACTTCGCTGCTTAATAGAAGTGTCCGCCACGTACAGGTTCATTTTGGAGAATATATGGGAACAAACAGTGAAAGCAAATTTAAACTGAGCCATTCGTAAACATCAGGGGCTCCATGTAGAACAGGTCCGCACTGTGTATTAATCTTGTGATCAGAGCACAAAGCTTTTTAATTTTTACCTGACGACTACTAGGGCCTACCGGAAAATTTGTAATAGAAATCTAAGTCTAAAAACAGATGTGGTTACGCATTCATAAAGCTTATACGTTTTATACTTGGACGTTGCAAATAAGACATTTGAGGGGTGGTTTGATACGTCTGGCCGCGTTCTGTTTGATTCGAAATGTCCTCAGATTAAGCACACAACACTAACGTTAATTAAAATTCTTACTTTCGTTAACTTATACTTTTGTTGACTAGCTATCTATTGATTATTTCCCTCGACGAAAAAGAAAACCGCAGAATTTTTGGCGTTTCGCTCCCCAGTCATTTTTGTAGAACCCTCGCCCCCTCGACATCCACGAAATAAGACCATTCTTCAAACCTCACCCAATTCCCTCCTATAAAACCTCTTTAACGTTGACGCGACGACATTTTCGTCTCAACTCTAAACGCTGTATATATTGACAAATGTTGACTAGTTTTGAATGAGCTTTCAACGATTTGATCTCTCGTTAAGATGCGATTCGATTCTTAACTATAATTAGAGCATTCCAGCTTTGCTCTGTATTAAACTTTTATTTACACACTGTATTTAATTAATAATACCCAAGGTGTATGATCATCAGTGGACATCCCTTCGTACAAAGTTCGTTATAGAACATTTGTTTCACTTTTTTTAGTTATTCCATTATCTACTGTACGCCTGATTACTGTGAAATTTTGTTTAAAATTTCTTTCCAGTCTCAGCAACTTTTCTAAGATTTTGGAAACATTAATTTAATCAAAAAATTTATTAGTCCTTTCTTTGTCATCAGTCTGCTCTGCGTCTTTGGTCACTTTGAATCTCCTGAATACACTTGAGTAAACATCAGCTTTTAAAATCTCTCTTGGGCCTGGACGAAGAACGTTGATCGATACTCCATCGCCAACATTTCCTGGAGGACTATATAGGGCCACGATGAACACGTCATTAGCGAGCAGTCCTTTGCGTAGAGCACATCCTATTCCGAGAAACTGAGAGTTTTTCCAAACCAACTGAGTAAAGGAACTCGTCTCATCCTGAATGTGGGGGTAGTTATAGCTGTAGTTTTTGCTTTGCTGTTTGGAGAAATAAGAAGTGGGTGTTGCAAATTATCTCATTTGTCACAAGGTAGACCATACAGCTGTAGCATTTGCGTTTCTTCCTTGCCTGATTTCATTCTAAAGGTTACCTATAATATTCTACAAAGATTACTCTGGCTCACCTAGACATTCAGCGGGTGATCACTAATCTCCACTTTTTCACTTACATAACTAAAACTAAGTAAGGTAAAATTAAGTAAAAGTTAATTTACGGTATTGCAAAATTTCGTAACTGCCGTTAAGGAGCTAATTAAAGGCTGGTTTATCTAAGATCACTCACGATCTCAACTAAGCTCAGTGTGTAATTCAAACAAATTCATAATAATAATAATAATAATAGTCTTTTTTTCCACACAAGATAAAAAATACATATCTTATGTTACAACATTTGAGTAAAAAAAAAAATAATAAATTGGTCCCAAGCTGAAGGAGGAGATGATATGACGACTGATTGCCTGTGAGTTGATCACAGGCCACATTGGTGGAAGACTAGTGCTCTCACATAGAGAGGTCACTACCGCGTCCGGTCTTTGCTTCTCATGGCCAGATTAGGTAATCGTTCTCTACTATCAACGATCACTTCAACTGAAGACAAAACAGTACTGAACAATAGCTCCCCTTTCTTACAGGCAATAAGCTGAAAAACTATGAATGATAGCCAAAAAAGAAATGTATTTGCCCAGCTTAAGGGAATCCGGAAAATTTTGCCAGGGATCCGGCGGGAATCCTAGGTTTCTTAATCCGAAATACATCTCAAGGAATCCAGAAACCCGCTAACGAATGGAATTCAGAATCCAAGACTGTAGGTAAATCACGCAGCTTTCAAGTCTTCAGTCTTCAGTGGCAGTAAGAGGTAGCCCTTACTTTTTGTATGGTAATCCTCACCGAAATTTACGGACAAATGGTAAGCGCAGGGTTAAAGAAACGTCTCTGTACCTGATACCACATATCTGTGGCTTTCTCTACTGCAGTGGCGTCACAGCCGAACCTTTCGCCCAGGAACTTTTCCACGTTTTCTCCCACACTCTCCTCCTCTTCAGACGGCACCTGAAATCTCTTGGCCTCATTATTCTTCTTGTACTGCTGTACCATCTGATAAGCCAGTTTACTCGCCTGTGTCGATAGTCTATCAGACCACCTCAGAGGTTGAGAATGGTGATACCGGCGATAACGATTGTGCCTGTTTAGTGCCGCACCGGCAAATTCTATGGGGCTGCCTAAAATAAAAACATCTTGTACGACAATGACGGTACATGATTAGCGAGGCTATATATGTTTACACGGACACTAGAGCTCCTGCGACAGCATTGAAGAAAACCATATCGGACATGGTTTCTATTCACACATGACAATGGCGATTTCGGCGCGGTTTCTCTATTAAAGGAGCGAAGCTGGTGCCTCGCCGAACTTGAAAATCAGTTCGTCATATTTTATATCGGATAGGTTTCTGGGCCACTCTTTAGTGCAGCGTGAACAGGTTTTCATAATCTTGACACTGGATAGCTTCGGCTTATCGACGTGAAAAGCTGTCCGGCATACAGTCGAACCTCCCGTAATTAAAGTGCGAAGATTTAGTGGTCGCTTACGAGAATCGAACAACAGGGGGTCTCCTACGAGAATGGGTTCCAAGCATCGTTTTAGCAGAGAATTTATTGCATGCATTTTCTAAGTTATGCATATACATGTAGATTATTAGATTTCTTTCTATTTTCTGAATGGCGTGGAACAAACTGCTCGGAAAATATAAATATAAATAAGCTTTAGGTGCTTGCTTACGAGAGGTTAAAAATAATGGAAAACGATAAACCGTCAAGCCAAACAGTCAGGGTCGCGGTCGCTTATGAGTGGTGGTCGTTTACAGTACGAGGTTCCTATTATACGCCTTTAACTGGTCGCTTACAAAAGGTGGTCGCTCATGGAGGTTGAACTTAAGCAACCACGACAGGATGACAGCAAAGAATACGTAAACAAGTCGTTTTTATCAGCATAAACAACAACGTGCATCATACTTTTAGGTACATTTCGTTGACGTCACTGGACGATTTAAACGTGAAACTTCTTTATGCGACGTTTCATCGAGGACGCGAACGCACGACCACAAATTTGAAATTCGGTACAGTTTACATCTAAACTCGCCTACTCACACTCGATCAGCCAAGTGAGACGGCCAAATAAGAGCGACAAAGTTTGAAAGAACGCAAATCCTTTTTTTTTAATCTTTAAGTGAATTTTTCATCGCCGTCGTCGTCGTGAATGGTCGCTTGCTGAGTTTCCTGGTGTGTTTCAGTGAACAGAAAAGATGACTGATTACTAACCTATGTTGATAGAGTCTGGTTTGAGTATAAATCCCTGTACTCGATGAATTTGTTCATCTCCAGACTCTGGAACCATTGGTCCAACAATACTCTTACCACTACTTCCCAAAATCACTACCAAAAGAAAAATATCAAATTAAGCAGAAAAAACCCCAGCAGATTTCCCCTCAATTCAACAAATCACCAGATATAAAGTTATAGATAGCGTTTCTCCAGACAGTCCAAGTCAAGATGCAGAGAGAAAACGAATTGGATGTTTGGCGTCCAGAGCAAAAACAAGTCGGGAAAAAGGTCTGACTGTTTCTGCCTGTTCTATTCAGCTTTTCTAGAGAGTCATGCACTGTAACAGGTTCAGCTGTTTTTGTGACGTGTGCTGTCTTAAAGCGAAAACCTCTCTTTAATCTGTTAGCAGCTGGCCAATGCACGAAACTCACAAAGCTACAAAGACTAGAAACTACTTTCCATTCAGGAGATATCGCTTTAGGTGCAGCACTGTATGCGAAAGGAGTTCACTCGTTGCTCTCGTCGGTCGCCACATAGCTTGCCCGTGGAATCTGGGACTATATACACCTCAGGGCATAGATCGTCATTTATAAAGGAAGAACCCAACTATCCATCGAAGAGTCTAATTAAGCCTGCAGATACAACCACCTCTCAACCCTTCTCGCTGACTGAAAACGCAGACGTCTCTCGCTCGTAATATGTCCCAACGGCGGGGAGCGATGAGAGGCGACTATATTAGCAGCAGGTTAAGTTCGAATGGCAATAGAGTAAATAAAATGCTGCTATGGCGGTTGTTTTTAAACAACTAAAAAACACAGCGGAGTAGCAGTAGCGCAATAGTTGAACATTAAACTTCCATTTACACCCTTGAGCGTGCTTTTCCCGGCCTTCAGACTATACTATGCGTACCATGAATCCAACCTTTTGCTTGCGGACTTGCGGACCACATTAACTGCACTCACCTGAGTAATGATGTCTCCTTGGCAAGTTTGTCCTGTACACATATGCCGTCTGTAGTTCGATTGACTTTTTGGAAGCTTTTGTCATCTGATACTCGTTGGAATCATCTGAAAAAAACTATTTACGTTATATGTTCATACTTCTACCGGATAGCTTTCCCCCCTTCAGTCCCTTCACGAAAACCATGGCCGGATAAGGCTCCTGTACAAACAAAAACGGCGATTTTGGCGCGAATTCTGTAACGGATTGAAGCTGCGACACGCCGAGAGTCGCATAATTATCGGATTCATGCTCTACCGGATAGCCCTTCGAAAGCATAGCCTAATTTCTCTGAAACCGCTTCATGAACAGTTAGATAAGACAAAAATACATCGTAAAACAAATTAAAGAACGGCGCAAGCCGGAGGAGAGTATTTTACTTTTTTCTCACTGCTTACACTTTCTGCCATTGTACAGCTTAGATCCAGCTCTTTTACGAGCTCATTGCCATTTTCCCTTCAAAGGTATTCATTGTTCAGTTTAGCAGTTAGCAACTCACCTGCAGCCCTTGCCAGATAAAGAGCGGCTTGAAAAAAGAGCAAATAACTTACTTCCATAATCCTCATCGTTTCTACTCCATCTGACATAAAAATCAAATTAAAACGGATCAACAGAATAAAATTAAAAGTCTGCGGTACCAGGCAGCTGTGAAAAACGCAAGTAGCAAAATTTATTAAGCTTATATCCTGGGTGCCAGAAGTTGATTTACGGTGACAATCATTTGAAAACCAAGTGGCGAAGCAGCAAACTTGCGAGCAAATCGCCCAGAAAAGATAGATAAATAAGATCAAAAGACTTTTTTTGGCCTTTAGCTAGGACGACAGCGCATTTTTTTATCCTTCGGGCGGTACAGTTGGAAAATCACCAATAGCAATTCTCGTATGCGACTTTGAGAATTTCCGGGCAACACTTAGTACATTGTTACCTTTATTTCTTTTTTTGGACTATTTGCAACTTACATAAAAACATTGTGATTTAATAAGCATGATCAGCTGAAGTAACATATCCTTAAAATTTGCAACATTTACAACAAGTACATGTCAATCTGAGAAGCAAACTCCTGTGTGCGTCCTATATTCTCACGCAACAACGAAATTTGTTAGTCTTCATCGGTTTTTGTCGCCTTAATATGGAAACGTTTTACAGTGAAAACGCTAACGCACTGGTCATACATGAACTATTGACCGAGAAAACTGTGATTAAATCCGTGTCCGTTATTCATTTACATAGCATATAATTATTTATCACAAACTAGCTCAGTATTTCAATCAGTAGTAAAGAGTTGCTGTCTTCGCGGTTGTCATAAACAAATGGCAACCGCGATGCGACAGACGTTTACAAAGGTCTTCGCTAAGAGACACACGGTTCAGTTGACTAATTCATATGAACGATAAACAAATAAACACGCAGTGACATGGAAAAGTGGACAATCACGGGTGGTCTGTATGTCAGGTTTTCCACATCTCTCATTCTTGCCAGTTACGCTTCTGACAAAACATGGAATCAAAACATGAGTCAAAGTAAACTGACAAGGATGCGTTTTCACTGCAAGTAATCGTTTCAACGTTTTGCTCGTTGGACAAAAATTTGTGGAAAGGCTTGGCATATCATTTTCTAGTCGAATGCGGACTAAACACTGTGTTACAGGTAAAAGTATTGTTCGAATCAGGAGAAGTAACCAGCACTACATTTGTCCTTATAACTACAAGGTAAAAAAGAAAACAGTTTTCTGACCTGTGTCGGAGATTAACTACAAACTCTAGAAGATACAGCTCGGAAACTGAATCGTAAAATGTTAAATATTATTACGGTCGTTGCGGATGATAAGTTAGTGTACGGGATATTGAGAAGCTATCTTTGATGTTTTATTTTAATATGAAATTAACTTACCTTGTAGTTAATGTAACGGCATTTCAGCACCCCGGCACTAGTTTGTTAATACTACATGCCTATACTTTTAAAAAAGAACAATTATAAATTACAATAGATAAAGGGGGAAGGCCATGATTGTCATGATTAAAAATGTATGTGCAAGCAAAGACGTTTTCACCTAAATTAACCTATTAAACTCGTCTTGCGTCACGAGCAATTTTTAATCCAATTCTATCGGTTGTTCTGGTTGTTCGCTAATGGCAAAACAGGAATGGTTCTTGCAGATGTGGATCGAACGAAAATAGAAACTAGAGATGGGAGAACTTTGCAAAAAGCTTTTAATGCAAGTTCAAATATGCTATTGTTGACTCTTGTAAAGTTCAAATCTCCTTTTCAATTGGTTTATTTTTAAAAAGTGAACTAAGTGCATAATCGTTCGACAACTGCTTGTAAAACTACAAGCATAAAGCTTGAACTGTTGCTGTGGTGTAGCACACACAACCGTTCATTAACGCCTGGTATAAGCAATAAAATAGTTTAAAAAGTAGTCTGCCTGCAGACGTCTCCTGTTATTTCTTTTACTGCACGCGCCGGGAAAAAGGGACGACGTCTTTTTTTCCGCGTGTAACGGAGCACGCATACTATTTACAAATATGAGGGGGATCAATCTTGGTACATGTTGTTAAACAAGAAATGCTGTCGCTTCTAATTCAAGTTCACCACATTGGAGAAAGACTCAACAGAAAATAATTTTTTATCCACGTAGATTATAGTCGTATTTCGGAATAACAACGTTAAACCAAACGGGAGTGTTGTTTCTTTAGGTAGTGAAACAGGGAAATCAAAATCCATGTTTCTCCCTGCAGGAGGAGTCGCGCGTATAACCATCTTGTTTACTGGTCCAGATTCCCTATCACTAAGCTACAACTCATGCGAGGGGATCAGGAGGCCAAAGCTTGGTTAGGACAAACAGTCAGTATACTGCTAGGAACGGAAGTAAATAGGGGCATATGCTAGTGATGTAGGTGTGATAGTGAATTTTTTAAGCCTGGGGAATGAACAATATCTTTTCCTCGTTAACATTAAATTCGGGACATGAACGAAGTTCGCCTTTTGAAACTGACCTAGGACTGCATAGGTTAGTATGTTGGTAACGCGTCTAGCCTGCTACCTCAATTCCTTAGATATTTTCGTTGTTGCGGTCTATTTATCGACATCTAAATAACTATCCTCGATCTTTAATGTCTTCGTTAAGTAATAATCTTGGGCACCCCTTACCCAATTTTCGCTCTATTCAATAACTGGTTTATAATTGGGTAAAAGGAAAGGACACGCGATACAAGGATGTAAAATATCCCCGTCGTGTAAAAATCGATCGCAGCGCAGGGAAATTAAAAGTAAGTCAAAAAAAAAAAAAAAAAAAAAAAAAACACGCAAGGAACAGGAGACTAATATTAAATTACTAGTGACTATCAACCCGTTTTGATCGTGATATGAATGATGAAGGTGGGGTATTACAATTCCGTCATAGAGAGTACACTAGGTCTCACCCTCGTCAGCATTTATATTATATTGCTGTTATCCATTTCACACGTGGGAGGAGAGAATCAGTGTGGAGAAAATCGTCTTATTTAATTAAAAACTTCAAAAATTAAAAAAAGTAGATATGACTGACTTATTTAAGTTGTTAAACCTTTTTTTATTTGAAAGTGACGGAAACTTAAGATCTATACCGTGAGACTACAACCTTGGACAATATACATAGAAAATTTAGACCCCGCCCCCCCATTTAAATCAAGGATAGGAAATGGAGCATTTGTCTTTCGCGTGACTTTACCCTTGATATTGGGGGGATGGGGGTTTGCTGTTCCATTTCGTTCTGTCCGAAGCATATATGCCTCTGGTTCTGTCCAAGATTTTAGCATACTGTTTTAAATGTTTTTCTCATCGAATCACTTGAATCCATTCTCTTTTCCTGGTCTCCTAAACACTGAGAGTCATCTGTATCATCCAACGTATATGTTTGGCAAGCAGAGAAAGCAGACAAATATGTCTCACTCCCCATTTTATCACAAAAGAAAAAGAAAACACACGCAAAAATTTTCGACCGGTTTTGAAAGGCAATCCCGCGCTATCGCAGACTGGCTGAGTGAGAGAATCAGTTTATCTGTCCAAATGAAAGTCGGTGTCTCATGATCGCGAGGTTAACATGAAGGTCTATATTTTATTTTAATATCAAGCTCAGTGTATATTGATCTACAAAAAACAGAACCAACTGCACTGATTGACTGCCATGTTTTTCACGTGTGCGCATGTTGTTGAACTTTCCTGCGCTCGACTTGATACATTTGATTCCGCCGACGAAATATCGATGAATAAGCATCGTTCACATTCTTACTGGGGCTGACCACATTTTCTCGCAGGGCGCGTGGGCTATTCCCTGGGGGATAATATAGAGCCACTACAAATATCTCGTTGCTAAGTGTTCCCTTTCTCTGTGCGCAGCCCATTCCAACTTCACGAGTTCCTTTCCAGACCACCTGGGTAAATGAGTCCGTATTGCTGTTTAGCCGCGGATCCGCATAGCTGTAATTACTGCCCTGGTTATACCAGATTTTCGTTGCCTCTTCCCCAGCTGTCTCGCAGTCGAAATTGACCGCGGAGAGCTTTGCACGGTTTTCTCCAAATAGATCTATACCAGGGACTTGAATGGTTCCCTTGAGCGCCATTTTGTAGGCGAGTTTCTGGGCCTGTATGGCCAGCTTGTCAGACCATTTGAGCGGGGATATGTGGTGAAGAGCGCGAAAATTATTATGTTCTAGAAAACCTTGTCGCGCAAACGTGATGAACTTACCTAAAATAGGAGAGAAATAATAAACAAATAATTGATTTGCAGAATCCCAAGGAAACATGTCAAAGCTATTAGTTCCTTTCTAAATTTACTGCATTAAACGGTTTTTAGCTTAAATCCTAACCCAAAATTATCTTATTCCTGGTACGCATTGAACGTGCCAAAAAAGATGCATTAAACGAAAAGAGAAAGAAACAAAAAAAGGAAAAACAAAACAACCCGAATAGGTGAATTTATCCTACAAATGTATTTTTTTGGAACATTTTCTTAGGTGCCGTATCCATGAGGTCTCTTTTCAGTATGTAAGCTGTCGTGGAAGAACGCTCCAAGCCACCTTCCGGAGAAACAATCTATGTTTATGATCAAACGTTTCTCGATTGTTCCTTGTGAATAGATGCAGATGGTTGCCAGCTACGGAATCATTTGGGAGATGTCTATCAGATGACAAACCTTGCTCGCACATCACGAGTTTTCCTCACGTCTAGAACGTACTTCCCTATATAAACTATTTAGGCCGGTATATTATACGTGTTGACTTCAAGTAAAGGAAATGGGTTTTGGAGCCATGTTGGTATGAAATAGGTGCTGATTTTAGCAATCTGATCTGACAAATATATTCACTTCACTGCCTTCACTCGGCTTGGATAGGGTAGTGGATTCGTAAAAGCATGCACAATTTTCAGAAGCCAGGCGTGAAACCGACAGACTATTTTGATAGAAGTCTGAAAACGGGTGTGGAAAACCGTATGATTTGGTCTAAAATATGGTCAGGTTATTGCAGTAGTCCTGTATTTATATCTCCCTGACAAAGTGTCATTAAAAGGTCGCGAAAGTTTATGGCAAGTGTGTTCCGTAATGTGTAGCATACTTTTCAGAAGCCCGTTGAGATCTCTTTGTTGGATTTCGCTTTGCACTTTCCCGGCAGTTTGAGCATCTAAATGAGAAAAAGAAAAGGAACATTTTTTAAGTTTGATATGTCAAGCGTTTCCTAAATCGAGCTTTTCGGGAGATTAAGAATCAGAAGAATCCCTTCGGGTTAGCACTGAAGGCAAAAGGAGTTTGAATTTGTGGCAAGTTTAGAGATCAGAGGAGGGATTTAATGACAAAACCATCTTAACTACGGTCTGTCGAGTAGGCCATTGTTGAGAAATAATACTAACGATATACTTTTCCAGTCCGGACCCAGTGAAATAAAGTCGAATCTGCATTAATGGTAACGTCTCCACAACGGCCGCTTTCTTCTGTTCCCAAGGTGGCCGTTGTCAAAAAAGAGGTTCAACTGTAAGCTACTGTACGCTGTCATGAACTTAGGCTATTTTAATGATAGGGTTTCTAACAGGGGCACCCAACGACAATTTTCGGGAAAATATCTGTTCGGAAGACGATTTGAGATCTAGAATTTTCGGAACATTTGTTGTAAAATTTCTTGCTTGCCTGCTTCTCCTAGGATTTTCGAACATCTAAAATATGGTATAATTGCCTATTTTTAACGGATTTTTACCCTAAAAAGGTCACCTAGAATTTTCGGGAGCCCTTTTTCTGGCTGAAATTTTCGAAAAGGTAAGTTTTGATCCCTATAATTTTCGGATCACTAGACTTTCAGCTAGGAAATCCGAACAGATTTTTAGGGGATAAAAATATGCCTATATCTACCGTTTAAATACCAAAATACGTTTAACAATGCTATGTTTTAGTGGTTTTGAACATATGTTTTGAACTATATTGTCGTTGGGTGCCCCTGTTCTAATAAGGCTGATCGTATGTTAGTAGTGGATACCATGCAACCTGGATTCTATATCTTCCATTTCCTGGACTTATCGTAAAATGTGAATTTGTTGATGTTTTTTCTGCGTCTAAGTCCCTTGATTTTTATCTCCAAGCAACTAAAGCAAAAGATCTAAACGCCCGAATTTCATCTGGAATCAGATTCCTATACTTTGGTTTTTACGTCAGTCGCAAGACTAAGGGTGGATTCATTTGCAACATACGCGTATAGCTGTAGCATTTGACCCCGGGAATTTTTTGTATTGTTTTTAGGCTTAAAAACAATACAAAAATTCCAGCAGGCAAATACGAAAGCCATACGCGTATGTTGCAAATGAATCCACCCTAAAACCTGTCACCCCATGTCCAAAAAGTCGCGATGTGGGATCAACGCACGAAGGGCTATATTCCGCAGATATCTCTCTTTTTCAACAAAAATATCCAAAATGAACCCGATAAAAACGACGTCACAATGAAATCAAGGGTGAATTAAGGGAATAGAATTGAAGGAATCGCCATTGCTGGACAGCCTTTTGACAGCGATTTGGAGCCAGAGTTTCTTATTGGATACATGAAAACGTAATGATAATGAAACCATGTTGACTTCTTGCCTCGGCTCTTCTTAGCTACAGTATTGGGGTCTTAACCTTAAACACCAGCAAAATGTTTACTTACATTGGTAGTACAACAGCAAGCACACTGCAAGAAAATAAGCTTTAGTGACAGTGAACTGCCGGGTCATTAGGCACGTCTCTTGCTTCTGCTTTCTGTTGTGGACAGAAATGGCAAGTTAAATAGCAATCGAGTGATCATTTATCCTTTTATAGGAAATCATGATGTACAGATAGAAAAACAACCGTTTTACACTTGTAACCAACATTGATCCGACACTGATGTTTAAACTCAGTTACGGCTGCTTACCTGTACAAAAAGATCTTCAAGAACCATCAGCCACGTTTTTGAAATTTAATCTGGAGAATAATCGCTTCATAAATAAGAATAGGTTACTAGATTTATGCTTGTACTTGTGCCAAATTTTTAGTTTCTACTTTGAGTTCGCTGACTTAAATTCACCAGAGTATAGTGTGTAGTTGTCCAGAACAAAACGACAACAACGCTCAGAAAATAAAGAACGTTTGACCAAAATTGTTTTTCAGGTGGTTTAACATCTAAACATAACAAATCGCTGAAGCCTCAACGTAATGCATAATTTAGAACAATTAGGAATTTGGAAACCTAGTAAGTAACGACCGGACGACAGGTATTTACCTGGTTATTCCTCTTGCCATTTAACAATCAAAAAACGGTTTTCATAGTTCAATGACCACTCGACTCGGTTCTTGAACAGCAGAGCCTTTCTTTCGCTTGTTCGATTTTGGCGTACTCGAAAAAGAAGAGGTAAGGAGACTCTGCTCGCACTAGGGTAGGAGTATTTTTATTCTATATAAAGTTAAAAGCAAATAAAGTAGAATGGTATTAAAAATCAGAGAAAAGTAGTTGAGTTTTGGTTTTGATTGGGGACATTTAACGGGTTTTTGGACATTGTTTGTAGCGGAACACTATACGAATACTTTTCGGCTGGAACAATATATTTTTAGAATGCCGAGAACGTGATTTTTTTCTAAAATTGAAATCTTGGTAAATCGGTTTCCAGATATTTTCGCTCGTCACGCTTTATCGTCTCGGTAAAGGAACAACAAATACATGTAGTGCTAATAAGGCATCTCATCTAATCATTTCCAAACAATAATCCTTGTTAAAGTAAACGCCTTGAGCAGTAAAACAGTAACCGTAGTGTTTTCAACTTTTTTCTCAGAGATAGTTATGCGGTGTGAATGAAGCAAA